CGTAGGAACAGAGCCGACCATGTGTAGAATGTAGTATGCTCGTCCAAATGGATGTCTTTATCTGTAGTTGTAGGTGTGTCCAACTGTCACAAGCCCTTCTCAGGCATAATTAGGTGAATTTCCAAGATAATGTGGGTATGTGACGGTTGTCTTGTCATATTTGGCTGAAGTTGGTGCTGATAATTGATACTCATTTAGTAAAATACGGTGTACATTTGGGACTCTTTAATGACGGCATTCCCCTCAGGGATCTGCGCCTTTCGGCTCCAAAAATTGCGGGTTGGCGCAAAGTAGGCGCCCGCCCAACCAATGAGTGCTCATTGATGGGATGTCAACACAGCCGTCCCATGCGGTCATCGGCAAATCACTTTGATCCCTCGACAAGGACGGTAACCTTGATCAATGTCGCTGAGGAAATATGTACTACGAAAGCTACATGTGTTCAAGTACGCCGTGGGAATACTACGCTGCAATGTGTACATGTGGCTCGCGCGATTTTACGCCAAGGGCTGTGAACGAGATTATAGCAGAATTTGGCGCAAGAGCCGCTCAGCCACAGAAATTGCTTTTTTTCAGTTTCGCTACTGCTATTTGATTCACTGCACCCGCAAGAAGCCGTAACCACTTAGGCTGAATCCAGAAGCCCTATTTTTCTAAGACGACATTCCCACTGATTTCCGTAGACCTTAGGCTACGCGACCGAATTTCTGGCAGTGTCAGTGCAAGCGCAAAAACTCATTGTTATCAAGTTCGCCGTCGGCCTACTGCACGTGGCTACAGCAGAGGAGTCCGTAGTAGGCTTTGCCCAACTCCTACAGCAGTTTTGCTACAGACATCAGTTCACTGCACTTGCAACTAGCTTCGCTGATGCAAGAAGCCCTTTTCTTCCTGTCGACCGACACTCGCACTGATTTTCGTTGACCTAATTTACCCAACGAATTTCTCGCTGAGTGCCAGTGCCAGGGCACGCAGTTTCGCCAGTCACCGCCGGTTGACGAAACATGCAAGGGGCGGGAGCGGAGGGTCCTCCGGTAGAGCGCGGTGGAGGGGGAGGGGGAAGGGGAGGGCGCGGCGGAGGCTGGGGCAGAGGCGGAGAGGGCATGTCAAAGCGGAAGAAACGGCTGGTTGACCTCACGCCCGAGGAGGTCCGTGGTGAGACGATTTTCGAGGCGCCGCAAGAATCACCTTAAATCATGAAACGCCTCAAAGGTGTTCTTCTTTTTCTGCCTCTCTTTTACCGTCTTTCTTCTGCCCCCACCCGCCCCCCTCTGCCCCCACCTCTCCCCTCTTCCTCCGTTCCTATCCTTCAGATTAACGAGATTGTGGCTTTAAGGGGGAAGCTACCGCAAGCGGTGGTGGGGAAACGGTTTGGGATAGAGCAGACGGACGTGAGCCAGATTCAGAGGCAGCAGAAGGGGAAGCTCATGAGAGCTGATGACAAGGCGGTAAGAAGTCAACATCGCTTGTACACTAAGCTAGCTGTCTGGATAGAGCATACGGATGTGAGCCAGGTTCAGAGACAGCAAAAAGGGAGGCTCGTGTGAGCTGATGATAAGCCGGTAAGGGAAGACGAGGATATGATGATTGATGTGTTACGGACTAGTGGCTGGAACCGAGCACACAGAGGAAAGGCAGATTGAGGGACTGCTGAAACTGTGACTCGTGAGTTGTGACAATTAATGGATGTGCTGAAGGAATTGTAACACGTTGGCATAGCAGAATTGATAGTCCCTTGGGATAGAGCAGCTGGCCGTGAGTGCAATTTTGGGACACACAAACTCGCAGCTCTTTGCTCTTGTTGATAATTTGGCAAAGAGGAGACAGTATTCACTCCATTTTATGCTGACATGAGAGTACTTGTGGGTGGTTCGAGCAAGAGCAGACCAGATCAGCTGGGTACGCTAATGCATGGGAATGATCTGCTGGTATGGTTTCACTTGCTTTGTATTCCAATTTTTCCAGCGTCCATGTTCTCATACTCCCGCTTCCCCTTTCTCGCCTAAAACTGTGCTCAAAGCTGACTCAAAACTCATATTCCCTCTCACGTCCCTGTGTGCTCTCTGGGCAGCTGACAATGGTGACTTGGGCAGTGTGGTGAAAAAGGTAAGCTGTTGCTAGAGAGGGTGAGGTTGTGGGCCAGGTGGGCATTCCTGTCTTCACCCAGTCTGCCTCTTCCAAGAAGTTGCTTAACCGAGTATACCTCCTTCCATACCTTTTCTCCCCTATTGGCAATACCACAACAACCACGTGGTGTTTCAGCTGCATCCGAGCTTCTCCAATCCCACGTGCATAGTGGAGCGACCGCCCTTCGTGCTGTTGGAGAGCGGCTGGGTTCCGAAACACACCTGCTGCTGTCTTTACCTCCCACACCCTCCCCCTACAAATGCCCCAACAACCAGGTGGTGTTTCAGCTGCATCCGAGCTTCTCCAATCCCACGCGCATTGTAGAGCGGCCGCCCTTCATGCTGTCGGAGAGCGAGTTTGAGATATATTCCTCCCTTTCTGCCTTTCCCTTTCTGTCAACAACCAGGTGGTGTTTCAGCTGCATCCGAGCTTCTCCAACCCCACGCGCATTGTAGAGCGGCCGCCCTTTATGCTGTCGGAGAGTGGCTGGGGCGAGTTTGAAATTGCCATGACCATTGTGTTCCATGCCGATGCGTCCGAAATGCCGGCTGAGCTGTGAGTTCATTTGGGCCAGGGTCGTTTCGCAACATGACTGTCTGTATCAACTCCGACTGATTCTTGAACTGATTCTGTCTACGTGGATAACAACATTTCTCAGTCCATCACAATCCATGTCCGCGTTATCCCTTCCAAAATACACACTGCATCTGGTTGTCCTGCTTTCTCCTGGTCCTTCCACCCGCCCCCCCCCCCCCTTCCCCCCCGCCCCCTCTCAACCACTTCTCTTCTTCTTGCCCGCCCTACCCCCTTCCCCCTTCCTATCCACTCTCTTTCCCCCTTCCTATCCACTCTCTTTCCCCCTTCCTCCCTCGCACCAGCACACATCACCTTCGGCTGTACCCAGAAGGCAGCGCCCCCAACCAGCCTCTCAGCACGAAGCGGCCAGTTGTGGCTGAGGAATACGACGAGCTCGTGTTCTGCGAGCCACAGGTACGGGGTAACTTCTAGAAGCCTAAGAGGCAGACTAGTGTTTTTCAAGCCATGGGTACAGTGCAGGCCTGTCGATTCACGGACATTTGTCCGTTTTCCCTGAGAATTCAGGGTTGGTTTTTCCCCGGCCCGTATCCCTAACGGACGGGTTTGGAGCCTTCCCCGGATTTCTCCGTGGACCTGCCCTCCCCTCCCCCCAACCCCCCTCTTACCCCCCTTCTTCCTGACCTTCGACCGTGTACGTGTCCCACTTCTCTTCCTCCCAACCCTCACTACTCTCCCCCACCAGCGTGCTCTGATCGGTAGAGTACGTACCTAGAGTTACTTATCTTTCTGGCGCATGTGGCTCAGGGCAGGAATCCAAATGGCCTGAATGTAAGGGCTAGGTTCGGCTGCTGTCCGGATGTTTCAGGGCTTGTTTCGGGCCAGCTCAGCTTCGTAAGGGTTGGGCCCAGACCAAGCGACAGCCCTGGTACAGTGGTGGGCAGGGCAGCAGGTCCTGCTCCTTTTTCGAGCCATGGGTACAGATGTTCTTTATCCAGTCATCTCAGATGCCGTTCCTTTTCTAACTGTAGTTCAGTTATGAGGAGCCTAAAAATTCGTCTGTGGTTCAGAATCTGTCTGACGCTGTTTGTCTCTGGCAACCACTTTATGTCTGTCTCTGGCAACCACTTTATGTCTGTCTCCAAATCTTCTTTCTTCCATTGCATTTGGTCCAACCCCATGGTTTGCACTAATTAAGGCGCCTGAAAAGCCATATCTTGAAACTGTGGTCCACTCCACAATCAGTCTCTGGCAACCACCTTATGTCTGTTTCCAGATCGCGTTTTTCCATCGCATCCGCTCCAACCCCATGGTACGCATTCACGGCAGTGAGGAGGCCATCACCGCCGCTGGGAACCACGCAGCAATACCTCGAGGTAAATATGGCACCTCGAGGTAAATATGGCACCTCGAGGTAAATATGGCACCTCGTGGTAAATATGGCACCTCGAGGTAAATATGGCACCTCGAGGTAAATATGGCACCTCGAGGTAAATATGGCACCTCGAGGTAAATATGGCACCTCGAGGTAAATATGGCACCTCGAGGTAAATATGGCACCTCGAGGTAAATATGGCACCTCGAGGTAAATATGGCACCTCGAGGTAAACATGGCACCTCGAGGTAAATATGGCACCTCGAGGTAAATATGGCACCTCGAGGTAAATATGGCATGGCACCTCTAAACGCATACATAACTAACGGGTGCCAACGGGTGCCATAGGTTATGTAACTAACGGGTGTCCTTGATTTATGATCCCTTGAGCCTCTGAATACTCTTGATCTGTACAGCTCTGGAGTCTGTGGATGAAGACAGAATTTGATACTTTCTGTGCTTGCATTTGTAATCCGCTTTTTATGCGCATACTTCTGCAGATGGCTCCAGTTCGGCCCCTGCAGATGCACGCAGCTTGGAATCGGACTTGCGAGGAGAGAATCGCGGGGACACGCTAGACCATCCCTTGTCGCAGTGGTTTCTGCAGTTTTCAGATGAACAAGAACTGACTGCCATAGCTGCTGCACGGAAGCAGGTAATGCTTCAAAGCATTCTTACCAACCATTTCCTGTCATCGGACGTTTCTGCCACCTTTGAAATGCTCAAGATTTAGCTGCCACGTGCTGCTGCCATGAAGCAGTTAGGGTCGAAATGCACTAACTTTGGGGACAGCTCAGAAGTAACTTAGTTACAATACTAAACATCACTTAGAATGTGTAGAATTGGTACCAGGGAAGCGCTTCTATTCCATGTGATTTCTGCAGTCGCATTGACTCTATTCCTTTTCACTTGCAACTCTTTGTGTGTGTGGGCAGGTTGCCACACTGACGGCCAAGTTAGAAGCCGAATATGCCTCACTTGAATCTGAGTGTCAAGAACTCAAGCAAGGCTCTAGTCAACCAGGCTGATGCGACCACTCGTGCCTGGGGTCACTTGAATAACAAACTGGCTTTTGCGAACTGAATAACAAACTGCTGTCGCATGCAAGGCTTTTTTTAACCAGGTAATTTTGTAACTTCAGCCATAAATTTTCAGGGTTGCAGCAGCCATATCATTATTTCTGGAAGTGTTTTGCGATTGTTACAGTGACGGAGTTCGCGGAGGATTCGCCAATCTCATTGGGATCTGCCACACGAACCAGGGGCACCAGGTTTCCCCTCGCTTTTCGCACATCCCGCGCGCATCTTTCCCAGCCTTTGTGTGCTGGCGCTGGTGCCCTCAGGATTGGCGGGTTCAACCGTGCGCACATCCCGATGGTCCATTGCACACCCCAATGCTACGAGTAGCCGTTGGATGAGATGACTTCACCCGCCCAATCCCAAGGTACGATGCGAGCTGCATTTCCTGACACAGATGTTTCAGGCGACTAGCCGAAGTGCAGGCAGAGGAATAAGGTTGGCAGGTAAGGAAATCCTTCTTTCCCATCGGCAGAATTTGCCTCAGATTTGTGAAGTGCAGGGTGGTTTGTGTGTTCCAGGGTGATTCAGTTCAAAGGCTGTGCCATGGCTGGGTCTCGTCAGGCTCCTTAGATTCCTCAGAAGCCTGAACAAGGTCGGCTCTATGCTTGATCGGCACATTGCTCCCGTACTGTCGCGGATCTCGTTCACTAACCTAAAATCAATATCGATTCCAGATCAGTTGCTATCAGGCATCACGATTCCCGCCGACCTCGTGTTTCTGTCACATTGCTAGGTGTATATCCGTTCGCCTCTCTTCTGGTTCCTTGACTCCTCGCCTTATACCACATGGCGACGCAGCAGCCACCGCAGACCGAACCCGGTCGGCTGGCCAAGCTAGTGGTCCCCACGCTAGAGAAAATAATTAAAAACGCATCATGGCGGAAACACCAGAGGCTCGTACAAGACTGCAAGGGCCTGATAGAATGGTTCGCGAAGAATCCCAATCCAGGCGTGGAATGGCAGCCTCCGGCTCAAGACCCTCCCGGATACGTCAATCCCTTCGACGAATCCGCTGCACGGGGAGGATCTTCTAGCGGAGCGTTTCCGGCTGGATTGTTCGACGATGGTAACCGGGTGTTGAAGATTAAGGATGCGGAGTTTATCATGGCGCCGCTTCACACGGCGTGCGAGACGCTCGCGGCGAAGGTGGTCGAGCCGACGCTGGATTGCCTTCAGAAGATGGTTGCCCATCAGCATTTGCGGGGAGAGATGGACGTTGGAGGGACCACGCGTGAAAGCAAGCTGCTGACGCGGGTACGTTGTTTCGAGAGAAAGTAGGAAGTAGAGGGACGTGAGCAGGATAAGGTTCATCGTAAGTTCTGTTAGGGTAATGTTGGAATGGAGAGATTCGATCGCAGGGCGAGAGCGAGTATTCAAGTTGAGGAATGACTTTTTCACCTCAATTTGATGCGGATATCTGCGATGGCTGTAAATCTTGCAAGATCACACAAGCTTCATCTTGAATTCCCTATCTGCGCGTTCTGAATGCATGCATGCATGAATGGTTGAATTTGTGCCTTTTTTCGCGTGCAGGTCATGGAATCCGTGTGCAAGTGCTACGATATAGCAGACGAAGCAGTGGAGCTACTAGTTTTGAAGACTATGCTATCGGCCGTCACATCCACCTCCCTTCGCGTTCACGGCGAGTGCGTACTTAAAGCTGTCCGCACCTGCTACAATATCTACCTCGGTAGTAAGGTCCCCGTTAATCAGACCACAGCCAAGGCGTCCCTCACGCAAATGCTCGTTATAGTGTTTCGGAGGATGGAAGCGGATTCGTCGACTGTTCCAGTTCAGCCAATCGTGGTCGCGGATCTAATGGAGCCCTCGGATAGGCTAGCCTCAGACCAGAACGTAACGCAATTCGTTCAGTCGTTCATTACCAAGGTAGTCCAGGATATCGAGGTCGCGTTTAACCCGGCGCATACTCAATCTCTCGACGATGGCGCGTTTGACCTCGCGGTAGCACCCATCAACTCGGCAGCCACCGACGGAAGCCTAGTCGAAGATAAGGATATGCTAGACGTTAAGTACTGGGACGTGAACATGCTTGCAGGCTCAGTTACCGACCCAGCCAAGACTTTAGGCGGAGACGGGAAAGTAGTAACCGTGAAAGCCGGCGCGACTGCCGCTATTGGGCTTCCTCCAGGTGCGGTGGCCGCTGTTCCCGTTGGTTCTAGCGCAAATGGCGGCGGAAATCCCGCGGGAACCATGGCGGGCGGCGGAGTGATTATTCCTGACGTGGATCCGGAGAAGGAGGGCGAATCGGAGGTGAAGATAACGAACAAGCTGCGGCGCGATGCGTTCCTGGTGTTCCGCGCACTGTGCAAGCTGTCCATGAAGGCTCCCCCGGCTGAGGGGGTGGTGGATCCGTTCGCTGTGCGCGGCAAGGTGGTCTCGCTGGAGCTGCTGAAAATCTGCCTCGAGAACTCCGGCGCTGTCTTCCGCACTAATGAGAGGTGAGCCGTGCGGAGCTCTGGAACAGAAAGAGGATCGTTCTTTCTCCGGAGCCGTTTATCGCAGCAGCGAGAGATAAGTCGTCTGCGGCTTGTGTTGGAATGGGAAATGAGGTATGTGGGTTGGCAGTGGGAAAGAGGTTGAATCCTGGTTGAAGTCTTGCGTTCGCACAACCTTCCCTTCCCATATAACCTTCCATCCTTCTCACCCACCTCAACTTCTTCGCCTTGATCTATCCCAGCTTCACAACAAGTGCCAGTCAGGTTCTTATGCAACTCAAAAACTCCCCCTCCCCCACTCCCACCCCCCGGACCTTTCCTGTTCTCTCCCCCGCATCGCCCCGTTTCCCCATAATCCCACCTGTTCACCTTCCAACTTCGTGGGCGCAGTAGAGAAGTACCTGTGTGTTTCATGTTCTGCTGTGCCTCAACACCTCCCCCCCCCCAACCCTTCATTCACGCTCCACTTCCACTTTCAATCCCTCCCTTCCACCAGGTTCGTGGGCGCAGTGAAGCAGTACCTGTGCCTGTCGCTGCTGAAGAACTGCACCTCCTCCCTCATGTCCGTCTTCCAGCTCTCCTGCTCCATCTTCTTCTCCCTCCTCACTCGCTTCCGCTCCGTCCTCAAGGCCGAGATCGGCGTCTTCTTCCCCATGATCGTGCTGCGTGTGCTGGAAAACGTCGCGCACGCCAACTTTCAGCAGAAGATGATCGTACTGAGGTTCCTGGAGAGGCTCTGCGTGGACCCGCAGATTCTGGTGGATATCTTTGCCAACTATGACTGCGACGTGGAGTCGACTGTCAGCATCTTCGAACGGTGAGCTGGGCTGGGGTCTATTTATGAGTCGACTCAAAAGAGGCTCCTGGAGAGGCTCTGCGTGGACCCGCAGATTCTGGTGGATATCTGTGCCAACTACGACTGCGACGTGGAGTCGACTGTCAGCATCTTTGAACGGTGAGCTGGGGTATAATCAGGTCAAGAGTAGGATTAGAGTCCCTTAGCATCCCCCGCCCTACATCCCACGTCAGCTGTTATCCTCCCCCAACTCCTGCAATCCAGTTCCCCTCATTTTTTGCTTCATTCTCCTCCCTTGCTTCTTCCCTCCTCCGCCTCACTCCTGTGGTATGGCTCAACCTTTCTTCAGGATGGTGAGCGGGCTGCTCAAGACAGCACAGGGAGTGCCGCCTGGGGCGGACTCAACACTGAATGCCGCCCAGGATCAGCAGCTGCGCCTGGCCGCCATCAAGTGCATGGTGGGGGTCCTCCGCTCCATGGGCTCCTGGACCAACCGCCAGCTCTGTGTCACCGCCGGGCCCAAAGTAGCCGCGGAAATCGGCGCGGCTGCTGCAGCGGCGGCCGCGTCGGCGGCGGCAACAGCAGCAGCGGCGGCGGCTGCGGCGGCAGCAGGGGAGGGGGGTGTGGCGGCTTCTGTGGCTGTGCCGGATCTTCTATCTGGGGACCTGCTGCCGGATTTTGTGAATCCCAGGACAGGGGTGTTGCCTGTTGCGAAATCAGAGGAGGCCTTGGAGGAGGAGGCGCTTGGGGGGTTGCCTGGGGTTGGAGCAAATTCTGTGGGCAGTGGGAATGAGATTTCAGAGGCCGCAATTCTGGAGCAGAGACGGGCGTATAAGCTGGAGCTGCAGGAGGGTATGAACCTGTTCAACAAGAAGCCGAAGAAGGGGATAGATTTTCTGATCAAGGCGAAGAAGCTGGGGGAGAGTGCGGAGGAGATTGTTGCGTTTCTGCGCAAAACAGAGGGGCTGGATAAGACGATGATTGGCGATTTTCTAGGGGACAGGGACGACATGAGCATCAAGATCATGCACGCCTACATGGACTCGTACAACCTCTCTGTAAGTGATCAAGTTGGTTGTTTTTTTTCCAATGTATAGGTTTTTTTTCTGCAAATGGGTGTGACCTGCGTAGAGTAATTATGCAGGTGCATGATTTGCGGAGCATGATGATGTGTGATCCCCCCTCTCCCCTCTCCTTTCTCCCTTCTCCCATCTCCCCTCTCCTTTCTCCCTTCTCCCATCTCCCCTCTCCCCTCTCCTTTCGCCCCTCCCCTCTCTCCCCTCTCTTTTCTCTCCCCTCACCTTTCTCCTCTCTCCTTTCTCCCTTCTCCCCTCTCCTCTCTCCTTTCTCCCCTCTCCCATCTCCCCTCTCGCCTCTCCCCTCTCCTCTCTCCCTTCTCCTCACTCCCCCGCTTAACCCTATGCCGCCCTGCCAGGGAATGGATTTTGACGAGGCCATTCGGGCGGTGCTGCTGGGGTTCAGGCTGCCAGGCGAGGCGCAGAAGATTGATCGAATCATGGAGAAGTTTGCTGAGCGCTACTGCCGCTGCAACCCCAAGGCCTTCACCAGCGCCGATACTGCCTATGTGCTCGCGTACTCTGTCATTATGCTTAACACGGACGCTCATAACCCGGGCGTCAAGACTAAGGTGAGTGCTGTGATGATATGAATTATCAATGTAGCCCTTCAAAAAGCTGTCACAGGGCGGATACGGCCCTACTGCTTGCTTACTCTCTCGTACTCAAGCTTTATGCTCAACACAGACGCACCCAACACAACCCTGGCGTCCTTCTCTTCCACGCCCCCTTCCCTTTCACGCCTCCTCAGCTTCCACACTCCCTTCCCTTCCATTCCCCATTCCCACCATGCATTGTGCTTCCTCTCTTCCCAGATGAGCAAAGCTGACTTTCTGAAGAACAACCGCGGAATCGACGACGGCAAAGACATCCCAGAGGAGTTTCTGGGCGGGCTATACGACCGCATCACACGGAACGAGATCAAGATGAAGCCGGAGATCCTGGGGCCAGGAGGAGTGGTGTCGAAGGCTGCAGTGAGCAGTGCGGCGGGCAACGCGCTGCTGGGGCTGGAGAGCATTCTGAACCTCATGTCGGGACGCACGAGAGCCACCACTGAGCTGGAGACGAGTGATGAAGTGGTGAAGCACATGCAGGAGCAGTTCCGTGCCAAGGCGGGCAAGTCAGGGTGAGCGTCAGTGCGGGAAGGTGAGGGTGAGCTGCAACAGGGGGAGGTCAGGGTTATTTCAGTCACAGAGGAAATCAGCGTAAGTGTGTCCACAGCTGCAGTGATCCAAAGCAGGCAATGCGCTGCTCGGGATTGAGAGCATTCTGAACCACATGCCGGGACGCACGAGGGCCACCACGGAGCTATGCAGCGTCGGATGTGCAGATCATCTGGCCCATGGTGGACGTGGTGTGGGCGCCCATGCTAGCAATCGTTCCCTTTTACCAATGCTGTAATCCTTGCCCTCGTCCCTCATCCTGCCCCATTCGTCCCCCTTCCCCCAGATCGGTGTTCTATGCAGCGTCAGACGTGCAGATCATCCGTCCCATGGTGGACGTGGTGTGGGCGCCCATGCTAGCCGCGTTCTCAGTGCCCCTAGAGACCACAGAGGAGGAGGCTGTCACGGAGCAGTGCCTGGAGGGGTTCCGTTATGCCGTGCATGTTACTGCTGTTATTGGCATGCAGGTAAGAGGTGGGGGAATGTGAGAGTGCAGTTGAGAGGGTATGGGAGACCACAGAGGAGGAGGCTGTCACGGAGCAGTGCCTGGAGGGGTTCCGATATGCCGTGCACATGACAGCTGTTATTGGCATGCAGGTGAGGGGCACGTGAGGAGGTGTGTGTGAGGCTGGGGCACGTGCGGGACTGGGGCACGTGAGGGACTGGGGCACGTGACTGGGGCACGTGAGGGACTGGGGCACGTGCGGGACTGGGGCACGTGCGGGACTGGGGCACGTGCGGGACTGGGGCACGTGCGGGACTGGGGCACGTGCGGGACTGGGGCACGTGAGGGACTGGGGCACGTGCGGGACTGGGGCACGTGAGGGACTGGGGCACGTGAGGGACTGGGGCACGTGCGGGACTGGGGCACGTGCGGGACTGGGGCACGTGAGGGACTGGGGCACGTGCGGGACTGGGGCATGTGAGGGGCTGAGGCATGTGAGGGGCTGAGGCATGTGAGGGGCTGAGGCATGTGAGGGGCTGAGGCATGTGAGGGGCTGAGGCATGTGAGGGGCTGAGGCATGTGAGGGGCTGAGGCATGTGAGGGGCTGAGGCATGTGAGTGAGAGGCCTTGGACCTGTGGGGGTGTGACAGAGCACAGCGCACCTGGTTCATGTGAGGGACAGAAGTATGCAGGAAGGGGGGGAAGATATCAGTGAGGGGCATGTTCGGGAGATGCATGTTCCTTGTTGAAAGAACGTCTTCCTCCATCTGCTCCTCATCAATCTCCTCTCCTTTCTCCACTGACTGCTCTGCAATGTGATCTGTGAGTCTACTCAAAGGTCCTCTATTTGCTCCTCATGAGCTTGCTTTTTTTTCTTTCCACTGTCTTGCCTGCGAATCCACCAGATGCAACGAGACGCGTTTGTGACATCGCTGGCCAAGTTCACGTCACTGCACTCCGCAGCAGACATCAAGCAGAAGAACGTGGACGCCATCAAGGTGGGTGGTTGGGTGGGTGGTTGAGATGGGTGGGTGAGATGGGTGGGTGAGATGGGTGGGTGAGATGGGTGGGTGAGATGGGTGGGTGAGATGGGTGGGTGAGATGGGTGGGTGAGCCAGGTGGATCAAGGTGGGTGGGTGAGGTGGGTGTGCTTGTCCAGGTGTAATATGAGCGGACTGAAGTATACTTGTTATGATTACGGGCATCCCATCGGCGCCCATGTCTCCTCTGCCCCTTCCCAGTACTCGCCCATTCGCCTTCCCAGCCCTGCCCTTTCCCCCTCACACATTCTCCTCTCCCCTTCCACCTTCCATTTCCCTTCTGCTCCCCCCTACTCCCCTCCCCGCATGCCTCCTCTCCCCCTATCCGTGCAGAGCCTGATGCTAGTAGCACAGGACGATGGTAATTACCTGCAGGATGCGTAGGAGCATGTGCTCACGTGCACCTTTGCTCCCCTCCACTCTCCTACGCCTATACCTCCATCCCACGCATTCCCCACTCTCAGAGCCTGCTGCTAGTAGCAGAGGACGATGGCAACTACCTGCAGGACGCGTGGGAGCACGTGCTTGTGTGTGTCTTCTGCTGCATGCTCCCCATCCTCCCTCTTCCCCCTTCCAGAGCCTGCTGCTGGTGGCAGAGGATGACGGGAATCACCTGCAGGACGCGTGGGAACACGTGCTCATGTGCATCTCATGCTACGAGCACCTCCAGCTCATTGGCGAGGGCGCCCCCACCTACAGCCACTTCTTCTCCTCCCCGCCCCATTCCTGTCACCCTCTCTTAAAAACCACCAACTTATTCACCTCCTGCTTTTCCCCCCGTCTTGTCCCCCTCGCCCTTCCCTCTCCTGCCCTCTTCTCACTTCCCCTTCCCCCCCTGCAGAGCCTCTTACTAGTGGCAGAGGATGACGGGAATTACCTGCAGGACGCGTGGGAGCACGTTCTAACCTGCGTGTCGCGCTACGAGCACCTCCACCTCATTGGCGAGGGCGCCCCCACCGACTCCCACTTCTTCTCCGCCGCTCCGCAGCTCCCCCCGCTCACCCAGCAGCAGCGCCCTCAGCCCCTGGACCCCCAGGGGAAGAGGGGTGGCGGGAGGGGGGTGGCGGCGTCGGTGTATGGGGGCGGAGAGGGGCGTGGAGTGGTTGGGGGCGGACAGAGGGATTCTGGGACGCCGAGGGGGAGTGCAGGGGATGCTGGGACGCCCAGGGGGCAGGCAAAGAGGTTTGGCGAGGGAGGCGACGCCCCCGCTTGGAAGAATGTGAGTTGTGTGAATCGCAACTTGTAGGTCCTGCTTATGTGTAGGTTCTTTGCTACACTAGGCTGGTATGATCCAGTACTTCCTTCCTCCTCCCATCCTCCCTTGGTCTCGTCCCCCCTTTACTCCGCTCCTTTCCTTTTTCCTCCTCTCCTCCCCCTCCTCCGTTCCTCTCCTCTTCCTCATCTCCTCCTCCTCCCCCCCCTCCCCCGCCCGCTAGCAGGGAAGCTAACCTGGTAGAAAAGCTGGTGTGGCGTCCAAAGCTAGAGGGTCATATGCGACGTCTCAACGCATCTTCTCTTTCCTTTGTCCCCTTCTGCCTGCCTGCCTCCTCTCTCCCTCCCCTCCCTTTCCCCCAGGTATCCGGGAAGCTCAATCAGGTGGAGAAGCTGGTGAGGCGAGGGTCATACGACTCATGGAACATGGTCTCCCCCCCCCTCCCTGCCTGCCTGCCTCCTCTCTCCCTCCCCTCCCTTTCCCCCAGGTATCCGGGAAGCTCAATCAGGTGGAGAAGCTGGTGCGGCGAGGGTCATACGACTCATGGAACATGGTCTCCCCCCCCCTCCCTGCCTGCCTGCCTCCTCTCTCCCTCCCCTCCCTTTCCCCCAGGTATCCGGGAAGCTCAACCAGGTGGAGAAGCTGGTGCGGCGAGGGTCATACGACTCATGGAACATGGTCTCCCCCCCCCTCCCTGCCTGCCTGCCTCCTCTCTCCCTCCCCTCCCTTTCCCCCAGGTATCCGGGAAGCTCAATCAGGTGGAGAAGCTGGTGCGGCGATGGTCATACGACTCATGGAACATGGTCTCCCCCCCCCTCCCTGCCTGCCTGCCTCCTCTCTCCCTCCCCTCCCTTTCCCCCAGGTATCCGGGAAGCTCAACCAGGTGGAGAAGCTGGTGAGGCGAGGGTCATACGACTCATGGAACATGGTCTCCCCCCCCCTCCCTGCCTGCCTGCCTCCTCTCTCCCTCCCCTCCCTTTCCCCCAGGTATCCGGGAAGCTCAATCAGGTGGAGAAGCTGGTGAGGCGAGGGTCATACGACTCATGGAACATGGTCTCCCCCCCCCTCCCTGCCTGCCTGCCTCCTCTCTCCCTCCCCTCCCTCAACTCCCTCCCCTCCTTGCTACTCCCCCCAGGTATCCGGGAAGCTCAACCAGGTGGAGAAGCTGGTGAGGCGAGGGTCATACGACCCGCAGGGGATGATCGTTGGAGGACCCACAGGGGTGGGCGTGGGCGTGTCCCTCTCGCACCTCTCCCCCGACCAGGTCAGTCCCGTTTGTTGCCAGGCCAGAACAAGGAGCGCTGGCAGGGCAAGGCAACGTGAAATGCCAGTAACAGCCAAGGGGTGGGGGTGGGCGTGGGCGTGTCCCTCTTGCAACCCTCCCCCGAGTCCTCGACCAGGTCAGTCTGGTTAGTTGGTAGCCCAGAACAAGGAGCGCTGGCATGGCAAGGCAACGTGAAATGCCAGTAGCAGCCACAGGGGTGAGTGTGGGCGTGTCTCTCTCGCACCTCTCCCCCAGCCAGGTCAGTCCTTATTCGGAGAAGCCGGATGGGGCTAGTCCGTGTGAGGTGTATGTTGCAGCCACAGGGGTGGGAAGACGGGAACAGAAGAGTTTGTCTTTCGTGTTGCTCCCCCAGTCAGTCAGGCATTCAGTCCCCTGTGCTGCCAGAGAGCATGGTTAACAGGGCTTTGCCAATATATGCCTCTGCCTAACGCCACTCCCCCTTCCCACACTTTCTCCTCTCCGCCTACTCTCTCAATCACAGGTGCAGCTGCTGGTGGCTAACCTCGGCCTGCTAGAGCAGGCGGGGTCAGACAAGGTACTTTCTATCTAACCATGTGTCCCCTTTCCAAATCCCATTCCCCCTTTTAACATTCCCGCCCATATTTGCCAACTACAGGTGCAGCTGCTGGTGGCTAACCTCGGCCTGCTGGAGCAGGTGGGGTCGGACGAGGTCTCGCGCCTCTTCTCCCGCAGCGAGCGCCTCAACGGGCAGGCGATAGTGGAGTTTGTGAAAGCCCTCTGCAAGGTGTCGCTGGAGGAGCTGCGCTCGCCCACGGAACCAAGAGTCTTCTCCTTGACGAAAATTGTCGAGATTGCGTAAGAAATTTCCCCTCCCTACAAAGCACCTTAAGAGGTGAGCGTCTCAACGGGTAGGCGATAGTGGAATTCGTCAAAGCCGTCTGCAAGGTGTCGCTCGAGGAGATGTGCTCGCCCATGGAACCCAGGGTCTTCTCCTTGACAAAAATTGCTGGAGGAGCTGCGCTCGCCCATGTGTTGCTGGAGGAGCTGCGCTCGCCCACGGAACCCAGGGTCTTCTCCCCGACCAAGATGGTCGAGATGGTTGTGAGTGCTGAGAGAATGTGTGAGTGCTTATAGTGAGTGGGTTAACAGGCACCCCAGGACATAGTGGAGTTTGTAAGGTCCTGAAGCACCCAACTTGAACAACATAAGCTGCATTCTTTCTGCCTCCCACTGCTCCCCACTCCTTCACCAGCCATTTCGTGACGGTGGAATGCATGCCCAACCTCTCAGTGGCCATGTATGCTATAGACAGCCTGCGCCAGCTCGCCATGAAGTTCCTGGAGCGAGAGGAGCTGAGCAATCACAGCTTCCAGAACGAGTTCCCCCCTCACCACCCCAAACCCTGCCGCCACCTCCCTCTGGATCTCTCCCCTCCCCCCTCCCCTGGGCAGCCATTTCAACATGAGCCGCATTCGGCTCGTCTGGTCGCGGATCTGGGCCGTTCTTGCCGATTATTTCGTGACCGTTGGATGCATGCCGAACCTCTCAGTGGCCATGTATGCCATTGACAGCCTGCGCCAGCTGGCAATGAAGTTCCTCGAGCGCAAGGAGCTGATCAACTACAACTTCCAGAACGAGTTCCCTCCTCACCACCACCCTAACCCCCACCGCCACCTCCCTTCCTATTTCCCCCTCCTCGCTTCCCCGATGCAGCCATTTCAACATGAGCCGCATTCGGCTCGTCTGGTCGCGGATCTGGGCCGTTCTTGCCGATTATTTCGTGACCGTTGGATGCATGCCGAACCTCTCAGTGGCCATGTATGCCATTGACAGCCTGCGCCAGCTGGCAATGAAGTTCCTCGAGCGAGAGGAGCTGAGCAACTACAACTTCCAGAACGAGTTCCTGAAGCCGTTTGTGGTGGTCATGCGGCGGACGGCGAGTGTGGAGATCCGGGAGCTGATTATTCGCTGCGTGTCGCAAATGGTGTTTGCGCGCGTGGGGAATGTGAAATCCGGATGGAAAATCATGTTCATGGTGAGTCAGGGGATGGGGATGGGGAGGGGGGGAGGGGGAATGCGGTGGCAGGGAGTTTATTATCTGCTGCGTGTCGCAGATGGTGTTTGCGCGCGTGGGGAACGTGTAGTTTGGCTGGAAAAATATGTTCATGGTGATTTATGAGGGGATAGGGAAAAAGAGAGAGTGGGGGGAGAAAGGAGCGGGGAAGGGGATTCAGCAGCACGTATGGGTGCTGGATGTGGTGGGGCGGGTTGGGAGGCCCAGGGTGAGGGTTGATTTGAAGCTTTGGTGGAAATTCAGGTTTAGGGTGATGAAATGGGCATCATTTCAATGAGATGTTTCACAGCTTTATTGCCTTCTCCCTTTCACATGCTCCATTCAGGTGTTCGCCACAGCAGCCACGGACGACAAGAAGAACATCGTCCTTCTCGCCTTCGAGACAATCGAAAAGGTCGTGCGGGAATACTTCTCCTACTTCCTCACATCCTACCACTTTTCTTCTCTCTCCCCTCCTCATCCCCATCTGTCCCTCCCTCCCTCCAGGTGTTCACCACAGCAGCCACGGACGACAACAAGAACATCGTCCTCCTTGCCTTTGAGACAATCGAGAAGGTCGTGCGGGAGTACTTCCCCTACATCACCGAAACCGAAACCACCACCTTCACAGACTGCGTCAACTGCCTCATCGCCTTTACCAACTCGCGCTTCAATAAAGACGTCTCCCTTAACGCTATAGCCTTCCTGCGCTTTTGCGCGCTGAAGCTGGCCGAGGGGGACCTAGGGGCGAGTGCACTGGAGAGGGAGAAGGGGCTGAGCCCCTCTCAGGTGTCGCACCTGCCTGGGCATCCGGATGGGGAGGAATTCACAGATAAGGACGACCACCTCTACTTCTGGTTCCCGCTCCTCGCTGGTGAGTTCTATTTGAGCGCCTAATGAGTCGACTGAAATGCTTGGCATGCACCTAGGACGACTTTTGAGACGTCTCAAAAGCATGCACCTAGGACGACTTTTGAGACGTCTCAAAAGCATGCACCGAGGACGGAGATGTGTTTGAGAATTCTCAAAAGCGACTGAAATGCTTGGCACGCACCTGGGACGGAGATGTGTTTACGCAGTTGACTCAAAACGCACCTGCCGGGCTTCCGGATGGGGAGGAGTTTATCGACAAGGACGACCACCTCTACTACTGGTTCCCACTCCTTGCTAGTGATGATTGTTGAATGGACTCGGAACATGATGTGTGACTCGGAACGTGATGTGTGATGTGTAAGGGGATGACTCTCGAGTTGACTCAACGCACCTGCCGGGGCATCCGGATGGGGAGGAGTTTACCGACAAGGACGACCACCTCTACTTCTGGTTCCCACTTCTTGCTGGTGAGTGCTTACCTGTTGAGTGTTTCCAAAATGTGTTGTTTGTATCTTGGTGAGGAGATGACTTCTCGTCTCGCCCCCTTCCTCCACTTCCTCGTTCCGTTGTTCCCCCCTCCTCTCCTCCTTTCCACCACCAACTCGGTCCGAGCTCACCTTTGACCCGCGGCCAGACATCAGAAAGTGTGCACTCGAAGTCCTCTTCGACACGCTGGGCTTCCACGGCCACATGTTCTCCGCCGCCCTCTGGGAGCGTGTATTCGAGTCCGTCCTCTTCCCTATCTTCGACTATGTGCGCTGCGCCTCCGAACGTGGGTGTATGCGGTCCTAAAAACTCACTCCCTCACTCGCTTGTTCCCTTCCCTCCTCCCCACCCCTACCCCACCAGGCCTGTCGGAACTCAAGTTTGACCCCCGTCCCGATATAAGAAAGAGTGCACTCGAAGTTCTCTTTGACACGCTGCGCTTCCACGGCCACATGTTCTCCGCCGCCCTCTGGGAGCGCGTCTTCGAGTCCGTCCTCTTCCCCATCTTCGACTACGTTCGCCGCGCCTCCGAACGCGGGTGTTGGGTTCCTAAAAACTCACTCCCTCCCTCTCTCACTCCCTCTCTCCCTTGTTTCTTCCCTCCTTCCCAACCCCCCTCCACCACCAGGCCTGTCCGAGCTGACCTTTGATCCCCGTCCCGACATCAGAAAGAGCGCCCTCGAAGTCCTCTTTGACACGCTCCGCTTCCACGGCCACATGTTCTCCGCCGCCCTCTGGGAGCGCGTCTTCGAGTCCGTCCTCTTCCCCATCTTTGATTACGTGCGCCGTGCCTCTGAACCCCAGCACGGCGAGCCCGGCGGGATGGTCCTGGGGGCTAAAAGAGGGGGCGGAGGAGGAGGGGGAGGAGATGGGGGAAAGGCGCATACGGGAGGGGTACCGGGAGGGGGGAAAGGGGCTGAGGGGGGAGGAGGAGTTGATGTGCCGATTCACAAGCATTCACATCACAAGGGCGCGCCGCTGTCCCGCCACCCGTCCACGTCAGAAGATGAGCGGCTCCGGGCGGCACGAAGCGGCAGTCCCGATCCCGTATCGGAACTCGAGATGGATGCATGGCTGTATGAGACTTGCACTCTGGCGCTTCAGCTAGTAGTGGATCTTTTTGTGAAGTTTTACAGTAAAGTGAGTCCGCTTCTAGGGAAGATTCTCGCGCTGCTGACGTCGTTCATCCGCCGGCCGCACCAGAGCCTAGCAGCAATTGGCGTGGCGGCGTTTGTGCGGCTCATGAGCAACGCAGGGGGCCTGTTTTCTGAGGAGAAGTGGGATGAGGTGCTGACAGCACTTAAGGAAACGACAGGGACGACACTCCCTGATCTGGCTGGGGTGGTGAAGGCTGCAGATTTGGAGGATGAGGAGGAGAGGGAGATGGAGCGGCAGCAGCAGATTCGGGAGGCCAGGAGGTTTGATTTCACGAGGGATGAGGATGAAGAGGAGCAGAAGCAGCAGCATCAGCAGCTGGCTGCTGCTGTTGCAGAGGCGGTTGGTGCTGCTGCAGGTGGTGGTGGTGGTGCGGAAGGTGGGGATGGACGAGAGGAGGGTGGATTGGAAGTGAAGAGGCCGATGACGCTGGCAGAAGCTGTGGCGGATGTGCGGTGCAAGATAGCAGTGCAGCTGCTGCTCGTGCAGGTAAGCCTTCTGGATATCATGTGCTGGTGCTAGTGCAGGTAAGCCTCTGCTTACTTTGTGTAGGTAGGCCTATTGATTACTGTGTGCCACTACTGTCGCTCGTGCTGCTGCCTTGAAGAACGCACCTGCAAACCATCCTCTCCCTCCCACCTTCCCGTCTTCCCCCCCACCCCCCCCCCCCCCCCCTTCCTCTTTCCCCCCTCCTCCACCACTCCCAACACCCATCCAGGCAATGACTGAGATCTTGAGCATGCACCCGCAAGCCATCCCTGCAAACTCATGCTGTCACTTCCACCCTCCCTCCCCCAACTCCCCCTCCTCCACCACTCCCAACACCCATCCAGGCAATGACACAGATCTTGAGCATGCACCCGCAAGCCATCCCTGCAAACTCATGCTGTCACTTCCACCCTCCCTCCCCCAACTCCCCCTCCTCCACCACTCCCAACACCCATCCAGGCAATGACTGAGATCTTGAGCATGCACCCGCAAGCCATCCCTGCAAACTCATGCTGTCACTTCCACCCTCCCTCCCCCAACTCCCCCTCCTCCACCACTCCCAACACCCATCCAGGCAATGACTGAGATCTTGAGCATGCACCCGCAAGCCATCCCTGCAAACTCATGCTGTCACTTCCACCCTCCCTCCCCCAACTCCCCCTCCTCCACCACTCCCAACACCCATCCAGGCAATGACTGAGATCTTGAGCATGCACCCGCAAGCCATCCCTGCAAACTCATGCTGTCACTTCCACCCTCCCTCCCCCAACTCCCCCTCCTCCACCACTCCCAACACCCATCCAGGCAATGACTGAGATCTTTAGCATGCACGGCGCCGCCCTGTCCGCCCCGCACACCCTCATCCTCCTCGACTCGCTCCACCGAGTCGGCACGCACGCCCACGCCATCAACTCAGACCGTCTCCTGCGCTCGCGCCTGCAAGCCCTCCACCTGGCCACTCAGATGCCCGACCCACCGCTGCTGAGGTTAGAGAGTGAGGCGCTGCATGCGTACCTCAGCCTTCTGCAGCGCCTGCCACGGGAGAAGGCACAGCTGGCCAAGGAGGTGGACGTGGAGCTCCGTCTCGTGATTCTATGTGAAGAGGTGCTTCGGGTACGTGCTTCCCTGTTTCTTTGTCCAGAAGGATGGTTAGTGCAGGGAAGGTAGGTTAGAGAGTGAGGCGCTGCATGCGTACCTCAGCCTTCTGCAGCGCCTGCCACGGGAGAAGGCCCAGCTGGCCAAGGAGGTGGGCGTGGAACTGAGGCTCGTGATCCTTTGTGAAGAGGTGCTTCAGGTATGTTCCTCTGAGCTCTCCTCTCTCTCCTTCTCTCCTTTCTCTTCCTTAGGGGGTACTTCTGTTTGTGGAATGTAGGTAGACTCCGCGCCTGCAAGCCCTCCATCTGGCCACTCAGATGCCCGATCCGCTGCTGTTGAGGCTGGAGAGTGAGGCACTGGAGACTGAGATACCCATTTCCCTCCCTTCAACCTCGCTTCTTTCCCCCCTCTCCCCCCTCCCATTCCGCCCTCTCCTCCTCCCTCTGTTGCCTTCCTTCCCCCATCGACACAGTTCATGTTCACTATGCGGACTAATCCCAGTATGTCTCCTATCCAATGATCCCCCTTTCCCCCCTCTGTTTTCCCCCTCTCTCCTTTCACTATCCAGGTGTATGTGGGGACGTCTCAGGGCAAACTAGCACTCATGACAGAAGACCCAAGAGGTCCAGACGCCCCACCCCTCCCTCCCATTCCTCTCGCTGTACCTCTCGGCTCGGCTCGGCGCCGGGAGCTGGTGGCTCGGGCGCCGCTGGTGGTGGCCACACTGCAGGCAGTTACCGCATTGAAGGATGCAGCGTTCAAGAAGCATCTGGCGAGGTTCTTCCCGTTGCTGGCTGATTTGGTGAGCAGCGAGCATGGATCGCCAGAGATTCAGGTTGCTTTGAGCAAGATGTTTTCGTCGAGGATTGGGCCAATCGTGTTTTCCGTAGCAGAGTGAGTGAACTGTCTGAGTATATGACGCAACGCTGTAATGCAACTTGGTTGACATTTTGAGACAACCATCTTATACTACATGCAGTACTGAAAATAGAGCAATGGAGATATTTGACTAAGCTGCAGGAGAAATTGAATGAGACATATTTACAGGTACCAGCCAACTACCAACATGCTGCTTTTATGTGATTTTGCCCAAGTTAGCTTCAAAGTTCACCTTGTGATGGTGGTGCATCACACCATAACAAATTTGGCGCAAATGACAGATTTATTGTACGCATCAGTTAACAGAATCTGTACATGACCCCGCAAAGCCGGGTCTCTTAAAACGAAGACAAAAACACCCCAATACCACATAGTACATACATACCCATAGCAGCCCACGGCCTAATCTGTTTAGAAAAGACAAATTATGAAAACGCCATCACGCATGTGATGCGATCAGTTCAGACACAATTGAAGCAGAACCCCCGGTTCCGCCACACGCCCCATCCCTTAGGCCCCTTGACGAACTGCCCTCGTGCCGCGCCCTCGGTATACGCGGCAGTCTTAACGAGCCCGTAGTACGAGTCGGGCGAGTCCAGAAGGTTCTGCATGGCCACTAAGTACGTGTCGCCCTGGTCATTAGTGCGCGACGACGCGTCGCGAATCACTCCCCTAGAGTAATACGAGTTCAAATCGCCGAGGGAGTTGTCTTTGCCGCCGCCAAAAAAGCCTCCCCCACAACCGCGACCCTTCTTCTTTTTACCGTAACGATGACCCGCCACGGCCTTCCCCGTGGTGTCCGTCCACGTGATGTCTGCCGTTAAGTCCATGACCACGTTTCCGTTCGTTCCTTCGGCGCCTTCGTTGACGGTGACGGACGTCGGCTCGCCAGAATCCGTCAGCGCGATGCCGACTTGGAAGTACAGGTCGTAGACGGTGTCGTTCCTGTAACGAGAGTGACAGAAATGGGAGGGTTTCGGACAAGGGTAAGAACAACAAGCATTCGTTGTCGAACGACGCGCGGACGCGACGAAAAAGAGGAATTTGCCCCTCCCCTCCCGCCATCTCCACCCCACCTGCGAACGTAGAAAGCTTTTGTCCAGCGCACAGGGCTGTTTTTTACCAGCCGAGCACGAGATCGATAATTACCCCTTTCAACTTTCCCGTCGAAAATCGTCAACATAAATCGTAATAAGAATAATAAAGATTCTTTCAGGCGCGCAGGGGTATTTCTTACTTGACGAGCACGAGATCGATGACCCCTGTGGCGTCCTTATCGCCGATCACATTCCCTTTCCCGTCCCCATCTCAGACATAAAAGAACACCCTTTCAAGTAAGTGGGGCTGAATCTTACCGGACGAGCACGAGATCGATGACCCCTGTGGCGTCCTTATCACCGATCGAGTTCCCGCTAGCGTCCACCGCCTGTCCTCCGCGAAGCGTCGCTGATGCCGCTCCCGCAATCTTGCCTTTCCCCTTCTTTCCGAATCTTGGCCCCTTCCACCCTCCTCCCTTTCCGCCGCCTTTTCCGCCGCCGCCGCCATTTCCGCCGCCGTTGCCGCCGCCTTTGCCGCCGCCGTTACCACCGTCCTTCTTTCCAAGCGCACCTGACACACGGCAAGAGAAGCGCACGCAGACACTACGTCAGATGCGAAAACGAAAGACCTGAATGGAGGGGGCGGAATCATCGCGGAGGGAGCTTACTGGTGGCGAGGAGAAGGCCCAAAAGCAGAGACACGAGAAGCACCCGAGTGATCTTCATTGTGATAGAATTGTGCGTCACTGACGGAAACGGAGCGGAAGTGCTAAACCGCAGTCGCTAACGCGTCAGGCCGGCAAGTTTCGAATATGTTCAGGATTATTTGATGCTAGCGGAATTCACAGCGTGTAAAATTGAGCTGCCTGGACTCTAGTGTTGGAAGGGGAAGGGGAGAGTGCTGGTGCTGGCTGTGGTCTGCGCGGAACCTTATGTGTGCTGCTGAGAGAGGGCTTGGGCTTTGGGAGGCACAATTGGCGCAAGGGGCGGGAGACGAGAAGCGCGAGTTTCGATGTGGTGAGGGTGGGTTGGCTTGGGTGGGATAGGGATGGGGGGAGATGGTTGGTCGGATACTGTATCCAGACTTGGGGCGGAGGGGAGCTGGTTGAAGGGGAAGGGGAAATAGGGAAGAGAGCCAGCGCGGTGCGAAATGCAGTGATTCAGAGAGGGATGCGTTTTGGTTGGTCGGAGGGCAGGAGTGCAGCACTGCGGGCAGCAATTGCCGTGATGGCAGCTGCAAACACCACTACAGTGGCGCATCCCATCGCACTCGGCACATCCCCGCCGTGCCCTGCCGCGGCTTTCCACTTGCCAAGCTGAGCACTCTCTCGTTTGAACGTGGTGAGAGAGGGTTTGGGAGGGTGCAGTAATCCCTTGGAAAGTGTGCTGTGCAGAGCGCGTCCGAGTCAGGTCGCCTTCCTGAGATGGGGCCGAATGGGGGAGCAGCACCATTGGTCCAGCGTGGCAGAATTGATATGGGTCACACCCACCACACGTGCCATGCGACGGGAGTCGCATTGGGCGAAGAACAAACAAAGAATCGGTGCAACCACTCACCTGCGTCAGCAGCAAACGTTCATGCGACATTACCCAACGGCCGCATGCACCCACGAGACGGTCGAAAACGGCCTGGGAGGGAACGGCAAAAGTTTTCGGGTTCTAGCCACCACTGGGAACCCGTGACAGTCTAGCGAGACTGTCGTTCTGACGTTCGGAGACTTCAGAAGTTGACGTGAGGCAATTTCGCACGACCCTTGGCTGCCAACTCATGCGACGTCCACATTCACCCCCACTTTGCTGCCATGCCACAGGCACGTGTTTCGTGAACTGTTGCTTGGGGCCACGTCGGATGGGGCCGAATGGGGCCCCATCTCAGGAAGGCGATCTCAGCAAAAAATGGATCTGTAGCGGAATTGGTCGGTGAGGTATGGTGCTGCTGTTGCGAAAACATGGACTCTGTTCATCGCAAACCCCGCGAGACTGTTCATGGAATGTGTAAGGGGATGTGCAGGCTAGCCAGGCGAACCCAGCTTCCCGTAACCCGTTCGCGAACGCACACGTGCTGCTAACGACCCCCACTACTCCCGCAACGAACGGCACAAGTATTGTTGAGCGGGAGGATGTGACAAACGACCTTGACCTCCAATAGGTTGGCATTGAAAGTGAACTTACTTGACACGTACTGTAAAACACATTTTCATCACACCGTTCGCTTGATTTGTTTTTATCACAAACGTTATCGGGGCCCTCATGATTACCAGCCGCATATATTCCCGTCTTTGGAAGAGGTGGAAGAGGTGTAACATCGCGATACAGTAAGTGATATGAATGCTTTCTACATATGCATAACAAAATCTGTACAAGTCTCATGCAACAAATGTGAGGTTTCCGAAACTTATAAACGGGCACTGCTAAACGAAGAGAAAAACATGCCAAAACTAGCAGCCCACCAGCTTCGTCTTCTAGAAGGAACTCACCTAGAACGATGCAGTCTCCATGACGCATCGTACGAATATCAGCTTCATGCAGTTGGATTGGAAATATCAACAGTTGAACTTAAAGCAGAATCCGCGGTTCCGCCACACGCCCCATCCCTTAGGCCCCTTCCTGAACTGCCCCCTTGCCGCGCCTTCGGGATACGTGTCAGTCTTAACGAGCCCATAGTATGATTCGGGGGAGTCCAGAAGGTTTTGCATTGCCACTAAGTACGTGTCGCCTTGCGCATTAGTACGCGACGATGCATCGCGAATGACCCCCCTTGTGTAATACGTGTACATGTCCCTCAGGGAGTTGTCTCGGCCCCGGAACATGCGACCTCCCCATCCCCAGCCCTTCTTCTTCCGGCCGTAGCGCGGACCCGCCGCGGCATTCCCGGTGGTGTTTGTCCACGTGATGTCTTCCGTGAAGTCGATGACCACGTTTCCGTTAGTTCCTTCGGCGCCTTCGTTGACGGTGACGGACGTCAGCTCGCCGGAATCCGTCAGCGCGATGCCGACTTGGAAGTGGAGGTCGTATACGGTGTCGTTCCTGTAACGAGACGGACAAAAACCGGAAGTTGCAAACAAGGGTCATGTCAGAAGGACTCGTAGTAACCGCGATCAAACGACCTGCGAAAGCCACGAAAAGAAAAAATAAATTTCTCCCATCCTTCCACGTGCCATCTTCATCCCTATCTGCGGGCATATAAAAACTCCGTCAAGCTTGTGGGAGTTACTCTCACCAAATGAGCACATAAATCAATGAGGCTCCTTTCCCCTTTCCCCTCCCATCACCATTCCCGGAAATTTGGAAAAATGAGGGGCTAATTCTTACCGGACGAGCACGAGATCGATGACCCCTGTGGCGTTCTTATCGCCGATCACGTTCCCGTTAGCGTCCACCACCTCTTCTCCGCGAAGCCTCGCTGACGCCGCTCCCGCAATCTTGCTCTTCCCCTTTTTGCCGAAACTCGGCCCTTTCCATCCCCCTCCCTTTCCGCCTTTTCCGTTGCCGCCTCCCTTTCCGCCACCCTTGCCACCGCCCTACCCGTTGCCGCCGCCCTTCCCGTTTCCTCCGCCTTCACCGCCGTCCTTCTTTCCGACCGCACCTGACACACGGGCAAGAATGGGAAAAATAGAGCACCTGAGTTATCTGCTAGTCGGTTTGAGGTGTACTTTTCTGCAGTTAGCGAAGTTCTGCGACAGACGGTTACGTCAGCTGCGAAAACAAATGTCCCGAACGGAGGAAGCGGAACCGTCGCGGATGGGGCTTACTGGTGGCGAGAAAAAGAGCCAAAAGCAGAGAGACGAGAAGCAGCCGAGTGATCCTCATTGCGGTAATCTTGTTGTGTCGCTGTCAAATACGAGTCGGCTCCGAAGTCGCTAACGAGTCAAGGCTGCAAACTTCGATCGTGATGAAGTTCAGGGCTGTTTGTTCCAGGCGTGATTCGCGTTGTACGATCTCGAGGTGCGCGACTCTGTGTGTGTCGAGTGAGAAAATTTGGTTCGACTGAAGTGAAATGCTGATGACGACTCGACTGGCTGAGCCTTTTTATGCTGAGATGAGAAATGGGAAGCATTTTTGTGAGGGGCCCAATTGGCGAATGGGCGGCGAGCGACGTGAGGTTTGATGTGGTGGGGGGGTGGTTGCTGAGAAGGAATTGTGCAGGTTGGTTGGGGGAAAGGGGCTGGGGGGGAAATGGCTGGTCGGAGATTCGGACCGACTTGGGGGGCGGTGTGCAGCACATGCGCGGCTCAAGATGCAGTGATGCGCGCGGTTGGTCGGAGGACAGCAGTACAGCACTGCGGGAAGGGCAGCAACGGCTGGTTCAGCTGCAAACACCACTGGCGCTCCCCAATCCACTCAGCACATCCCCGCCGTTCCCTGCCGTGCCATCCCACTGACAAGCTGAACGCTCACCGCCCTCCCCCTCTGCTCTCCCCACGCGGAGAGGCTTGGTTGGGGAACAAGTGGTGTTGAGTGATCCTGGTACCCCACGACACTGTTCATGGCATGGAATGCCAGGGGGGGATGCAGACGAACCGGGTTTCCCTTTTCGTGAATTCACTCGTGTTGCTAACGACGTATGCTCTTCGTAACGAAAGGCACATGCTCAGATGAGCAGGAGATGGAGGGTGAGATGTGACAAACGACCATGACCTGCGACACGCATGAAACCTGCATGTGCGTTTTGGGATGTTTCGCCGTTCATCTCGCACGGGTGCTGCCGACAGGTGCAGCGAGGATGTTTTATCGGCAAAAGCCGTTAGTACATGGGGTCCTTCGCAACGCCATGCCAGTCCTTGCCAGTGGGTGATGGTCAGGTCTGCGGCAACTCGAACAAAATGGACGGTTCAGTGCGTTTCCGAAACTGTCAGGTTGTTGCGTCGTAACCACCATAACTCAGCAAGAATGTTCCATAATACGCGATACGAATCGCATCGTTCCAGAAAGAGCGTGGCCCAAAAATTCAGCACCGCCGTAAAAAAAAAAAAAACACGACTTCTGCACCTCAACGACCTCCATCAACCACACACCCTGCTACCAGTCTCCACTTGCCATCTGACAAATCCCAAAATCCTGAAACCCAATCGGCGTGCTGCACACCTGGCGGGCGAATGCCTGTCAGTCTGAAAGAGGATCATCAGATCAGGAATTCCCTAGCCTACCCAAACAAGAAGCAACATCCTAGCTTCAAGAGAGGGTTTTTACATCGGTGGTGCTGCCTAATCCTGATCTAGTGAAGTGCGTCTGTTAGTAGTTGGTGTGCGGTTCGCTGACGTGCTGTGGGTGACTGAATCTATCATCTATCGCACACAGCCGTTTCATCGATCAGCAGCGATGTCTGGGTACGATTACCAGGGCTACGGCGACGGCGGCGGTGGAGGGGGTGGTGGTGGAGGGGGAGGAGGAGGAGGAGGAGGAGGAGGGATATGGAGGGGGAGGCGGGTATGGCGGAGGTAAGATATCAAGCTGTTAGCAATGTTCTTCTCCTAAGATAACCCTGTTTCCGCTTTGTTATTTTCCGTGTGCGTCGAAAAGCACAAATCTGTTCATACAGAAGTAACTTCCGAAAGGCTATTATTCCTGAATTTTGTTTTGTCTACACATTAGATCGTCTGCATATGTTAATTGGCATTTCCTTTTCCCTTTTTGTGCACCCCTGCTTATTTCGACATGCCATTCTTACTCCGTTATTTTCATGGCGTGGAATCCGCGGTCAATTCGCCCAGGCGGGGGTCGCGGAGGGTTCGGCGGACGAGGCGGAGGAGGTCGAGGCGACGGTGATTGGCTGTGCCCGAACCCATCGTACGGACCGCTCTTAGCTTTTTAGTAACCACCACCTCCTCCAATGCCGGTCGTGGCTCGAATCTGTAACGTGGTGTTCGCATCGCTATGGCGACTGTCGCATGGGTTGGCGAAAGGTTTTTGGTTGCTTGGACGTTTCCCGGGTGGTCTGCTCGAATTTTCTCAATTTAAACAGGTAGGCTTGGACGTTTTAACCTTTTTTTTCCTCGTAGGTGTCGCTCTAATATACAGGCGCTGTAAGTTGTATCGAGGCGTCTTCTAGACGTCTTACACAAGTTGCGGTTGCTGTCTGGAAAAACTCGCAAAGACAGTTGTGTCCAGGCGCAATTGAATTCCGTCTGTTCGACCCGCGATCCGTTTCCGTCTCTCTCTCTCTTTTTTTTTTTTTTTTTTTTGTAATAATAATAATATATTCGTTGTGCTCTTCTTTCAAGCCTCTTGAATTTCCTCGTTCGTTCAACCTCTCGCCGTCGTCTCCGCCTGTGGTTTGTTCTTCGCAGATGTGGTAACAACAACTTCGCACGTCGCTCCGAGTGTAACCGCTGCGGCACCCCGCGCCCTGGCGGGGGCGGCGGAGGCGGAGACTACGGCGGAGGCGGAGGCGGAGGGTATGGCGGAGGCGGAGGCGGAGGGGGAGGGTATGGCGGAGGAGGCGGCCGCGGTGCTCCGCCCCCTCGGCCCGGCGACTGGGATTGCCCGGGGTGAGTGTTTCCTGGTGATTACAACGAAGGCGTAGCCGTGCGGTAGCGTGGTTATTATTACGAGGGCTATCCCGTTCGCGAGCACGATTTCTGTGCATGGAATTGCGAAGGGTGATTAAAACTCTATCCAGACAACGGTATTCCACTTATCTTTAGGATAATAAGAGCAAGTTCCGTGATTTTTTTTTCTTTTATATTACGCCCTCGAATCAGCCTCCTGGTTTTCATTTGAATCACTTCTTGGTACATCTCCTGTTCACTTGTTCCCGTTCTCCTTTCCTCTTTCCCCGTTCCCCTTTTCCCCCGTTTTCCGTACCCCCGTTCACCGTCCACCCTTCTCTCGGCCTCTGTTCCCCGTTCCTGCTCCCTATCCTCTGCTCACCCGTTCTTGATTCCCCCTTCCCCCCTTCCCGTCCGCCGTTCCCTGTTCCCCATCCTCCATCCCGCCGTTCTCTGTTTCCCGATCCTGTTCTCCGTTCCCCGATCCTGTTCTCCTCTTTCCCGTTCCTGGTTTCCCCCCCACAGTTGCGGAAACAACAACTTTGCCCGCCGCGCCGAGTGCTTCAAGTGCGGTACCGCGCGCCCCGCCGACGCGGGCGGCGGCGGCGGCGGCGGGCGGGAGGATCGATATGGCGGCGGAAGAGACGACAGGGGGAGTGATCGCTACGGGGGCGGGAGAGGCGAGGACAGGGGCGGGGACCGCTACGGCGGGGCGAGAGGCGACGACAGGGGAGGAGATCGCTACGGGGGAGGCAGAGGCGACGATAGGGGCAGGGGGGATGACAGGGGGAGGGGGGATGACCGCGGGAGAGATGACAGGGGAAGGGGGGACGATAGGCGCGGGGGGGATGACAGGCGCGGCGGGGACTACGGGTCCCGCGGAGGGGACCGCGACGGGGGGCGCGGGGATGGGGGCCGGGGGAGCGGAGATTATGGCGGGCGCGGTGGAGGGGACTTTGCGCGGGATGACAGGGGCGGTGGCGGAGGGGGAGGAGGATCCGCGGGCGGAGGATATGGGGGAGGGGGATATGGGAATGACGCCGGGGCGGACAGTGGGGGCGGGGGCGGGGGTGCGCCGGGGGTGAAGCAGTGCGATGAGAATTGCCCCCCGGATTGCGACAATGCGCGGATTTATATTTCCGGGCTGCCCAAGGACGTCACCGTTGACGAGCTATGCAACCTCTTCGGCGGCATTGGAATGGTGAGCTGTTGTGAGGGGTGGTGAGGGGTTGTGAGCGGGGGTGAGGGGTGGTGAGGGATGGTGAGGGATGTTGAGGGTTTCGTTGAGGATGAAGTAGGTGAGAGTTGGTTTTGAGTGGTTTCGAATGGAGGGATGAAAGGAGGGGTTTCATGACTGAATCAGTGTAAGAAACGAACTAGCAAAAGAGAAGAAAGAAAGAAGTAACCCAGGTGAGGGCAAGACTCATAGGAAAACGTTAACGCCCAGCAGGGTATAAGGGCCAGTCGCCGGTCAATGTGTGATAGCCATGGGATAGCATTGTGATAGTAGTTTGATAGCAGTACGATAGCAGTTTGATAGTTGGCACCGCAGAGTGTTGACTTGTGATTACCTCCACCCTCCCTTACCCTCGCCCTCCCTTTCCCCTCCACAACGCTCAATGGACGCTGCCTCTTTCCCTTGACCCTCTGCCTACACCACCCGTCCCCTCTCCCTCCCCCCTCCCCACTCCCCCTCCACCCTCTCCCTCCCCCCTCCCCACTCCCCCTCCCCCCTCTCCCATCCCCCCTTCCCTCTTCCCCCCTCCCCCCAGATCGCGCGCATCAAGCAGAAGCGCGGGTACAAGGACCAGTGGCCGTTCAACGTGAAGCTGTACACGGACGAGAGGGGGCAGAACAAGGGCGACGGCGTGCTGACCTACGAGGACCCGCAGGCCGCCCACAGCGCCGGTGGCTTCTTCAACGGTGAGCTGGGCACTTGGTTTGTAGTTTCTCTAGGCGTGTGTGTGTGGGTGGAAGGCGTGAAGCTCTACACGGACGGACGAGAGGGGGCAGAACGAGGGCGACGGCGTGTTCTGCTCACATACGAGGACCCCCAGGCCGCCCACAGCGCTGGTGGTTTTTCCTGACTTTTGAGTCGACTCAAAAGTCGGCCGCCTACAGCGCTGGTGGTTTTTCCAACGGTGAGCTGGGTGCCGCTGGGACCCGCCTTGGTGGGTTGGTTGGGGTGCTTGGTGGTTGCTCTAAGAGAGTGTGTGTGGTTGAAGGCGCGTGAAGCTCTACACGGACGGACGGGAGGGGGCAGAACGAGGGCGACGGCGTGCTCACGTACGAGGGCCCGCAGGCCGCCCACAGCGCTGGTGGCTTCTTCAACGGTGTGCTGGGCGCCAGGGGTTGGGTGCTGGGTGATGGGTGCTTGTGACTGGGTGATGGGTGATGGGTGATGGGTGATGGGTGATGGGTGATGGGTGCATGATGATGGGTGATGGGTGATGGGTGCATGATGATGGGTGATGGGTGATGGGTGCATGATGATGGGTGATGGGTGATGGGTGCATGATGATGGGTGATGGGTGATGGGTGCATGATGATGGGTGATGGGTGATGGGTGCATGATGATGGGTGATGGGTGCGTGATGATGGGTGATGGGTGCATGATGATGGGTGATGGGTGATGGGTGCATGATGATGGGTGATGGGTGATGGGTGCATGATGATGGGTGATGGGTGATGGGTGCATGATGATGGGTGATGGGTGATGGGTGCATGATGATGGGTGATGGGTGCGTGATGATGGGTGATGGGTGCATGATGATGGGTGATGGGTGCTTGTGACTGGGTGATGGGTGATGGGTGATGGGTGATGGGTGATGGGTGCATGATGATGGGTGATGGGTGATGGGTGCATGATGATGGGTGATGGATGATGGGTGATGGGTGCATGATGATGGGTGATGGGTGATGGGTGCATGATGATGGGTGATGGGTGTTGGGTGCATGATGATGGGTGATGGGTGATGGGTGCATGATGATGGGTGATGGGTGCGTGATGATGGGTGATGGGTGCATGATGATGGGTGATGGGTGCATGATGATGGGTGATGGGTGATGGATGCATGATGATGGGTGATGGGTGATGGGTGATGGGTGATGGGTGATGGGTGATGGGTGCATGATGATGGGTGATGGGTGATGGGTGCATGATGATGGGTGATGGGTGATGGGTGCATGATGATGGGTGATGGGTGATGGGTGCATGATGATGGGTGATGGGTGATGGGTGCATGATGATGGGTGATGGGTGATGGGTGCATGATGATGGGTGATGGGTGATGGGTGCATGATGATGGGTGATGGGTGATGGGTGCATGATGATGGGTGATGGGTGATGGGTGCATGATGATGGGTGATGGGTGATGGGTGATGGGTGCATGATGATGGGTGATGGGTGATGGGTGCATGATGATGGGTGATGGGTGATGGGTGCATGATGATGGGTGATGGGTGATGGGTGCATGATGATGGGTGATGGGTGATGGGTGCATGATGATGGGTGATGGGTGCGTGATGATGGGTGATGGGTGCATGATGATGGGTGATGGGTGCATGATGATGGGTGATGGGTGATGGGTGCATGATGATGGGTGATGGGTGATGGGTGCATGATGATGGGTGATGGGTGATGGGTGCATGATGATGGGTGATGGGTGCGTGATGATGGGTGATGGGTGCATGATGATGGGTGATGGGTGATGGATGCATGATGATGGGTGATGGGTGATGGGTGATGGGTGATGGGTGATGGGTGATGGGTGATGGGTGATGGGTGATGGGTGATGGGTGCATGATGATGGGTGATGGGTGATGGGTGCATGATGATGGGTGATGGGTGCATGATGATGGGTGATGGGTGATGGGTGCATGATGATGGGTGATGGGTGATGGGTGCATGATGATGGGTGATGGGTGATGGGTGCATGATGATGGGTGATGGGTGATGGGTGCATGATGATGGGTGATGGGTGATGGGTGCATGATGATGGGTGATGGGTGATGGGTGCATGATGATGGGTGATGGGTGATGGGTGCATGATGATGGGTGATGGGTGCGTAATGATGGGTGATGGGTGCATGATGATGGGTGATGGGTGCATGATGATGGGTGATGGGTGATGGGTGCATGATGATGGGTGATGGGTGATGGATGATGGGTGATGGGTGATGGGTGCATGATGATGGGTGATGGGTGATGGGTGCATGATGATGGGTGATGGGTGATGGGTGCATGATGATGGGTGATGGGTGATGGGTGCATGATGACGGGTGATGGGTGATGGGTGATGGGTGATGGGTGCATGATGATGGGTGATGGGTGCATGGTGATGGGTGATGGGTGATGGGTGCATGGTGATGGGTGATGGGTGATGGGTGATGGGTGCGTGATGATGGGTGCATGATGATGGGTGCGTGATGATGGGTGCGTGATGATGGGTGCGTGATGATGGGTGCGTGATGATGGGTGCGTGATGATGGGTGCGTGATGATGGGTGCGTGATGATGGGTGCGTGATGATGGGTGCGTGATGATGGGTACAGAAGAGGCTGAAGGGGTGGAAGAGGAGCACTGTGGGCCACCTGGGGTTCCTCAGTAGTAGTGCTGGTGACTTCTCCTCTTGTGCCCCTTCAGCCTCAGCCATCCCTTCAGCCTCATCCATCCCTTCAGCCTCATCCATCCCTTCAGCCTCATCCATCCCTTCAGCCTCATCCATCCCTTCAGCCGCATCCACCCTTTCAGCCTCTTCTGTCTCTTCAGCCTCAGCCATCCCTTCAGCCTCATCCATCCCTTCAGCCTCATCCATCCCTTCAGCCTCAGCCATCCCTTCAGCCTCATCCATCCCTTCAGCCGCATCCATCCCTTCAGCCTCATCCATCCCTTCAGCCGCATCCATCCCTTCAGCCTCATCCATCCCTTCAGCCTCAGCCATCCCTTCAGCCTCATACATCCCTTCAGCCGCATCCATCCCTTCAGCCTCATCCATCCCTTCAGCCTCAGCCATCCCTTCAGCCTCAGCCATCCCTTCAGCCTCATCCATCCCTTCAGCCTCAGCCATCCCTTCAGCCTCAGCCATCCCTTCAGCCTCATCCATCCCTTCAGCCTCATCCATCCTTTCAGCCTCATCCATCCCTTCAGCCTCATCCATCCCTTCAGCCTCATCCATCCCTTCAGCCGCATCCATCCCTTCAGCCTCATCCATCCCTTCAGCCTCATCCATCCCTTCAGCCGCATCCACCCTTTCAGCCTCATCCAGCCCTTCAGCCGCATCCACCCTTTCAGCCTCATCCATCCCTTCAGCCTCATCCATCCCTTCAGCCGCATCCACCCTTTCAGCCTCATCCATCCCTTCAGCCGCATCCACCCTTTCAGCCTCATCTGTCTCTTTCTCCCGTTTCTGCTTGTCCCTTCCCTCGCACTCCCCGTTTGCTTCCTCCTCTCCGTCTCCTCCTCTCCGTCTCCTCCTCTCCGTCTCCTCCTCTCCGTCTCCTCCTCTCCGTCTCCTCCTCTCCGTCTCCTCCTCTCCGTCTCCTCTCCGTCTCCTCCTCTCCGTCTCCTCCTCTCCGTCTCCTCCTCTCCGTCTCCTCCTCTCCGTCTCCTCCTCTCCGCTTCTCTCTCAGACCTCGCTTCCCATCCCTCTCCTGCCTCTCTCCCGCCCCTCCTTTCCCCTCTCTCCCGCCCCTCCTTTCCCCTCTCTCCTGCTTCTCCCTTTCCTCCCCGCTTTCCTCCTCCCCCAGGTCACACCCTGCGCGGCAGCACCATCAAGGTGGGAATGGCGGAGAAGTCAGCACCACAGCCGGGAGGAGAACTCACCTCTGCGTGTCCTCACCCCCCCTTCTCCCCCCTTCTTTCCCCTCGCCTCCCCTTCGTCCCTTTCCCCCCCCCCCCCTCCCCAGGCCACACCCTGCGCGGCAGCACCATCAAGGTGGGAATGGCGGAGAAGTCAGCACCACGGCCGGGAGGAGGAGGCGGACGAGGAGGGTGAGTGGTGCTGTGGGGTTTGGGGGGATATTTGGGGGTGGGGAGGAGGGCGAGTGGGGGCTAGTGACGTTTTTGGGGAAAGGCTGAGAGGAGGCAGGGGGTTGGGGGTTGGGAAAAGGAGGTTACTCGGGAGACTGGGGGGAGGAGGGTGAGTGGTCCTTTGGATGGGGTGGGGATTGAAAATTTGGGGGAAGAGCTGAGCAAAGTGAAAGTCTAGGCTTTTGTTATCTCTGCCGCTGCGGAAAATGTTTTCTGTGTTGCCGTTTCTTGCTGTTACTGTATCTTCCTGCTTTCTCCTCCCCTCCCCCCCCCCCCCCTGCCTGTCTCTCAACCAGTCCTCCCTTGCTCGCTCCTCTCTCCTTCCCCACTCCTTCCCCCACTCCTTCCCTCACTGCTTGCACTTTCCACGCTCCGCACTCACTCACCCCTCCCCATGTGATTTTGAGGCGCTCAAAAGTCTCCTCCCTCACTCCTTTCCTCACTCCTTGCACGCTCCATTTTTCGCACTTACTCACACCGCCCCATGTGTTCTGTCTCTCCCCGTGTGTCCTGTGCCCACCCGTGTGTTCTGTCTCTCCCCGTGTGTCTTGTGCCCACCCGTGTGTTCTGTCTCTCCCCGTGTGTCCTGTGCGCGTGTGCTGCTGCAGTGGGGGCTTCAGGGGAGGTCGAGGGGGGTTTGGAGGAGGAGGGGGCTTCAGAGGGGGAGGGGGGCCAGACCGCAGGGACTTCGACAGGGGGAGGCCGCGCCCCTACTAATAGGGGTTGAAGATGGGTGTGAATGGGTGAGGATAGGTGAGGAGGAGGGGGCTTCAGAGGGGAAGGGGGGACAGACCGCAGGGACTTGGACAGGGGGAGGCCGCGCCCCTATTGACAGAGTGGGGAGGGGAAAGGTGAGGAAGGGGGAGAGGGGGAAGAGGGGGAGTAGGGGAGGAGGGGGAGGAGGGGAGGGGGAGGAGGGGAAGAGGGGGAGGAGGGGAGAGGGGGAGGAGGGGAGGAGGGGGAGGAGGGGGAGGAGGGGGAGGAGGGGGAGGAGGGGGAGGAGGGGGGAGGGGGAGGAGGGGAGGAGGGGGAGGAGGGGAGGAGGGGGAGGAGGGGAGGAGGGGAGGAGGGGAGGAGGGGAGGAGGGGAGGAGGGGAGGAGGGGAGGAGGGGAGGAGGGGCCGGACAGCATGGACTTGGCAGGGGGAGCCCATGCCCCTACTGAGGGGGAGGAGTGTGCAGAGGGGGGGGATGGGGGAGGGGAGTTGGGACAGGACGACAGGGACTTAGACAAGGGAAGGTTGTGTGACCTTTGACCCTGAAACCTATTGGGGCACCTGAGTCCTCCTGGCCCTTGCCGCTCATCTTGTGGCTGCTGCTGCTGCTGCTGCTGCTGCTGCTGCTTTTGCATGGATTAATGGCGTCTTGCCTTGCCCCGTTGACTGTCTTGCCACCCCTGGCCGTATGTTTCGGAATAGGACACTAAATTGTCTTTGTGCTGTTGTGTCATTTTTGCCGTTTTTCAGGTTAGTCAGGATAGTACCCACAATACCTAGTGGCCGTTTTTTGCTGTTCTTTGTGGCCTCTGAAACTGGCTTCCACTTCTCCCTGGAGCTACATGTGTCTGGGAGACCTGGTGAGCTGAGTTGTAGTGGGTCCTGTGGGTGGGTAACGGGTTTCAGAAGCTCGAGAGCAGTAATTAGACAAGTGTGGGATGCCATTCCACCATACATGGGCGTTCTTTAGTGCTTACAGATATGCATAGCTGACCGATACTATAAAGAGCCTTACTGTAACAGTTGATTAGTAGAGTCTGATCTAATGGTGAAAAGAAACTTAATATTGTTGGAGATTCAGAAATACCAACTTAAATTTGAAAAACATGCAACACAGCTCAATTTGCTTAACACACTCACAGTAGCAACTGATCATGGATTGCTACCTCGTCTTTTCAAGAGAGGTGGATGGAAAGCTGTTGAGGACAAGTGCTCCGCCCAACACAAGTAACCAATTCCTTCTCACCCTCTGATACGGTAATAATCCTGGAGGCCCACCCACCCTTTCCCCCCTTCCCCTCCTCAACGACCTCTAAGCAACCCATATAAGGCAGCAGCTGCACTTGCAGATGAAACCATTCATCAGGATTCATGATACAGTACCCACTCTTGTCCACCCTTTTACCCCTCCCCTCCCCAACCTCCCCCCTTCCCTCCCTTCCCCCCCCCCCCCCCCTCACACACCTCATTGCAGTTTCTTACCCCATGAAACCCTCCCCGAACCACCTCAAACCCCTCTTCAACTTCGTCCACCTCTTTAAACCCAATTGCAACTAGTTGTTGCGCTTCCCTGCAGATTCCTCCAGAGGCGACACACCAGCAGCCATTCGCCGACCCCTCAAGTGGTTACCCCGTTGATCCACCCCAAGCAGTTAAAAGCTGATTCCTGACGTGTCGACCCCACACTGGCCGCGAACGGCACCGCTGGGGAAATTGGAATTAGCCACGGCGCCATAATGAGCCTGAGTCTTCTTCGCTATGGCCAATATCGCATCGGTTAGTACCGAGCCGTCAGCAGCAGCCAGCGCACTCATTCCAATCCACGACCCACGGAAGTAGTAGTTGTACCCAAGAGGAGCGGAGGATTTTGGGAACCACGAGATGAGCCCGAGGCCGTTGGACCGGGACGCGTTTCCCCAGGTGACTTCGGCGCCGAAATCAATCACCGTGGACCCGTCTTCGCCCTCGTAGCCTGTGTTGATAACTGCTGCGATGGGTTTTTCAGGGTCCTTGAGCTTGACAAAGCCGCCATAGTAACCGTCGTGATCACCGTCGTCTCTGCTCGGATTGTAGGGAGGGAAAGAATTAGGGAGGCAAAGTCACCTTGTTTGAAGAAGTGTTTTGAGACGTCTCAAAACACTTCTTCAAACACTCTCTGCTCGGATTGTAGGGAGGGAAAGAGTTAGGGAGACAGGTTGCGCTTTTATTCAGGCTCCTTGAGCTCGACAAAGCCGCTCTAGTAGCTGTCAAAATCACCGTCGTCCCTGCAGGAGGGAGGGAAAAAGGGAGGAAAAGAGGGGGGGAAGAGGTCATGTGCACTTTCAACCTTGTTCAATTCTCCTTGAGCTTGACAAAGCCGCCGTAGTAGCTGTCGAAATCACCGTCGTCTCTGCTTGGATTGGAGGAAGGGAAAGAGGGGGGCACGGGAGGCAAACTTTCGAGTAACAAGGATGGGAGAAGCACTTAATCGGAAAGATGAGGTGCACACAGGTATAGCTGTTATGTACAATGACGATGGGGTAACTCTGAGTGATCACGCCGGTTGATAGCAATAGCAAACACAAGCGCACCTCTCAAAAAGGAAGATGAAGAAAAGACGAAACGCCTGAAGATGCTCGAAGTAGCAGCAGGGCAAGAACAAGCGCACCTCTTAAAAAGGAAGATGAAAAAGAAGCCAAAGGCACGATCCTGCCCAATCTGGTTACCCTGGGAGTCCCTCCCCCTCATGACGCACGATATGGCCGCTGCAAGAGGGGAGGGGGCGTTTGAAACGGGGGAACAGGAGGAAATGAAATTGGGAACAGGAGGGAATGGGAATGGGGACAGGAGGGAAGCGGGAAGGCAGTGTTGCTATAAAAGTGCTACCCTGTGAGTTCCTAACTGTGCAAGCAAATGTACTTGCCCAACCTACTGGGCAAGGAATTTTTATTGCCCAACTTACTGTGCAAGCAAATGTACTTGCCCGACCTACTGGGCAAGGAATTTTTATTGCCCAACTTACTGTGCAAGCAAATGTACTTGCCCGACCTACTGGGCAAGGAATTTTTATTGCCCAACTTACTGTGCAAGCAAATGTACTTGCCCGACCTACTGGGCAAGGAATTTTTATTGCCCAACTTACTGTGCAAGCAAATGTACTTGCCCGACCTACTGGGCAAGGAATTTTTATTGCCCAACTTACTGTGCAAGCAAATGTACTTGCCCGACCTACTGGGCAAGGATTTTTTATTGCCCAACTTACTGTGCAAGCAAATGTACTTGCCCGACCTACTGGGCAAGGAATTTTTATTGCCCAACTTACTGTGCAAGCAAATGCGATTGCCTGACTTACTTCGCATCTTAGTCTAACTGGCCATCTTGTGGGCGGATTGCTTTGCCACGACAGACAACGTACATTGCAACTGCCCGACATACCGAAAGACGTTGTAACTAGCCAACTAACGTCGCATCTTCGCCAAGAAATTCGAGACATCTCAAAAGTATAATTGCCCAAGTTGATGTGCATATTAGTGTGATTGTCCCACTCACTTCGCATCTTAGTGTAGCTGGCCATTTTGTCGGCGGATTGCTTCGTCACGTAATTCCTAGTTTCGGTCCGCATCCGGTTCATTTGAAGCTGTCTTAGCTTCGCCTGAAAGCCCTTGTAATACTTGTTGCTCTTCAAACCCGCTGTAAGCTTCTCCAGCCCCGCAGCGACGGGTTGGCAGATTTCACGGGCACTGCCAAAAGCGGGGATCGGATGGGAGGAGGGGCGCGGTGGGAAAGGGGGGAGGGGGGTGGTGTGCGTGGGAGGAACGGTTAAGAACGGTGGAGTCTGTTGAAACGGACATGCTGACAGCACCGATGCTGCAGGAGCGTGCGGGGCGTGGGGTTGGGTGGTGCAGGTGCCGTCGAGAGGGTGGGGGGGGGGTAAGGCGGGGAAAAGGCGGGGGACGACAAAACACGGCGTATTCTACATCGACTCAAACATACGCAGGGGCCGTGATGAGCGTGTAGGGCGTGGGGGGTAAGGAAGGCAACGGATGGCGGATGAAAGGATAGTATCCTTACAAGCACCGGGCCCGCATCGGGCTTGCAAATGAAGCATAAACGACTCGATATAAGCTACGACAAGGTTTTGAGTCGACTCAAAAAATGGGACGACAAAGACACTCACACAGGCATTGGGCCCCCATCGAGCTTGCAAGTGAAACATAAACGACTCGATACGCGACGGGAAGTACCTATAAGCGCGCATAAAACGCTTTGACACGTTGCATTTAAAGAATCAAAGAGTCGATACACGTTGAGACTAGGGAGCTTATACATATAAGCGCACAAGCCATAACGAACAACCACGCTGCGTCGTTTAGTCACCCCTTCCCTTTACACGAAAGCGACCGCTCGCGCATGTGGCGCCGCGTTGCGCGAAGGCATGCGCGCGGAGCGGACTGGCCGCGCGCGCGCGTTAGTACGAGGCGATATAACGTAAATCGTATGTCTCTTAGAAACGTGTGGAGGAAACACAACTGAGCGCACATGTACCTTAGATAAAAGCGGAAACAGCGAGCCGCGCACTCACTTGCTGCGAGGACGCATATGGGAGCAGAGAGACTTGACAGTGACGTGGCTGGGACTTGACGTGACTGTAACCTGACATGCCGATATAGAGTTACGTCCGACACATAGTAGCGTACTTACGCGTCGCGAGAAGGCATAGAGCGACGGCGACGGAGAAGAACACGAATCGCCTCATGCTGGCGCGCGCGAAACGTTGAATCGAGGCGCCCAATTTCGAGTCGAAGACTTTAAATCTGAAGTTCGATCCAGAGTTTTCTGACAATTAGTTTCGCGCTCGGAGCGAAATCGATATATATTTTTCGTAGCTGAAGATCGTCTGGGATCCCCCCGCACGGTTCGGAACCGGAATGTACTGCCAAACGCGCGAAAGGGATAGTTGTTGAAGAGTGCTGTGACTGGCGATAGGAAGAGTGCTGCGTGGCGCGGCGGTGTGTGTTGTGTTGAGGAATGGGGCAGCGCAGCAAGATTGTGTGACAGTGAAGCAAAGAAATAACTGCAGTAGCAGCAGCACTTGAAATGACAAGACAAGACACTGTGGAAGGGAACTGGTACAACAGTTTGGCACGATGGTGTGTCGCGCACACAGGAAATGCGTCGTGAACGGATGGGATGGGGTGGGGTGGGGTGGGCTGGGCTGGGCTGGGCGTGACGCGTGAAAGTGCGGCAGCATCTTTCGGCCAATGAACGACAGGTGCGTTGGAAACAGCATCACAAACAGGCCAGCCTCTTGGCTTCGAAAGTGCCTTGAATATCAAACAGCCCGTCAAAATTATTTCAGCAGCTAGAGGGTGACGAAACCAGGTCGCCTGCTGTCAGATAGACAGTGCGCGACGGGAGAATCATGATCGCCAGCGTTCGTAATTCGGCCAGCTTTTAGCAAGAAGCTGTTACGAAGTTTTGGTCGCCACAAATCGCCAAAAGTAGCAGAAAATCGCAAAGGCGTCGCTTGTTACGAAGTGACTTGTTCGTAACAGCCTGAAATGCGCCCTCACTCTTTCCTAATGAAAACCCGAACCCCTCCAGTGTTTGCAGCATTTCTGTCGAATCACCTGTCGACGCATGGAAGTGTAGGCTCGGTATGGAGAAGGCGGCGGGCGCTTTGTGTTTCTCCAACAGCGTATTCGCCAAGTAGGCAAGCCTTGGCGCCCGTACGTCTGGAATGTTTCCTCCTTTTATTGACTGTTTCAAGCTTCGGAGGCTTCACGAAGCTTTGCCGAGGCAATAACGAACCGAGCTGAGCCACCCCAAAGTTGATTGAAAATAGATGACCGAAAATCGTTCCCAGCTTTCGGCTTTATGATTGGGCAAGGGGAGTCGCGAACCACACCGAAATTGCTACCTTGCAAATGGAACATGTACTGTACAAACCTGGAGCACCCATTTGCAAAAGAGAGGACTGCCGCTCCCCAGCGCTGATCCTCCACTGGTCAGTTTCAGAACATCCGCGATGGAGGCGTGGCGACAGCATTCGCCTCTTCAGCATCAAATTAAACACTCAACTTGTAGATGAGATGTTGTAGCTTTATCAGGAAATATATTGCCAAAGTGTCCATTCATTAAATGCTACACAAAAACATCTCATCAATGTAATAGAATATCACACCACACGTACACATGCCTGAGCCACAATTAATGCCCAATTTACATCCTCATTATCACAAATGTCATACTAGTTCCTATGCCTGAGCCTCTGAATCCTCCTCTTTAAGAAATTAGCCACCTTATTTGCGAGGGTCACTTTCTCAGAAACGAACTGCCCACGGGCGGCGCCATCGGAATAACCAGATGTTGCATAGAGCCCATAGTAACCGTCCGGAGCATCCATCATGGCATCCACCACCTGCTTGTACGTATTCCCATTAGCAGCAGTCCTGGAGCCTGCATTGTACCAAATCCCCGTAAATGCATATATGTAACCGAAAACACCAGGATCCATCGGTGGCAATCCCTGAGATTGGAGAGCGAGATTGAACACCAGTGCTCCCTGCTCCGTCAGATTTTTCCACGTGGCATCAGATCCGAAGTCCAGCGCCACGTCACCTGTCTCCCCCGCAACCCCAGTGTTAACGGTAAGAGCGGTCGGGTAGCCTGGAGTAGGCACACGAACAGCAACAGCGTAACGAATGTGATAGTCGTTCCTGATCCTGGAAAATTCCCAGACCGCAGGGAAACAGGGGAGATAAAAAGAAATGAGAAGCGGAATGATAATAAGGTGGGATGAGAGCGCACGGCATCATGTGGCTCCGGCTCGTACAGGTGGTAAAAAAAGTTGTGGTGTTCATTGAACACCAGTGGCGTCCACAACAGGGACCACAGCTTCAAAAGCGATGTCACGTGTGTGTGTGTGTGTGTGTGTGTGTGTGAGAGAGAGAGAGAGAGAGAGAGAGAGAGAGAGAGAGAGAGAGAGAGAGAGAGAGAGAGAGAGAGAGAGAGAGAGAGAGAGAGAGAGAGAGAGAGAGAGAGAGAGAGAGAGAGAGAGAGAGAGAGAGAGAGAGAGAGAGAGAGAGAGAGAGAGAGAGAGAGATTTTGGGGGATGAATGGATACCTAGGACTCTCAACAAACAAAGCGGCATCAGAATGTTGGATGAGTTCGGAAAAAAAAAGAAGCCTTTCCACCCTGACACCTTCACAAGAGCCAATGCGAATGTGGGTTCGATTTCTAATGTGCGAATATTACTTGAGGATGCCGAAGGTGAGGACTCCAGCCGTCGTCGGATCGCCGGTTAACTCCGAACCATCCATGGCTGCCGCCAACCCAGCTGCAAGGATGGCCACGATCCAATTCCGTTAGAAAAGAAAAGAACGAGAAAACAGGGAAACGAGTACGACGGAAGATTAGTTAAACAATGATGATCAACGAGGTCGTGAATGTAAAATGAAGAGCTGCGCAAAGAGTTTTGGGATATTCCGTTTTGGTGATGTTGTAAGCGTCTGTCAGTTTCGGATAGTACATCTAAATGAAAAGAATGGGTCCAACTTTGGATAGATGGAAAAAAAAAAAGCACAAAAAAGCTGAAAGCGTACCATACGGATATCCAATTCCCTTGGAAAACCTGTCTTGAATCCAGCCGCTCACGCTCGCCAGCGCTCTTCGTTGCGCCACAAGGGGGCTGTCCGCCACTGCGGCGGCCGCTGCGGATCCAAGGCGTATCGCGTGGCATGCTGGGCGAAAAAAAATCAGGCAGAAAAAAAAAACGTTAGAGAAGACACTCGATGCAGACTCGGTCTAGCGTAGATAGGGCGCGATGATATCTTCAATCTGATGCTCGCGTTCTCGAGCTTACATGACACAAGTAGGAGAGCAGCCACCACTAGACTGAGGGCGGGGAGTGAGGTGACGGCAGGCCGGAGAGTCATTTTCCCACAAGTCGTAGCGATAGCAAAATCAGGGGGTTGAAAGTGGCAGCAAAAATAAAATCGTATGTCTCGTGCATTCCCTCTCTGCCCTCGACTTAGGAGTCTAGTATCAGCTTTACGGGCACGGAATTTTCTCAGCCAAATTATGAGGAAACGAAGGACGTCGAGTTGCTTTTGTAGTAGCATGATGAGGAGATTTGTGATGAAAGGACATAGGTTGTGATGAAGGGAGAGCCTGGTTCTTTGGCGACATTTTGGTCGCTGGTCTGGTCACGACATGGCGACATCACGTTACCGTCTTCGTATCAGCTAGACTACCGTAGGATGAATTAGGTTGGATGTTCCAAGTCGTCCGATGCTGTCGAAACTAGCTCTAGTGCTTGTCCCAGAGCACAACACGAGCCGCTGTCGCCGACAATCTGCCAATGGTAGGCCTGCGCCCCGCCCCCTAGGTCCAGGCTGGAAATTGCTGTCATTGTCCAGCAGGAAAATTGTTGAATTCTTCACCCCTTTTTCCATGCGAGGAAGATGCGGTTCGGGATGGGAAGCGTCGCCAATGTGTGTCACCACAACACGGAAACTTGAGCTCCTCGCATACATAGCGTTTTCGCAAAGGCTGCGAGTTCACCCTGTGCGAATCCGCACCCTGTCAACCTGATTTGTTTCGTCCAGAGTTGAGTGTGATGCGGAAATCGTAGCGACAAGTGACGGAATCAATTGAGCTTGCAACGTGTCGCACAACAAATTCCGCACCTCTTCCCAAGCACGTTCTTCTTCGTGCTTCCAACAAATGCACCGACCATCCCTCGGCCAGTTGGTGTGGGTTGCCTTGTTCCAGCATGACGAATTTGCATCACAACAGCTCATGTTTCAACGTTCTGCTTCCTCCTCTCAACAGCCCAGCTCTTCCTTTATACGTGGGAGGAAACCATAGTAGCGGCTTTGCGGGTTACTAATCATTAATCTGAGGCGCTCCCAGAACGAGCTGCCTATGGAGGACTTGCACCAAAATTAAAACTTGAAGTTTGACATTAACGTGTTCGCATGATTTATTACCACTATGTCAAGAGATTTGACAAATCCTTCAGGCCTATTTCGAATTCAACGACTAACCCTCAGATCCCAGCAGTTCCAGAGGATTCAGAATATTTTTTTGCATCTCAAATGGAAAGCTTGAATCCAAGGAACTGCCCGCGCGTCGCCCCAGTCGCGTGCGCCGCGGAGGTCACGAGCCCATAGTACGAGCTAGCGCCTTCGTTGAACATGGCCTCTATAAGATCCTTAAGCGTGCCCGTCGCCGCGACTTTGGTGCTCGCCTTCTCGTAAATTCCCTCGAAGCTGTAATCGAAGTGGTCCACAAATTGCCGGAAAATCGGGAACACGGGGTTCCACGTGTCGTTCGTCCACGTGGCATCAGCCGTGAAATCGAATGCGAGCGTTCCGGTCTCGCCCTTTTTTCCCTTGAAAATACCGACGGTTGTCGGGTAGCCCGAATCCTTGAGGTCGACTTTGCCATTGTAGTACACGTTGTAATCCCCATCCTTCCTACAAAACACAAAGTCGAATACACATCTTATGAAAATACGGAAAGAACGGCGACTACTCTACTACAACTCGCAAAAACTCCGGGGATTGTTAACGATAGAAAAAAAAAGTACAATCACGATCGATCGAATCCATGACTCACGAGAAAATAGACATTCGGATAACTCCATGGTCCCTCTTGTTGCCGCCACTGACGAGCCTCCCGCTCATGGGAGCGGCGAGAGTTCCTGAGACAACCCGACGACAATAACACGCCGAGAGTGGAATAGACTGTCATTAAAGCACATGTGCCCGGGAAATAAACCACGCAGGACACTGCGGCGAGCAGAAATAGGAGTGCACGCAGCATTCTGCAGAGTATCTTACCTGAAAACTTTCCCAAAGCGGCGAAGTCTTGCCACGAATACTTGCTTCGGTGACGAAGCTGTCTCCCCGGAACGGCGTTGCCTGCGTGTCACGAACAGAGAAACGTTAGTGATTGGACGTGTAGGATTAGCAGTAGTACAGGTCACACAAGCATCTGCCTTGTAGCTCAGAACCACTCGAAAATCAAGGATGGGGGTTGTGCAGGTTCCGAGTGAGCGTACCGCTTATTACAAGGCAGAACAATGCAGCGAAAAGCAGGAGACGACCGACTGCCATGGTGGTATTTCGAGGCGTTGAGTTGAGAGGTTGAATTTGAGTGCACTTATGGTAGGAATGAGGTCGGAAGGCTTTTGGATGCGGGTTATATACGTGTCGGAGTGAGTGAGGTGTAGAGCCAGTGTCGTGTAGACAAGGGGGAAGGGGACAACACGAGAAATGTTGGCGCTTCGGCGAAACGTTCCTTTGTTGCACTGATCGTCGAGTTCGCATCCCCCGTGGCGACAATCCGCAGGGGGGTCTGGTCTGGTTGGTGTCGTACCGGAGTGGGAGGCTTGTTCTGCGGCTTGTGCTGATGAAATTAGGGTGTGTAACTTTTTTCCAAACCATCAAAAGTCCGTACAGCCCGTCAAACTGCACCGACGGGCGTGTGTTCGGACGTCTGGAACATATGTCCGGACAAATTCCCGACCAAACGACTGTTGTAGAGCTTTTTATGTTTAGGGATACGCGAAACGCACACGACATTGTAACGACATGCACGAAGTGTGTGTTTTTTTTTTTTTTTCGCCCTCCCAAAAAAGCGCCACAAAATCTGACGGTCCGAATTGCAGCCGGACGCTGAACGGACGGGAAACCCGTCAGAAAATAGTAGGAAAGTATCACATTCCGTCCGTACGCCTGCGACGTCGCAAATGTGTTCACGAGCTTGAGCTTTGACGATGCCTTGTCCGGACGATGGTTCGGAAAAAAGTTACACGCCCTTACCAACCGGTCTGGAGAAAGAAGAGTTGCTTGTCGGCACCGAAGCCTAGTTTTGCGGATCTAGCCTCAACCGTTTGTCACCAGTTTGAACAGCCAGGTTCGACGACGTGCGAAGATTATGCGAACACTTGGACAACGCGACAATCAAACGACAAGGCGATGGGAAAAGCGAAACAGTGGGACCTGGAGAATAGTGTCGTGAATTTTCTCCGCTAGGGAGTCATCCAGCATTAAGTAATAGTACTCGCGCACTTGATTGCGTAACTCATGCAACCTAACGTGTGACGACATGCGAAGTTGTCAATTTACCTTATCTCGTGGCACAACTCCGGCTCCAGCATGAAAAAGAACACAGCCCAGAAGTGATGAACAACAGGGATGTGATAGGCGCACCAGAGCATAGGGACAACGGGCTACGTAAATTTACTTCCCCAAAATTCTGAAAGCCTCCGCCAATGAAACAATTTTCTCCCTAACTCTTCCTTCTGCCATGCCACGCCGAATTTCTTCAGCATCGATCTTCATCCAATCTTCGAACGTTAGGAAAGGGCACGCTCGTTGCTTCAAAAGAGCAACAAGCTCCGACCCTCCCTGTTTGGTAGCACCAGAGTTGAAATATGTTGATGAAATGAGCCCATTTCCTGTTGCGTCTTCTGCAATGCTCGAGACCTGGTTCAGGGAAGTAGACACAAGGGTGAGAATCAGAAGAAAAGGATGGAAGGATGGAATACAATAGGAAAACCAGAATGTAAGTGCTAAGGACCACACTGGTTGAGTGAACCAGCACATTGAGAAAAAGGTGGAAGTCGGGCTTGGGAAGAGTGGTGGGGATAGAAAGGAAAAGACGGAGTCAGCAATGGAAAGGCTCACTGTTTCTTCAGCATCGATCAGGTTTGTGCCGATGATTCCCGTAGGGCCTCTCTTCAGCCACCCAACCACATACAGGCCCGGCTCATACCGGGCCTCACTAGCAGGCTTGGGTCCACCAGCCTGCAGCACACGGCCTAACTCGTTCGGTACCGTGCCTAGATGGGTTGAAAACGGAGGGAGGGAGGTGTAGATGGGTGAGGGGAAGGGATAGAAGCGATTATTTTGTGGGACGGATGGGGCAAACAAGGGTTGGGCCACAGGACGGGTTGAGTAAAGCGTTAATTTCTGGTGAAGGGAAAAAAGTAAAAAGAAGAAATAGGGAAAGTGGTTCCGGGAAGTTGGCGAGCAAGTCAATTTCTGGGGAATGCTTGAGACAAATGCTTTTCAGGGTGCTTGGCGCAAGTCATGCATGTACATGCTATAGAAACATCAACATGCATGCACGCATGCACGCATGCACGCATGCACGCACGCACGCATGCACGCACGCACGCACGCACACACGCACGCACGCACGCACGCACGCACGCACGCACGCACGCACGCACGCACGCACGCACGCACGCACGCACGCACGCACGCACGCACGCACGCACGCATGCACGCACACATGCAAACACGCACACATGCACACACACATGCACACACACATGCACACACACACATGCACACACACACACACACACACACACGCACACATGCAAACACGCACGCATGCACATCCCCATGCTGCACGAACTCACCACTGCGCTGGTTGAAAGGCAGGCCAGCAATTGGCAGAGAGCGGTAGCCTATGCTCTTGAACACAAGGCTGGGAAAGGGTAGTGCGGTTAAGGAAGGTGAGAGGAGAAAACGGTAGGAGTGGGAGGGGTTCGGCAGGCTAGCAATGGGCAGAGAGCGGTAGCCTATGCTCTTGAGCACAAGGCTGGGAAGGGGGTTAGGGGAAGGGAAGAAGAGAGTGCGAAATAGATGGTGGGGTTCAGCAGCAGCAGCCAAGGCAGAAAGCAGTATCCCTCAGTCTTGACCACCAGCCTAGGTCGTGCCAGGGAGAGTGTAGCACCGATGGCGGGGGGCCAGCAGGAGCCAGGGGATAGAGAGCGGTGGCATATGTGCTTTTGATTATTAGGAGTAGAGAGGGGTGTAGGGAGGTGAAGGGGAGAGTGCGGAACACATAGAGCGGGTTCCACAGGGAGTGGGAGGCAAACAGGTGGGATGCGTGGGAAAGGAAGAGAAGAGAGCAAAGAGCAGAGGGCAGAGTGAAGGGAGAGCAGCGAGCAGTCAGCAGCATGCTCTTTGGTGACTTTTGAGACGAATGTTGAGACGCCTCAACAGCAGAGGGCAGAGTGAAGAAAGCAGTGAAGGGAGAGAAGCAGGCAGTCAGCAGTATGCTCTTTGGTGGAGGGGGTTTGGCTTTGGTTTGTGGTTGGTTGGGTCGGGTAAATTGGGTTGGTGGTAAATGGCAGGGGGCAACAGCACAGAGTGGCAGCTTTGCAGCATCTCTCCATTTCACATAATACATACACTGCGTCACTCTGGCACCCACCCGCAAGGCAGCACCCACCCGCAGTGCAGCACCCACCCGCAAGGCAGGTCGCTAGTCTCCCCGGTCCCCACTGCCCTCCTTGGCCCGTCTCTGAAGTCCCCTGCACACACAAACATGAGAAAGCCGCTCAATATAACACGTCCCAACTCTTCTGTTACTGTGGAAAATCTTCTGCTTCAGCTGCCTCAAAAGCAGCACAATAAGTCCCAGGTACTGACCGGTGAGTACATTCTTCTCCTGTCGAATAGCCCCAACACGTCCCCCCCTTCAAAACGTATCCTTCACTCTCAGCATCAACTGCATGAAGAGCAATTGATGAGTATCCTTCATCAACATCTCATCACCCGATGGTACTGACCGGTGAGTACATTCTTTTCCAGTCGTATGACCCCAACACGTCCCTCCTCCTCTACCTTTTCCTCCCCTCCTTTCCCTCCTCCTCCTGTTGCCAGACCCTACTCCTGTGAGCCTTCTCCTTCTCCTGCCACTGCAGGCAGCACAGCGACGGGCGAGCGGAAGAAGACAAAGTGCAGCCCAGGTACTGACCTGTGAGTTCGTTCTTCTCCAGTCGAATAGCCCCGACACGTCCCTCTGCTTCCCCCTTCGCATCCACTGCAGGCAGCACAGCAACGGGCGAGCGGAAGAAGACAAAGTGCAGCCCAGGTACTGACCTGTGAGTTCGTTCTTCTCCAGTCGAATAGCCCCGACACGTCCCTCTGCTTCCCCCTTCGCATCCACTGCAGGCAGCACAGCGACGGGCGAGCGGAAGAAGACAAAGTGCAGCCCAGGTACTGACCTGTGAGTTCGTTCTTCTCCAGTCGAATAGACCCGACACGTCCCTCTGCTTCCCCCTTCGCATCCACTGCAGGCAGCACAGCGACGGGCGAGCGGAAGAAGACAAAGTGCAGCCCAGGTACTGACCTGTGAGTTCGTTCTTCTCCAGTCGAATAGCCCCGACACGTCCCTCTGCTTCCCCCTTCGCATCCACTGCAGACAGCACAGCGACGGGCGAGCGGAAGAAGACAAAGTCCAGCTCACGACGGTCGCTGCTGCTGCTGTCACCCACGCTGCTCTGGCTGCTGCAGCTGCTGCTGCCACCCCCGCTGCTGCTGTATTCACTGCAGGCAGATGATGCTTTGCAGAGCAGGTCAAACACGCGACGGTGGCTGCGACTTGCCTTGAGCTCGTCCTGTGAGGAGAGGGGGACAGGGAGGAAGGAGAAACTGAGAGCATTGGTGCTTCTGGTGGTGGTGGTGCTGCTGCCGATCCAGGGAGATGCTGCTTTGCAGAGCAGGTCAAACACGCCGCGGTGGCTGCGACTTGCCTTGAGCTCTCCCTGGGGGGGGAGTGACAGGGAGGAGACGGATCGGGAGGAGAGAATGAGAGAAGAGACACGAGCGAGGGAAAAACGGAGAAGAATAGAGAGTCAAGTTTTAGGCGCCTCAATAAGGGTTGAGAAACATACAACTCACCCATAACAAGGGCAGTGCATGCTCAACACCTTATCCATTTTCATTGCCGATTATCACCACCCACTCCCACTATCGCTCCTCACCTTCCAGGAACCATCCTTCTTTCGTTCCATAACTCGTCCATAGGAGTCAGTGCGAAGCCCTCCTGCTTGAGCGTTCCCACCACCCATTCCTTCCCTTAGACGCTCCTCACCTTCCAAAAACCATTCTTGTTTCTTTTCATACCTCGTCCATAGGAGCCAATGCGAAGTCCTCCTGCCTGAGCATCACTTGAATGCCATCAAGCTCTGCACACACATTGCATACGCACAGAATAAGGAAATCGCAATTGGATTCATGAGCGATCAAAAAAATAGGTCATTGAATTGTCAGAAATGCATGACCAAATGCATACTGGAGAATGGATTTTGGTCACCAGCAGCAAGGACAATCCATGCACGGAATAAAGCAGTTAACTAAAATACTGAGCAACATACTTAGCAGAAAGCAACATACTTAGCACCTCGCGAACCTCCTTGGCAGTGCAGGCGGCCTGAACCGGACCCCGCCTTCCCACCACATGCACTCGCCTATCAGAAGTGAGGAGCGAGGTGGAAGGAAGAACAGGCGGCGGGTAGGGGGGGGGGAAGGTGAGCGCGTCGGAATGAGTTGAATGGAAAGAGGGGAAGATGGAACGGACAATCGAGAGATGGACTTAGTGCCATGCCTCATCTCGTTTTATCAGGACGGAAATCGCGGAAGCGGTATACACCGTGCCTCGCCTCAACACGTTTATTTGCATGTGCCTTGCGTGTGTGCCTCAGGAATAAGTGAGGAGGAACTCAATAGGTGCTCACCTGACTCGGCTCCTTGCCAGTGCCTCCAGTGCATGCTCTGCAATGTCGGTGGGTTGAAGCTTCATTGAACGTTGAGTCGCATGCACAGGAATACAAACCTCACTGCTGCTCACCACTGCTCACCTGACTCGGCTCCTTGCCAGTGCCTCCAGTGCATGCTCTGCAATGTCGGTGGGTTGAAGCTCGGACGGCCGTCGAAGCAGCACTCTTGCCACGTCCAGAGCCACGTTGCCCTGCAGGTGACAGCGAGGAGATGGCATTGTGAGGAGGAAGTGAGGTGGTGAGAATAAGCCTCGAAGAGCACTCTTGCCACGTCCAGAGCCACGTTTCCCTGCAGGTTACATTGCCATGGAGAGATGGTGTGACGGCGCAAATGTGAGGGAGAAAAGACGTGGTGAGAAAGAGCAGGTTGCAGGGAGAAAAGGTGTTTAAGGGAACGTTCTTGGCCGGTGTCAAGTTCCCTGACACAAGGCTACTGACGGCTGCGATCGCTCCACATCATCTTCAATCAAATCGAGACCCTTCACAGCTTCGTGTCAGCCTGCCTGACACCGGCCAGGAACGTTCCCTAACAAGGCTGTGCAGGCTCTCTAGGGGCGCCTCTCTCCAGGGGCGCCTCTCTCTAGGGGCGCCTCTCTCCAGGGGCGCCTCTCTCTAGGGGCGCCTCTCTCCAGGGGCGCCTCTCTCTAGGGGCGCCTCTCTCTAGGGGCGCCTCTCTCTAGAAGGGGCGCAACGGCGCAAGAGCGCAACGACGGAACGGCGCAACGCTATTGTGCGATGGTGACATGGGTGATGGTGTGATGGTGTAATGGAGTGATGGAGTGATGGTGTGATGGTGTGATGGTGTGATGGTGTGATGGTGTGATGGTGTGATGGTGTGATTGGGAGAGGACATAGAGGTAGGAAGGACTCGATGTGCAAAAGGAGAGGTGGCTCAGAAGACCATCTGAGCAGAGCAGCACACCACGTTTGGAGCAACTTCAGCAAACGGCAGAGAAGAAAGAGAGGGAGGAAAAAAACACATACCTGGCCAACGACAACGGCGGTGTCAGTAGAGGTGAGGTCCACTGGAAGATTGGCGTAGTCGGGATGGCGAGATGAGAGAATCACGGAAAGACAAGAGCGAGGGAAGAGACGAGAGAAGGAAGGAAAGATATGAAAGAAGGAAGGAAAGCATTTACCTGGCCAACGACAACGGCGGTGTCAGTAGAGGTGAGGTCCACTGGAAGATTGGCGTAGTCGGGATGGCGAGATGAGAGAATCACGGAAAGAAAAGAGAGAGGGAAGAGACGAGAAAAGGAAGGAAAGATATGAAAGAAGGAAGGAAAGCATTTACCTGGCCAACGACAACGGCGGTGTCAGTAGAGGTGAGGTCCACTGGAAGATTGGCGTAGTCGGGATGGCCGTTGTACCACCACACAAACTCCCTGGCGGAGAAGACTCCTCTCAGGTGCTGGCGAGGTGTGGAGGGAGAGGAGAAGGCAGTGGGAGGGAGTAAAGAGGAGGCGCATTGGTGTAGTCAGATGGCCGTTGTACCACCACACGAACTCCCTGCCAGAGAAGACTCCTCTCAGGTGCTGGAGTGTGGAGGAAGGAAAAGATGAACAAAATGTGGACAGGAGGAGGGGGGTAAAAAAACCTGGAAGAGCAAAGAGGAGGAAAAGAAAGAGGCTGGAAGGAAGGAGAGGAAGCACACCGGCATATGTGGGATTCTTTGGCAGGGAATATTCATTCATCCTTCAGGTGCTAAGGAGCGGAGGGAAAAATAGGTAGAAAATGACATCTGACACATGGATGACAGCATGGTACATCTGACGCAGCTCATGCAACGTCACAACTGCTGCTGATGATGATGGGGGTGGTGAGCTGGATTCTGAGACATTCCCAAGTTCAGAAACTTCCTTTTTCCTCACCTCCCCAGACACGTTGAGATCGCAGTCGCCCTCTGCTCCATACGCCAGGATGACAGCATGGTGCATCTGACGCAGCTCATGCAACGTCACAGCTGCTGCTTGTGATGCTGGTGGGGCTGTGTAGTAAAACAATATACAGAAACAGAAATCCTTCCCTCTGCTCACCTCCCCAGGCACATTGAGGTCGCGGTCGCCCTCTGCTCCATATGCCAGGACGACAGCATGGTACATCTGACGCAGCTCATCCAATGTCACAGCTGCTGCAGGTGATGGTGAGGCTGAAGATAATGACGGGTCTGATGCTGGCGTGGAGGCTGGTGGTGCTGATGTGGAAGCCACAGGGCCAACCAGAACATTGCCGAAGTAATGGCAACGGGGATTTTGGGCCACACGGGTTAACTGGTTGATCACATTCTGATGGAAGGCACGTGAGAAAGAAACGAGCACATTACAAATTAGCACTTTATAAAACAGTAACATATGATTTCGCAAAAACATTTTGCACCATCTCAAAAGCTTGCACATTCTGATGATCATGAGATGAGTCACATTCTCATGCGAGATGGTGAACGAAGCTGAAACACCATAGCAAGAAGCCAGGGTATCATGACAGAATGCTGACCTAAAAATATGATTCAGGGTTTAGCTTGGTTTCCAGCCATTGCTGCTTGCCGTTGGCTACCTACCCACCTTGGTTTCAGGGTGGTCTGGAGCAACTCCCGTGAGCACCAAGCCGAAGGGAGACGGGAGCCTTTCCACTATGTCCACTCGCGCCGTATCAAACCGCTTCACGAGCTGAAAGGGTCAGATGGGAGAGCAGAGTAAAAGGGCCGGAGGAAACGACACTGTACAGCACGGTAAGGAGAGTCATTGCAAATTTCTTCTGGTGTAAGATTCACTGCTGTAACGTGATGACTTTTTAATTTGAAAACAAAAAAAATGTTTCTATACCGAGGCTGCTTCCACCCGTCTTCAGGCTACACTATCGATCTGGCACAACAAGCCTAAAACTGTTTCTCATTCCCTTAGTCTCCTTGGTTCACGTTATAAACAACACCCTCCCTGTTCGTTTCGCGGTACCTTCTCTGCAGTATAGAAGCCTGCCACGGCTTGTCACTGCCGGCGGTGGTTGTAACGGAGCGCCTACTACTGAATACATGATGGGGAGTTAACCTAGTAAAAACAGCGTCGCGGTAGCTCGTTGCTAGCCAAGTACTCTTTCTCGCAGAGACATTCCGCCAGGCAGCGCTTAGAACGGAATCGGACTGAAGATTCGAACCAGAGACACCACCTAATCGACCGTCACACTGCTTGACGCTTTCACGCGCACTCAACGCCGCATTATGCGCTTGACCGGGACTCGCGTCGTCGACAAACGAATAGAACTAAGGAGAAGATAGCCACCTGAGGGTAGGATTAGGGAATGCGACATCTGGGAGTACGCACTGCCGTGCTGCGAGCCTGGCCGAGCGACAACGGCGGAAGCCGTGTCGATGCATACCGCTGCCAGCGAAGCGAAGCCGTTTTACGAAGTATATTGCGCTACAAAGGTTTCGGCTGGATATGGGAGATTAGCATCCTTGCCAGAAGGACTCCGGGACTGGCTGGAGGAGCCACGATCAGCAAGGCGGGAGTGTCAGGCTGGGAATGTGTGATATGCTGCAAGCATTCGTGTCAGGCGCGGAACGGATGGGAAGGGGAAGGAGGGAGGGGGAAGGGAGGCGGACAAGGGGGAGGGGAGGGAAAGGGTGGGTTTAAAGGTTTAAAGGTTTTTATTAGGTCGTGACCTTAATACAGACATGCAGCGAGATGAGGATACTGGCAAAGCCTAGCTCCCCGTAGGGAGCACGTGTAAGCACGTCATCCTCCTACTACAGGAGCAGAGGTGTCCAGGGACAAATATCTTGCTGACATGTGGCAAGGGTGGGAGGATCGGAAGGAAAAGGGTGGGAAATTCCCAAGAACAATAACGTCAGCGAAACGACACCAATGAAATCCTCTTTACAGTGTACGTCGAGTGCCGACTTAGAGTCGAAACTTTCTTCCCGTAAAACTATTTCATGCATGCAGATACAAACCTTTCAATAAAGTTGTTCGATCATGTATTTCCGAACTGCAACGCACTACATCAGACTATATCTTGCTTCATCTTGCCGTACTGTCTTTGAACCTTCGAATAGAGCCCCATCGAACAGCAAATGTGCCTGCCTAGCGGAATTTGCCGTTGATTTCAGCAGAATGGACAGCTCCCCTAGTCTGCTTCACTATTTTCATTCAGCTCCTGCATCTCTGATTCACTAGCTTGAGCTAGTTCTAGACCGCTAGGAGTTCCTAGCCGTACTGCTAATCCGTCGTGTGCTTCTGTCATGGCTGGCTCTTACGCCTCTCTCCTCTCTCTCAGTATGGTAATTGCGGCACTTGTTTTGGTGCAAGCCGGAGATCGCAACACCGTATATGATCCATGCAAGGATGCTGATCCTGTCCAGAAGGGCGATGGGTTTTCCTTTGCCATTGGCTTCGGTGGAATATCAGCGACATGGAATAAATCGTCTCCATGCTTTGCCGAGACTCTGCAGGTATCAGGAGTTTCATGAGTCAGGATGTTTAACGGATCATTTTACCAGCTTCTTTCAGAATCTGTTGCTACGCTGGACATGGAGTTTAAAACAGTGGTTACGCAGATATTACCTCCAGGCGTGGAAGTGGCCGTTTTCCGACCTAAAGTTGACGAGCTTTCTCTACTGAGAATTAACAACGTTAGCATGGCAAGAATCAACACCACTGTAAGTGGTAAAGCGCAGAATCCATGCTCGAATTTGACATCCTAACCCTTTTCAAAATGATGCAGTTCGTCAACAGCTCTTTGATTGTGTATTCTGGAGCTAAGGGAATCGTATCTTCTCCTCGACAATTCTTATCCCCTCTGGTAACGTACTGAACTGACCTATGCAACGCCTGATGTTGTTGTAGTTGCCGTTGCTTACGACCAGATTGTCCTGCTCTGTCATGCAGGGACGGCTTCCTTCCCTAATTCTTATCATCAATTTCAAAGAAGGGGTTCTTGATTCCTTTGTTTGGTAAAACTCCAACTTCAATCATTGTAGCAGTTGCTTATTTCCTTTGCAATACATCATGAATTCATCCTTGTGCAGGAAGGACATGGGTTGCTCAGAGTCAACATGCCAGCCTGTGAGCCCGCTGTGTGTGGACAACAGCAATTGCCTTGTTACAGAAGACCAGTGCAGTAGCATGAAAACTAGTTCTGATCCTGAACCTTGCCGCCTTGCAGTAAGGGAGCTGTTTCTACTGTTTTTACTTTTCTGTCTGCTATTCTTTGCTTCTCTAACATGACCTACCTTTGACAGATCAACGTGGCATTTTCCGGAACTGATAAGGATAAGAAGCCATTACAATCATGGTACGAGGTTCAAGACCTTCAGGCATACTCCTTGACAGCTTTATACGATTCAGCAAAGAACGACTTCCAAGATGCCGTGGGTGCTTCAAGTAATAACCCTGATGAGATTACCAAGGGTTGATAAACTCTTCTGACGCGTACAGAGCTTTAACCAGCGTACCGGACCTGTGCAATGATTGACCTTTACTGTAAACCATGTATTGAACATAATTGATATATAGTTATGTTTCCTACAAATTCGAGGTTAAGGTGGATGACCAGCCACCTAAGTAGACGATTAAATACCACTTCTGACGCGTACAAAGGGTGTATATCCAATCCAGCCACGTAAACTGATGAGCGTCTTCCGTCAGCTCTTGTCAGCATGGTACAGCCACGGCAGATGCCAAGAGTGTTCGGAAAAATTCTACAGGCCAAACTTGTGAACCTACCATCCTCTGCAGCCTACATATATCGAGCAATCGACAGGCAGTCATAGCTCTCTGAGAGTTTCATCATTTCGCATTTCTCTCTCCAGTGCACACATTATCTCCAGATGTCATTTCCCGACTCTCTTCGGAAGAATGTCTCGAATTGGACGACCACGGTGGCTGCTGGCATTCCAGACAATTTCCAGAAAGCCGTCATCAGTTTCACGTTACCCGATGTTTCTGCGATAAAATGGCCGTTTGAGCTCTCTGAGAAAGATGCAGCAACAGCCGCTACTGCAAAAACGCCTGAACCTTCCCGTACTGGAGCCCGATGGACGGGCCTGTTTCCGACCAGAAGTAGCAACGGAAACGGCGGCAGCATCTGGAATCGAGGAACTGGTTCTGATGGTACTGGCAAAATCGACAGCCCTAGGGGTCGTGCAGGTGGTAGCAGCAATGGCGGGGACGGACAGAGGAGCGCCTGGGAGGACAATATGCGACAGCAACTGGCTGTTTGGCGCGCCGATCCCGAGTGGGAAGACGAGCAGCCGAAACTCGAGGTAAGCGCGAGGGAGCATAGCCAACGGAAACGGAAAGTACGGAATATCTCACATGATGGATGCAAGTGTGAGTGTCGTCATTGTCATCTCCCCTTGCTGGCCGCTTCACTAATGACTGTTGCCACGTGTCGTCTTTCCATGACTGTTGCCGCTCCATTCTCCTCTCCACCCTCGCCCTTCCTCTCTCCCCGCTTTCTGCTGTGCTCTGCTCTGCCTTCCTCCTCTCCACCGTCCCGTCTGTGCTCTGCTCTTTCGTTCCCCTACTTTTTCAACCTGCCTTCTCTCACCGTCACTACATTGTTGTGAAGCTTGCCTTCAGAGCGCTCCTTCCTTCTTTCGTCACCTTTTTGCTCGCTTGAGCATCAAACTTCGTCACGAGAACACAGAATCTGCCACCTCTTTCCCTCCTCCTCCCCCCCTCGCCCCCCCATCCCCTTCCCTCCCCCCTTTCCCTTCCTTTATTGCCATCTTGTTGAAGGTTTCGGTTCCGAAGGGCTCCTTCTGCCGAATGGACGCACAGTTCCAGCTTGCCCTGCCCCCGGACCTCGTTTATAGCACACTCTGCGACCCCAGCAATCGGAGAGTCTTCAAGAATATCACGGTGTGTGGGTGGGTGTAGTCTTTCACAAGTGGATGGGTGTTCGGGTTCTTTTCACTCGTGTGTGGGAATTTTGAAGGACGGGAAATATAGGCGGTGTGATCATGTATGTATTAACACCTGTGTGCGTGTTTGCGCCCATGACTGATATAAGAAACGAGGAAGATACAAAGAAGAATAAAATGGATAACGGGAGGAATACAGGAGGAAGAAAGGCACAAAAAAATGAGGAAGGGTTGGAGGGACGTCAAAGGAATGGGACATTCTGACAGTAGAACAGCAGCTGGCATGCGCTGTAAGCCAACTGCAAGATGCGTGACCTATGAAGCCAAGTGATTTGACTGATAATACCCTGGAACGTACGAACACCACTTTCCTGTAATTGCTTCTGACCCCCATTCTGTTCAAGGCGCCTGACCATGCCCCTGGTCGTCACTCTCATGCCCCTGTCATGATGTTAAATGACATGTTATGGTGTGTGACTCCTCGACTCGGGGCGTGTTATGACATCACATGGGGCATGGCATGGGCATGACATCGGGCATGGCATGGCTTGATGACATGGGGCATGTCGTTCCATGAAACGGGGCACTGCATGATACATCCCACTTGGCCCATGGCAGGATGTGAGCTACCGCAACGTGCTGTACGATGATGGTGATGTGCAGAAGGTGGAGCTGCAGCAGGCAGCAGGGTGGCTATGCCTCTTCCTTTTCCCCTCGGATCCTCAATGTGCTGTACGACATCCCACTTGCCACATGCACATCCCACTTGGCCCATGGCAGGATGTGAGCTACCGCAAGGTGCTGTACGACGATGGTGATGTGCAGGAGGTGGAGCTGCAGCAGGGAGCCCGTTGGCGCTTCCTCTTCCTCTCGGGAACCTTCGATGTGCGCCTGAGAGTCAAGCAGGACCGGCCCAACCTCAAGGTGCATTCGCTCCCCAGCAAATTCCATTTTCCTGTATTTCATATTTCACGAGCTGATGCAAGTTGGTGGTTCATGTTTGTTTTTGTTGGTTTTTTTTTTTTTTTACCTTGTGTTTGTGTCTTTTGCAAACACACACTTCTTCCTTCTTTCAGATGTCGTTTAAACTTATAAGGCCCGGATTCATGAAGCAGTTTGAGGGCTACTGGCAACTAGAGCCTCTGGTTGTCCCTCCCTCCTCCTCTCTTCCTCCCTCCACCACACTTCCATCCTCCTCCTCCTCCCCCACTCCTCGCTCTGCCACAGCCTGCTCCCCTCGCCCCTCCACGCCCCACTCCGCCCGCCGGCCTTCTCACACCCCCACATCAACTGCATCATTACCACATTCTGCAAAGTCAACTGCCTGCCCCTCAAGTGCTGTTGCAACCAATGGGGAAGAGCCAGCTGGGAGCTCTTCTCCACGGGCCTTGTTCGGTAATTTGCTAACTGAGCGCCAACCGCACCACCACCACCATCCCCAGAACCCAATGCGGGTGGCCACAAGCGTTCAGCTTTGTCAGGTAGTGCAGCCCACACTCACCCCGCCGCCCATTTTGTCGCACTACTTGAGAGGGATCAGCACACAGATCACTCGGGATATGCTCAAGGATTTTCAGACTGAGGCCGCCCGGATAAGATATGATCTTCCAGTCGATGCTGATGTGGAAAAGGAGCTGGAGAAGATACGGAGTGAGAGTGGCAGAGATGAGAAGGAAGGGAATGGCGGCCAGAGGAAGAGTGAGGGTGAGCAGAGAGAGGGAAGGGTTCGATGGAGGGATGAGGTGAAGAAAGGGGTGAGGGGGAAGAAAGCAGGCCTTGGGAGGGCAATCCAGGAGATTGATGGGCAAGTGAAGGGGGGAGTTGGGAGGAGACGTCATGCCTTGATGAAGTTATCAGAGAGAGAAGGGTGGTAGATGGAGATGAAGTTTCAAATGCAGTTACGGGGAACAACTTCGCACTGCTGAGGTCACATTAGCCTTACATGTAGAGACCACCGGACTTCTTAGTGGTCTGAACAACTACTGTAGGCCCATTTGCATTGGTATGATTGTCAGGCATGCTAATTTTTTTAAGGATATTCCGGGACCCTGTGTATTTTGGGAGGTATGAAAAATACCACGCACCAGGTGAGGTTTTAAAATTTGATACGTAGAAAATGCATGTGTTCAGTTGATTGTATTGTAACTAAACTTCTTAGAGATTTCTGTAATGATGTGAATTCTACTGTAGTATAATATTCCCTAACTCCACGTAAATAGCAGGTCACACTGCCACATCATTCTCCCATTTAAATCTCACCAACCAATAGCAGCTCCCCACCACAGCGGCCGCCACGAGTCCAGATCAATTGGATTGGGACCATAGGAGGGTGATCCACTGGCGCACACACCAAACCACCTCAGCGCGCCATCATGATCCCGTGTCCGCATGCCTAAGGGCGTGGGCCCAATCGGGTTTGATCGCGACTGATCTGATCGGGGCGGATCTGATCGGGTTGCTTGTGATCACATTGCCCGAGCCGCCCGATCAGCAGAAATTTTCGTAGAACATTCGCGTTGGCTGCACAGCAAGCGGTGACCAATTACCAGGCATTTTCTGCCCAATTTTAGCGAGAATTGCGAGCAGACGGAACCTCGCGAAAATTTTTGCATCCCTGTAATATCGCCAAACCCACTCCGCACGTCTTGTTCTTTGTGGAATCTTCCACCAATTCGTGAGGGGTTGACGAGACCTAGTAGTACAGAGTAACATTTCGCAAGCGTCGCTATGGCCCCGATCAGTAGCGATCAATTGATCGTATGTGATCGAGGAAAATCGACTCTGATCGGGGTGGAAATCGGGTCTGATTGAGTTTGGGCGATCAGCTGATTGCGATCAGCTGAATGCCCCCGATTGCCTGAAAATGGCTTCCAGGGTTCCTGGAAATTAGTGATTGCGGCTGATCGAGGCGATCATACCCGATTGGGCCCACGCCCTAACGGAACTGTTACAGATTTGCTTCCTCCCATCCCTGCCAATCTCGATGGAAAATCTGCGCATTTCCCCGTCCCAGCCTTCCGCCCACGTCCGCAACCATTTCCCCCCTTCCCGCTTCCCCGTATGCCCAATGTGAGAACCCTTTGCTTCTGAAACCCTTCTCCGCCGATGCCTCTGCTCCCCCCACCACCTTGGTAATCAGGAGGAAATGTTTGCTCGGTGGGGTGTGCCTGTTCAGCTCAGCAGCAGCCAGGTAAAAGTCCCAATTGACATAACTTCCTGGCACTTATACAAGCCTGGAGTTGTCCAGCTACGCTGCATCCGCGAGCTATTATTTTCGTTCTCGTAGTGCAGTACCGTCGACTAGGCCTACGTCGGTTCTACGCAGACGACATTAAGTTCCTTCCGTTGCCGTATTCTCCTAGACCATTAGTGGCATGGCGGCCACTTTGTCTGCACGCGCGTCGTCGTCTGCTTGCACTCTAGCTCGTGCGGGAGCTAGTTCAGAATCCCCATTTCTGAACTCCTCCGCTACACTCGTGCCGTTCAATGGCCTGAAAAATTCCTCCCTCGTGCTTTCTAAGAAGGCCTTAGCCCGGCAATTGAAGCAACGAGCAGTTGTGTCTACCGGCGTGCGAGTGGTTGCAGAGGCTGCAGACTCAACTGTCGTCACCCCAAAGAAAGAAGGGGATTTCCGGCATGAGGCTCCTCGACAGGGTATGACTTGGATTTCGCAAAAGGCTGCACGTTGTGTGTGTGCATAACAGTTCCCTGATTTTTCTGGGAGTTGATTGGCCTAAACCCCGGTTACTCTAGGTACCTATGGGTCAAACCATGCTCCATCCTTCGACATTGAAGGTCAGCCAGAAGCATACTTCTCACCGACATAATCTCGCTTGCTAGTTGGAACGAAATGGAATTGTACCTTCCCGACGTAGCATGAGGGTCGCGATGTCTTTCTTATCTTGTCTTGCTGCCTTTTGTCTAAGTCTGTACGCCCTTCCTCCCTTCGCTCTGACTTCGTTTCAGAGCTCGAAAGCCCTCAGAATGTGTTTTCTGCCAAGTACGTTCCGTTCTCTCCGGACCAGAAGCCAACTGAGGAGTACTCTCTAGACGAGGTCATTTACACCAGCAAGGACGGTATGCAACCACGAACTTTTTCCTGACGATTTTTTTTTTCTGACGTCAAGACTTCCCTTCTGTTCCTTCATGGCACACTTGTCTACGGCAAGCACTCCAACATCGCAAGATTCAGATTGTATTGAAATAATCAACACTTGGAAGTAAACAGGATATTGTTTCAGCCAATCTGACGTGTCATTTTCTATGTGGTTAACTGTCCAGGCCTGCTGTTGGACGTGCAGCATGACTACGAAGCTCTCAAGCGCTACGACGCCGCGTATTGGAAGAAGCTCTTCGACTCTCGAGTCGGCAAGCACACGTGGCCTTACGGATCCGGAGTGTGGAGCAAGAAGGAATGGGTTCTCCCGGTAAGTTTCAACTCTGATTGTGTACCTCTGTCTGTTCTTTTTGCCGGTTTAAACAACACCGTCGATCCTCGTGATTTTCATATGGATGTATCACGAATCCATGATTCACCGTTGCGATGTTGACGTCACTGCTTCGGCCCATCGATCCGTCGTGCTCTACTTACAGTCGTTTCCGTCATTTCAATGCTGAATGACTTGCAGGAGATCGACAACGACGACATCGTGAGCATGTTCGAGGGCAACTCCAACCTCTTCTGGGCCGAGCGGTACGGCAAGGAGCTCGGCATGACCGATCTGTGGGTCAAGCAGTGCGGCAACAGCCACACTGGTTCCTTCAAGGTAGCTCATCTGTTCAGCCTTTCATAAGTTCATATGTTTACCCTGCCCTCTTTTATTTCTTGAAGTTGCAAGCTGGCCTGAATATCTTGCGTGTTGACGCCTGTTATACCTCCGTCCTTGTCTTTCCTCCTGACCGCAGGATCTGGGCATGACAGTGCTCGTGAGTCAGGTGAATCGGCTGCGGAAGATGAACAAGCCGCTCGCAGCCGTAGGATGCGCTTCCACCGGTGATACCTCGGCTGCTCTCTCCGCCTACTGCGCTGCTGCCGGCATCCCCGCGATCGTCTTCCTCCCTGCTAACAAGTACGCGCACTTTGGGTTATTCTGATCGTTGATCTATTGCCTCCTTTCGTCCTATTATTCTCTCGCATTTTCCCCTCCACATATGTATCTCGCCGGCTTGTTTTGCGTTGTCTTTGTCGATCAGCACGGGTTTCCACGGGCGCATGTCCGTCCCGTCCGTCTGACACCCTTCCGCTTGTCATCTCCCTCTGCAGGATCTCCCTCGCGCAGCTGGTGCAGCCCATCGCGAACGGCGCGCTGGTGCTGTCGATCGACACGGACTTCGACGGGTGCATGCAATGTCACTAACCTCCCCACTCGCTCCCTTCCCCCGGCCTCCCACCTTCCAAATTCCCCTTTCTCCTACCAGGATTTCCCTCGCGCAGCTGGTGCAGCCCATCGCGAACGGCGCTCTGGTGTTGTCGATCGACACGGACTTTGACGGGTGCATGCGGCTGATCCGCGACGTGACGGCGCAGCTGCCCATCTACCTCGCCAACTCTCTCAACTCGCTGCGCCTCGAGGGCCAGAAGACGGCCGCCATCGAGATCTGCCAGCAGTTTGAGTGGGAGGTGCCCGACTGGGTCATTGTTCCTGGAGGTGCGTTGACTGGCTTGACTGCGTTGATTGCGTTGACTGGGTGGAGTGGGCTGGCTGCGCTGACTGGGTTGAGTGGGTTGTCTGGTGCTGCTGATCGGCACAGTCGTCGACTGGTAAAGCGACGTGACGGCGCAGCTGCCCATCTACCCCGCCAACTCGCTCAACTCGCTGCGCCTCGAGGGCCAGAAGACCGCCGCTATTGAGATCTGCCAGCAGTTCGAGTGGGAAGTGCCCGACTGGGACATTGTTCCTGGAGGTGCGTTGACTGGCTTGACTGGATATTCTGTTTTTGACTGGGGTGACCGGGTTGACTCGTTCACCCCCCGTTGTTCTGCTTGCTCCTACCAAACCCCCACCCCCGCTCCCATCCCCGCCCCATCCCCACACCCCAACTTCGCCACTTGTGTCTCTCCCCTTCTCAGTCCTTCAAAACTTCTGCTATTAAGAACCGCTCTGCCCCTTCCCTCGGTCTTCTGCCTTCTGCTATTAAGAACCGCTCTGCTTCCTCTGACGTTTTCTGCCTTGATCCTTGCCATTTCATGCAATCTGGGCAACACCTACGCCTTGTCCATCCAATTTTTAAGAAACAACGTTGCCTTTTTCTCCGACCTCATCCACGTGTCTGTTCGGCGGTGCAGGCAATCTGGGTAACATCTACGCGTTCTACAAGGGCTTCTACATGTGCAAGGAGATGGGCCTCGTCGACCGCATTCCCCGCCTGGTGAGAAGAGCTTTTCCCCCCTCCACCATCCCCCTTGCACCCTTTCTCCCATCCCCCCTCGTCCTCCCCTCCCTCCTCCCCTCCTTTTTTCCTCCCCCATCCCCCGCTCCCACTACTAGAAACTTTCTGTGCTAAAGTAACCACGCCTTTGCAACAGGGTCAAGGACGATCTTTAAACATTGACAAGCATATGGCTGAATGACCGCCTGTTGATAAACTATTTTACTGAGACCTTGCTGCTTCTGTTGTTGAGCTCTAGTCGAGAGAAGCCGCATGTTTATTGCGCTGAGTTTCTCCAGCTTCATTTTCGTTGGTTCCCCTAGAAAGGTTACCAGCGTGGGAGGGTTCCTTCCATATCTTCCGGCCCTTGTGCCTCCTTTCTTGTGCTGGTGTTGAGTGGGATCAAGGCTCTATTCCACCTCTCAACTGGTAGCTTCGTTATTGTGAGGTCGTGGATGATTTCAAAATAATTGACAAGCATATGGCTGAATCTCCGCCTGTTGATAACCACGTTACTGAGGCCTGATGATTTGAAGCTTTGGGAGAGGAGAGTGGTCGTTACCAGGACTTCTTGCCCTCATTTTTTTCCCGTTGAGGTCGTCGTTTGGCTTCTCTTCCCTCCCATGGGGCAGTCAGCGTGGCAGATGTTGATTGAAGTTATGCATAGTTCAGATGAGACGCACTTGTGTGTCCGGGAAAACTTTATTTTCGCCCCTATCTGATGCCACCTCACCCACCTCCTTCACCTGTTACTTCTACCTCTGCTGCTCCTTTCCGTCCTAGTTTGATTTCCCTCGTTTCATCCTGTGCGTCTTTGTGTACGTCGTTTCTGTGGATTGGTTGAGGTATTAAAGAGTTTTGAGTGATGATGAGGGGAGAGGGACGTTGAATGAGGGCATGATGAGCATCTTGCTTTTCACAATTATCCTTTCTCATGTTGACTGCAAAATGACTATGGCGCTGACCCTTGTTATTGCTACTTGTGATGAGGTGGGACTCAGGGAGGGGAGGAGACGGGGTTAGGAAGGGAGGGAATGATGAGCACTCATTCATCACAGTTATCCCTGACTGAACTGCTGTGTTGACTCATGAATTACTACGGTGCTGACCCTCATGATTTAGATGCCACGTTTGGGGGCTATGGAATTCAATGAATTTTGGGTATTCCAAGGTTTTTTTGCTGGGAGATCTGTGCACTTTCGGTCTTGTCTGCGTATGGTTGGGTTGGAATGGGTTGGGAAAAGTTGTTGGTGAGTGTGGGAGCAGGTGACTGTTGTGGCAGGTGTTGATTGAAGTTATGCATAGTTCAGATGAGACACCTTTGTGTGTCCAGGAAAACTTAATTTTCGCCCCTATCTGATGCCATGGAACTAACCTGCTCTTAGTCGCTTCACAATGCAAGAGTTTCTGTTGCCTGTTTCCTTTTTTTTTTGCCCTTTTTCTTTTCTTTTCTCCTTTGTGGAAGGGGAATGATGAGCACCCATTCATCACAGTTATCCCTGGCTGAACTGCCATGTTGACTCATGAATTACTACGGTGCTGACCCCTTGAGTTGCCTCGTCATCAATTTCTCCTCAACTCGTTTTTTTTTTCTCTTTCACTACTCCCCGACTCAGCTCGTGGCCCTCCTTTTCCCAGTCCACCTAATCCCCGTTTTTCAATATGCTATCATGTGTACGATCATGCCCTGTTACATAGCCCCGGATGGCCTGTACCTTGACATGCTTCTCTCCCTCTCTCTCTCCCTCTCCCGCTCGTTCTCCCCTCAACAGGTGTGTGCGCAGGCAGCCAACGCGAATCCGCTCTACCTGTCGTTCCAGAAGGGCTTTGAGCAGTTTGAGCCGGTGCGGGCTACACAGACTTTCGCCTCTGCCATCCAGATCGGAGACCCCGTCTCCATCGACCGAGCCATCTTTGCTCTCAAGGTGAGCTGCGCTTTGAAGCTTTCAGATTGGTGCTGGTATGTTGTGTTTTGTGCAGTTGGATGTGGTAGTATGTTCCTTTAGCCCTTGGGGCATTGTCTTTTGACCGAGCCACCGTGCAGCACTCTCATTGGTGATGTTAGATGGCATCAAAGTGTTTTGTGTGCTGCTGACGCGGGTGGGTATGGTAGCTTATTTACCAGCTCACCTGGACATGGGTGGTGGGAGAATGTTTGGCTCGACCATCCAGGTTGTGAAGCCCCGTCACAACTCCAGCTGATCGCGTCTGTTTTTGCCTCTCTCCAGTAGGAGTGCAGGGATCTCTAGTAGGAGTGCAAAGATCTCCAGTAGGAGTGTAGGGATTCCTAGAATCCCTGCACTCCTACTGGAGACCCCTGCACTCCTTCTGGAGTTTCCTCCACTCCTACTCATTTATATTTTCCCATTCTAATTACCAGGCATCCAATGGCATAGTGGAGGAGGCCACACAGCAGGAGCTCGCGGATGCTGCGGTACAGAGACCAATTTTGCCCTCTCCTTGATCTCCAATCAAGCATGTTCAATCCCGTCCTTGCCTCCCCTGATTTTCCTCTGATGATCCATTTAAACCAGGCATCCAACGGCATAGTGGAGGAGGCCACGGTGCAGGAGCTCATCTCATGCTGCAGCAGAGGCGGATGAAGCCCACCTCCTCATTCCACTCAACCGCCTTCTCTACTGCCTTTGCCTGTTTCCTACCCTGCTTCCCTCACCAGGCATCCGACGGCATAGTGGAGGAGGCCACGGAGCAGGAGCTCATGGACGCTGTTTTGACAGCAGACGATGGCCTCCTGCATTCCCATTTAACCCCCTTATTTCCTGTCCTTCCCTCCTTCCCACTCCTCTTGCCGTCTCCTGTGCAGGCATCCAATGGCATAGTGGAGGAGGCCACGGAGCAGGAGCTCATGGACGCCGCAGCAGAGGCGGATCTCACGGGCATGTTCAACTGCCCACACACAGGAGTGAGTGCCTATCTTTACCCAACTCTCCTTAAAGAGGTCCCCCCTTCACCCCACTCGCTTGCCCCTGTTTTCACCCATTTTCCCTCTTTCTTGTCCATATGATAGCTACATTCCCGCTGGTATCCTCTGTCATTCTCTATATCTTCTTCGCATGTCCCACTTCCCCCCTTGTGCAGGTGGCGCTGGCGGCTCTGAAGAAGCTGCGCAGCCGGGGAGTGATCGGCCCCAATGATCGCACAGTGGTGGTCAGCACAGCACACGGCCTCAAGTTCGCTCAATCCAAGGTAAGCCAATGCAATCAATGGGAAATGCTGAAGTTCATCTCGGAAAAATGGAAGTGATTTTTAGGGGCTGCTGCTGATGGAAGTCTATCTCTGAGCTCTGAATAACCTGTCAAATTTTTTATTGGTGATCTGTTCAGGTGGCTTATCACTCGAATGAGATTCCCGGCATGGTGTCGACATTTGCCAACCCTCCTGTGAGCGTGAAGGACAACTTGGGAAGTGTTATGGATGTGTTGAGAGAGCGCATTGGCAAGTAACCTGATTTGTAGGCTAATAATACGTTATACAACAGCTTTGTAATACACCGAGCATGCCCAAATTGTTCTTGGATAGTAATAGTATCCGTTTCGAAAGTCCACTTACAGGTGTACAATATTTGTCAAACTAAAAATCGCTTTGCGAAAGGATTGTGGTGGCGACACTTTCTAGCATAATGCGACGTGAAATAGTACCAGGCTTACCTATCGTTGCATCCAGAAGTCTCGGAGCGTGTCAGTCTGACATGGCGAGCTATTGTTGTGAGTGCAGCAACAGTGCCGACAGTTCTGGAGCTGTGCATAACGAGTCCAGGTTCCGACTGACGACCTCTAACGGGAATGAATCGGGGTGTCGAGAGAGCAGGTCATGAAAGCACGACTCGGCAAAGGGGGTCATGGAAGTCCTGATTTTGCCGAGCTGAGACGGAGCGGTTGAGTAAGATGCTGTGCACTATCAAGCAGTTGTATCGCTTCACCGCTTTGAACCACTTGTATGTTTTCTTCACCATCAACCATGATACGTACGTGCAAGAGGCTATGAACACAAAAACTAGACACATGTGACTAGACTATCACGAGTCACGAGATTAGTGTGCTGACAATGGAGTGTTGCTGATAGTGAGCACTCAGAATAGAAAGGATAGTAGGCATTGCTGCCTATCAGGCGTTATGTCTCGTGTTAGTCAGGCATCGGAGAGCTAGTGTTAGCGTTTCTCATGCGGTGCTGCAATTCTGCGGCCTTTTGAGTTCAGACTTTCTGTCGTGACTGCGGTAGCGCTTCGACCGCCTCAGACTCTCAAAATCAAGGTTGTTAATCCACGTCGTTGATTCGCGAGTAGTCGTTCGAACGTTAATTAATTACACTTGAACTGTTAATTCGTCCAGCTCTGAGATGCCGAGTCGCGGCTCTCGCTCTGCTTCACGCTTGCGAGACCAAGTGAAATCGGTCATTGCGGAACGCCATGGCTTTTCAACTCTTTAGTAGTAACGGTCGCTCTCTTCTCGGCGGTTTCCGCGACAGTCGCACGCACAGGTCGCACGTACCACGCTGTAGAAGCTGCTTCTCGCGACGTCTGTAACCACATCAATAACCACTTCGCGACTGCTTTCGCGATAGGAAGCCTCATCTAGCTATATATAGTCTGATCGTCTGGACCAGCTTCGGAGTCTTTCGAGGGAAGCTTCCTTAGTGAAGGAGCCAGCCTTCTTACTGGCCCACGAGGCTAGGAGATTAGAGTAAGCTGGATTCTTAGTCGAGTTGTATGTCGCCGGTCTGACACTCCTTCACTAGCCCAGTTAGCTATTCCGAACAGCTTTCATGTTGTTAAGTTAGAAATAACGCGCATGCAAAAGCAGCAGCATTACAAGCCACTGAACCTCCTTGAAGCGCGTGCAACAATAGACACGCTCATGGCCCTCTCCAACCCTTTTCACGACGGTCGCAATCCCCAAAGCCAGCATCGCCGCAAACGCCTCCTCCCAACCCGCCGTCGCCAAAGAGCCGCATTCCCGTCCCACCACCCCCTCCAGTTCCCCTTCCTCGCCCTCCTGCTCCTCCTCCTCGTTCCACCCACACCCTTTCCTCCCGGCTTCGACGGCCACCTCTCTCGCGGTGTGCGTCTGGTCGAGGCTGCGCCGTTCCGCGTCACTGACGCCTACAAGCCCGTCTGCGGGAGCCTCCCTGCCAACCCTCCTCGCCATGGTGCGTGCTTTCCCCCCACCCTGTGTGCGCCTGTCGCCCGGTGTTCGTCTGCTTGAGGTGAGGCTGCTCCATTCCGCGTCTCTGACGCCTACAAACCCCCCTCCCTGGCAAACCCCCTGCCAACCCCCCTCGCCACGGTGCGTGCCTTCCTTCTTGGGACACTCTCGGGTGCATTCTCAAGGCACCTCAAACACAAGCCCGTCTGTTGGTATCTCCCTGCGAAGCCCCCTCGTCACAGTCCGTGCTGCTCCTCTTGCAAGGCCCTCAGGTGCACTGTCAAGGCGAATCTGTTATTTGAGAATTCTCAAAAAACAAAAGCCCCCCTCGTCACAGTCCGTGCTGCTCCTCTTGCAAGGCCCTCGGGTGCATTATCAAGGCAGCTCAAACACAAACCCGTCTGTGAAGGGCTGTATGCAAACTCCCTTCGCTGCTTCTTTCGCAGGCTGCAAGCGGTGGAACGACCCCAGCACATGGGGAAAGCAGTCGCTCCTCCCCTGGGACCAGCACAACAGGCTCAAGGGCTGGTCCTTCCGCCCGGGCGTTCCTGGATGTGTGGTGTAGGAAGCTGATGATAGCCCGTCGTGCCGTGGAAACACCCCTTTCCTGCGTGTTGCGCAGGTTGGAAGCGGTGGAGCGACCCCAGCACGCGGGGAGAGCAGTCCCTCCCTCCTCCCCTGGGACCAGCGCAACAGGCTCAAAGGGTGGCCCTTCCGCCTGGGCGTGCCTGGATGTGGTGTGGGAAGCTGATTATAGTCTAACCCCTTTTCTGTGTGTTTTCCCAGGCTGGAAGCGGTGGAGCGACCCCAGCACGTGGGGAAAGCAGTCGCTGGTGCCGTGGAAGCACAAGGGTTGGCCGTTCCGCCTGGGCGGGCCTGGGCGTGGGCTGCTGCAGTGGCGGGATGTGACTGTACCGTGTGGCGCGGCCATCCTGCTGGATGTGCCTGAAGTGAGGGTGGGGAAGCTCAAGATCAAGGGGTGGCTCAAGTGAGTGCGCGTGGTGTGAGTGTGTGTGTGTGCTGTGAGTGTGAGTCCTGTAAATTTAAATTGGTAAAGCTCCTCCTCTTGCAACCGTTTCCCTCCGCGTGTGGAGTGGTGATACTGCTGGATCTGCCTGAAGCAAGGGTTGAGAAGCTCATAAACAAGGGGAGGGTGGTTGAAGTGAAGTGAGCGCATATATGAGTGCTGCTGCTGTGAGTATTGAGAGCGTGTGTAAGGTTTGTTACGTTGAATGAATCATATTTAATCCCCCCTCTTTTCCCTCCATCTCCTCCCTCTTTTCCATCCATCTCCTCCCTCCAGGGTCGTTGACTCGCCCAAGCTTCCCCACATGAACCTCAGTGTAATGAGTCGAGTTTTGGGTCGACTCAAAACTCGACTCCCTATATTCCCTCCATCTCCTCCCTCCCAAGGTCCTAGACTCGCCCAACCTTCCCCACACGAACCTCAGCATCCGTTTCGTACCCGTTACGTTGTGAATCGACCCACATGCAATCCCTTCCCCTTCCTCCCCCCCCCACCTCCACCCCCTTTCTCCACCCCCCTCCCTCCCTCCCTCCAGGGTCGTTGACTCGCCCAAGCTCCCCCACATCCGCGTCAGGGCGCGTTTCATCCTCGTTATGGGGCGCTTCACTGCAGGCTCGGCGTCCCGCCAGCTGTCCTCGCGCCTCACGGTCACCCTGCACCCCAACATGGGATTCTCGGGCGGCAGGAAGCCGTACAAGCTCCGAAGAGTGCCGCCCGCTGACCCGAGAAATCCCCGAGACTTGGGTCACAAGGCGTTTGCTGTGGTACGTCTATCTCCCTTCCTCTCCTTTCCCTCCTCTCCTCTCTCTCCTCCCTCCCCCTCTCCTTTTCCTTCTCCTCCTCTTCTCCACGTCCTCACTCTGCACTGCGTCCCACATGCATGAGAGTCGACCCTGGGGGGCAGCATGCTATGTTTGTGGGGGGCATGATGGGGTGGGGGGACAAATGCCCTGTCATGCCCCCTTATGTGTGTGTGTGATGTCCCTAATACGCCAGGTGGGAGGGCAGGTGGACCTCCACGGCATGCCAGGGGAAGCAGACACCCCTTCCTGGGTGCGAATAGGAGCAACAGCAAATGCGGGGCAGAGGCAGCAGCACAGGCACCTCTAAATGTTCTGACTGCATGAAGTTCATTCTTAATGCCCACACCATCTGCCACACCAGGTGGGAGGACAGGTGGACCTCCACGGCATGCCGGGGGAAGCAGACACCCCTTCCTGGGTGCGACTGGCAGCAACAGCAGCAGCAGAGCCACACAAACTCACACACCTGAATGCTCTGACTGCACACACACATTTGTTTCCTCCGATGTCCCTCATACGCCAGGTGGGAGGGCAGGTGGACTTCCATGGCATGCCGGGGGGAGCAGACACCCCTTCCTGGGCGCGACTGGCAGCAACAGCAGCAGCGGGGCAGAGGCAACTGGTGGTTGAGGGGGACGTGAGGGGGTGGCGCCCGGGCTTCACTGTTGCTGTGGCGTCCACCAGCACTGACTTTAACGAGGCAGAGAACCGGGAGATCAAATCAGGTGGGTTAATGCATACATGTGCTCGGATGGTTGAGTTGAGGGGGACGTGATGCGAGGGGGTGGCGCCTGGGCCTGACTGTTGCTGTTGCGTCCACCAGCACGGAAGTCAATACTCAACAAAGGAGAGAGCTGAGAGATGGAAGCATGTGGGATAATGGGTGTGGTGTGTGCGTGCATGCTTTGACGGTGCGCAATGGCGCACGGAGCTGACTGCTGTTGTTGCATCCGAGCAACTGTTGTTGCATCCGAGCAACTGTTGTTGCATCCGAGCAACTGTTGTTGCATCCGAGCAACTGTTGTTGCATCCGAGCAACTGTTGTTGCATCCGAGCAACTGTTGTTGCATCCGAGCAACTGTTGTTGCATCCGAGCAACTGTTGTTGCATCCGAGCAACTGTTGTTGCATCCGAGCAACTGTTGTTGCATCCGAGCAACTGTTGTTGCATCCGAGCAACTGTTGTTGCATCCGAGCAACTGTTGTTGCATCCGAGCAACTGTTGTTGCATCCGAGCAACTGTTGTTGCATCCGAGCAACTGTTGTTGCATCCGAGCAACTGTTGTTGCATCCGAGCAACTGTTGTTGCATCCGAGCAACTGTTGTTGCATCCGAGCAACTGTTGTTGCATCCGAGCAACTGTTGTTGCATCCGAGCAACTGTTGTTGCATCCGAGCAACTGTTGTTGCATCCGAGCAACTGTTGTTGCATCCGAGCAACTGTTGTTGCATCCGAGCAACTGTTGTTGCATCCGAGCAACTGTTGTTGCATCCGAGCAACTGTTGTTGCATCCGAGCAACTGTTGTTGCATCCGAGCAACTGTTGTTGCATCCGAGCAACTGTTGTTGCATCCGAGCAACTGTTGTTGCATCCGAGCAACTGTTGTTGCATCCGAGCAACTGTTGTTGCATCCGAGCAACTGTTGTTGCATCCGAGCAACTGTTGTTGCATCCGAGCAACTGTTGTTGCATCCGAGCAACTGTTGTTGCATCCGAGCAACTGTTGTTGCATCCGAGCAACTGTTGTTGCATCCGAGCAACTGTTGTTGCATCCGAGCAACTGTTGTTGCATCCGAGCAACTGTTGTTGCATCCGAGCAACTGTTGTTGCATCCGAGCAACTGTTGTTGCATCCGAGCAACTGTTGTTGCATCCGAGCAACTGTTGTTGCATCCGAGCAACTGTTGTTGCATCCGAGCAACTGTTGTTGCATCCGAGCAACTGTTGTTGCATCCGAGCAACTGTTGTTGCATCCGAGCAACTGTTGTTGCATCCGAGCAACTGTTGTTGCATCCGAGCAACTGTTGTTGCATCCGAGCAACTGTTGTTGCATCCGAGCAACTGTTGTTGCATCCGAGCAACTGTTGTTGCATCCGAGCAACTGTTGTTGCATCCGAGCAACTGTTGTTGCATCCGAGCAACTGTTGTTGCATCCGAGCAACTGTTGTTGCATCCGAGCAACTGTTGTTGCATCCGAGCAACTGTTGTTGCATCCGAGCAACTGTTGTTGCATCCGAGCAACTGTTGTTGCATCCGAGCAACTGTTGTTGCATCCGAGCAACTGTTGTTGCATCCGAGCAACTGTTGTTGCATCCGAGCAACTGTTGTTGCATCCGAGCAACTGTTGTTGTTGTGCAGCCCCTCTCCGACACGCACTAGGGCATATCCGCTCCCGACAGCTTTGGTGGATGTTCGATCAGCCATAATGACTGGGCGAGCTGCAGCTTAGGAAAAACTTTAGCCCGATGGCTTTGGTGGATGTCCGAGCCGAGGTGGCGCTGTCATTAGTGCCCTACCCTCCCTCTCCTCTCCCATTTCCTTCCCCCATCACAACAGTGGCTCTGGCTCTGGGCACGCCAGTGCCAGACTGCATGGTGGACCTTCGTCCGTGCTGATCAGTGTCCCACCCACCACCCTCCCCTCCTGCTCCAATCTCTTCCCACCCCACCCCACCCATCACAACAGTTGCTCTGGTTTCTCCAGCCACCTCGCTCGCCCCCCACCTCTTGCATCACCCTCACTGCGCCCCTCACCCACACGCACGCATGCGGGCACGTCAGTGCCAGACTGCATGGTGGACCTTCGTCCGTGCTGGATGGTGTCCCCTCACCCACACGCACGCATGAGGACACGTCAGTGCCGGACGGCTTTGGTGGCACGGTGAACATTCGTGCTCATCGTGAATAATCTTTTCTCCCTCACATCGCCCCATCCTCCCTTCCCTCTCTTCCCCTTGCTCCCCTCTCCGCTCCCCCATCACGACAGTCGCCCTGGTCTCCCCAGCCACCTCCCCTCCCACATCTCGCATCACCCTCACAGCACCCCTCACCCACACGCACGAGGGCACATCCGTGCCGGACGGCTTTGGTGGCACGGTGGACATCCGTGCTGAGGTGGCTCTGCTTGATAGGCAGATCGTCATTCAGGGCACGGACGAGCCTCCTCCACACCAGTACGACGGTATGTGAGTCAGGGCACACACACTTGGGCTGTTCATCAGGCACAGTCTATAAGGCTGAAGGTTTGGACTGTCAGTGCGGCTCACACACGCTTGTCATTCAGGGCACTGACGAGCTTCCTCCACACCAGTACGACGGTATGTCAGTCAGGGCACACACACTTGGACTGTTAGTTAGGCACAGCCGCACAGTACGAGTGAGGCTCTCACTCCCTTGGTGAAGGTGAGACACACACTCTCTTGTCATTCAGGGCACGGACAAGGCTACTTCACACCAGTATGGGGGCCCACACCAGTATGGGGTCCCGCACCATACAACTATGATGGTATGTCAGTCAGACCAAGACGTGGTTCAGTTCTGTTGGGGCCTCATCCCCCACACCCCACTCACCGCTGTTTGAATTACCCCCCCGTCCTCTCCCTTCATTGCTTTTTTTCTCCCCAGGCGGCCACTTCATGGTGCTGCACATGACTCTCACCCAGCAGGCCATGTCCCTGTCTTCAATCTTGCTACCCTCCCACACTGTTCCCCCTCTCCCCCCATTAGGCGGGCACTTCATGCCATACATGACTTGCACCCAGCAGGCAATCGAGGGGGTTCAGTTCCAAGGGCTAGGCAACCAAGAATCCCTCTTACCCCCTTTGCTTTCCCCGTCCAACCCCCCCACCCCCACCAGGCGGTCACTTCATGGTGTACATGACTCGCACCCAGCAAGCCATCGAGGGGGTTCAGTTCAGAGGGCTGGGCAACCAAGGATACCTCTTATCCCCTTTGTCTTCCCCGTCCAACCCCCCCACCCCCACCAGGCAGTCACTTCATGGTGTACATGACTCGCACCCAGCAAGCCATCGAGGGGGTTCAGTTCAGAGGGCTGGGCAACCAAGGATACCTCTTATCCCCTTTGTCTTCCCCGTCCAACCCCCCCACCCCCACCAGGCAGTCACTTCATGGTGTACATGACTCGCACCCAGCAAGCCATCGAGGGGGTTCAGTTCAGAGGGCTGGGCAACCAAGGCACCCTCGGCCGCTTCCCTCTCCACTTCCACGTGTGCGGGCTCCCCGCGGACGCATCCTCCTTTCACCCTTCCTTTCCCCTCGTGGTCTTCCTTCCCCCCCCACCAGGCGGTCACTTCATGGTGTACATGACTCGCACCCCCCAGGCCATCGAAGGTGTTCAATTCCGCGGACTAGGCAACCAAGGCACACTCGGCCGCTACCCGCTCCACTTCCACGTGTGCGGGCTCCCTCTTGACGCATCTCAGCCGCACATCGTGCGCAAGAACGCGATCGTGCACTCGAAGCAACGGTGCATGGTGATTCACGCCACCAGCAACATGACAATCGAAGACAACGTGACATACGAGACCAAGGGACACTCTTACTTGGTGGAGGAGGGGTCGGAGATGGGGAATCTGTTTCGGAGGAACCTGGGGATGAGTGTGAGGAGGGTGGAAAAGGCGATTCCGCCGGACACGACGGACCGGTATGGGTTTCACACGGACAAGCAGCCGAGCGTGTTCTGGATGGCCACTCCCTATAACAGCTTCTATGGGAACGTGGCTGCTGGGTCTGAGAACAGCGGGTGGGTGGAAATGATTTGATTTGATACTATTTGACTCGAGTGGATCCTCCCATCACCAACTGTCTCCCCTCTTAACCCCCCCTCTTCCCCCGTTCTCGTACTCCGTCCCCTAAAGCTTACGGCTAGAGGCGAATCCCTCCATGCAGGGCATCTCGCGCCTGCTGCCCTCCCCTCCCGTTACCACCCACTCCCACACTGTTTCCCACCCGCCATCTCTCCCCCTCCGTGTCTGTTCCCTCTTATCCCATCCCCCCAGATTCTGGCTAGAGGCCAACCCCACCATGAGGGGTGTGTCGCGCCTGCTGCCCTGCTAAGGCCTCTCGTCCTCCGCCTCCTGCCCCTCCCCCTTTCCCCCCTGTCATCCCCTCAGCTTCTGGCTAGAGGCCAACCCCACCATGAGGGGTGTCTCGCGCCTGCTGCCCTGCTAAGGCCTCTCCTCCTCCCCCTCCTGCCCCTCCCCCTTTCCCCCCTGTCATCCCCTCAGCTTCTGGCTAGAGGCCAACCCCACCATGAGGGGTGTCTCGCGCCTGCTGCCCTGCTAAGGCCTCTCCTCCTCCCCCTCCTGCCCCTCCCCCTTTCCCCCCTGTCATCCCCTCAGCTTCTGGCTAGAGGCCAACCCCACCATGAGGGGTGTCTCGCGCCTGCTGCCCTGCTAAGGCCTCTCCTCCTCCCCCTCCTGCCCCTCCCCCTTTCCCCCCTGTCATCCCCTCAGCTTCTGGCTAGAGGCCAACCCCACCATGAGGGGTGTCTCGCGCCTGCTGCCCTGCTAAGGCCTCTCCTCCTCCCCCTCCTGCCCCTCCCCCTTTCCCCCCTGTCATCCCCTCAGCTTCTGGCTAGAGGCCAACCCCACCATGAGGGGTGTCTCGTGCCTGCTGCCCTGCTCAGGCCTCTCCTCCTCCCCCTCCTGTCCCTCCCCCTTTCCCCCCTGTCATCCCCTCAGCTTCTGGCTAGAGGCCAACCCCACCTGTCAGATTACCATCTTCATTGTAACCTGCATCATCATATAAGCTTTGACTAGAGATAGGCACCCAAACTTAGTTTGGGTGCACAACTAGGGTTTACCCTAGTTTGAGGTTGGAACCCAACCTTGGCCCAATTATTGGGCCCCCAAGGTTGGGTTGGGAGATTATTGGCCCCCCCAATAATGTTGACCCACTTTTGGTCAACATTATTGGTCCCCCCAATAACTCCTCAACCCAACTTATTGGTGGGGGCCAATAATGTTGGCATGGCTCCTACATCCTAGCTCAACTATGTAAACCCATGCCCTTCCTAATGAAACTATCGGTTGTTCTTACACTTTCTCACACCACCATGAGGGGTGTCTCGCGCCTGCTGCCCTGCTCAGGCCTCTCCTCCTCCCCCTCCTGTCCCTCCCCCTTTCCCCCCTGTCATCCCCTCAGCTTCTGGCTAGAGGCCAACCCCACCATGAGGGGTATCTCGCAGCTGCTGCCCTGCTAAGGCCTCTCCTCCTCCCCCTCCTGTCCCTCCCCCTTTCCCCCCTGTCATCCCCTCAGCTTCTGGCTAGAGGCCAACCCCACCATGAGGGGTATCTCGCGCCTGCTGCCTGCCATCGGCAACAAACGGCCTGACAGGTGGGCGTGCGTGGGTATGTGGGGGTTCGCTGGGGCATGGGGTCGTGGGGTGTGGGGTCACGGGGGCATGACATGGGGGCATGGGGGCGTGTGTGGCTGCACCTACCTCCTCGCTCCCCCACCTACCTCCTCGCTCCCCCACCTACCTCCTCGCTCCCCCACCTACCTCCTCGCTCCCCCACCTACCTCCTCGCACCCCACCTACCTCCCAGGAGCAGGTTCAACTGGGGGGACCACGTGGGCAACGTGGCTCACTCGTCCCTCTCTAGCCTCCACACGTAACCCCCCCCCACCACGGCGTCACAGCCGACTTTTGAGTCGACTCAAAAGTCAACTCGTCCCTCTCTGGCCTCCACACGAACCCCCCCACCACGGCGTCACAGCCACGCTACCCAACTACATGCCCCCCTTCCCCCCGCCACCTCACATCCACACGTTTGACTGGGGTATGCGGGCAATGTTGCGCACTCCTCCCTCTTTGGCCTGCGCACCTGCTAACCGGGAACCCTTCTCCCCAACACTCCTTCCCACCCATCCCTCACGCGTGCAGGTTCAACGGGGGGGGGCACATGGGCAACGTGGCGCACTCCTCCCTCTATGGCTTCCGCACGTACCCCCACGGCTCACAGTCCCACTACCCCGACTACAGTGGGGTGATCACGCATCTCAAGGACGCCCTCTTTCCACCCCTCCCTCACCTCGATTTGCAGGTTCAACTGGGGAGAGTATGTGGGCAACGTGGCCCACTCGTCCCTCTCTGGCTTCCGCACCTTCTAACCTGAACCCCCAATCTTCTTCCCTCCCCACTCCCCACTGCGCATCAGCAGGTTCAACTGGGGGGAATATGTGAGCAACGTGGCCCACTCGTCCCTCTCTGGCTTCCGCACGTATCCCCACGGCTCGCAGTCCCGCTTCCCCAACTCATTTCCCGGCCGCCTCATGTCCCATCCCCCTCTCACACAAGCAGGTTCAACTGGGGAGAATATGTGGGCAACGTGGCTCAGTCTTTCCTCTTAGGCCTCTGCACCTGCTAGCATGATACCCCTTTCCGCTGCCCTCATCATGCTCCCCCTCCCGCACATCCCCAACCACTTCCCCCCTCTCCCCCTCTGACACAAGCAGGTTCAACTGGGGGGAATATGTAGGCAACGTGGCCCACTCCTCCATCTTTGGCTTCCGCACGTACCCGCATGGCTCACAGTCCCGCTTCCCTGACTACACTGGCGTGATAACATACCTCAAGGACTCTCTCTTCTACCGGAACAAGGCAGGGTGAGTCACAGCCTTTTGAGACGTCTCAAAACACTTCTTCATACACGTCGCTTTCCCGACTACACTGGGGTGATAACATACCTCAAGGACTCTCATGAACTCACTCTTTTACCGGAACAAGGCCGGGTGAGAGGAGCAGAAGGTGGTGGGCTCGTTCGTTCACAGGGAACCCCCACAGCTCACAGTCCCGCTACCCCGGCCACACTGGGGTGATCACGTACCTCACAGACGCTTTCTTCTACCGGAACAAGGCAGGGTGAGTGGAGGTCTAAGGATGAAGCACAGGAGCGCAGTCACCCATCTCATGGCTTGTTCGCTCTCAGGCAACCCCCACGGCTCACCGGGGTGATCATGTACCTCAAGGGCGCTCTCTCGCTCTTCCACAGGCGACCCCACGGCTCGCAGTCCCACTACCCCGGCTGCACTGGGGTGATCACGTACCTCACAGACGCTTTCTTCTACCGGAACAAGGCTGGGTGAGTGGAGGTCTAAGCATGAAGCACAGGAGCGCAGTCACCCATCTCATGGCTTGTTCGCTCTCAGGCAACCCCCACGGCTCACCGGGGTGATCACGTACCTCAAGGGCGCTCTCTCGCTCTTCCACAGGCGACCCCACGGCTCGCAGTCCGGCTCACATCCGACTACACTGGCGTGATAACATACCTCAAGGACTCACTCTTCTACCGGAACAAAGCAGGGTGAGTGTGTGGAGCTCGAGAGGTTCCAGCCAGCCAGCCATCAGTGAAGCCTTGAAAAGCCTTGAAGAGGTACTAACTCAACACACACGTGAGTGTGGAGCACGAGAGGTTCTAACTCAACAGGTGGCTTTTGAGTCGACTCAAAAGTCACCTCGTAACACTAACTCAACAGTGAAGTTTTCTACGATTTCTCTAGAGGCTTTGAAGATTCTATCAGAAGCTGCCCCCAACTGCTACGGCACCAGCCAGCCATCACGAATCTCAAGGGCGCTCTCTTCTACCGGAACAAGGCCGGGTGAGTGCAACAAGGGAAGGGAGGGTGGATCAAGGAACCTCCAATTGTGAGAGCTTATAAGAGCCTCTAACTATTACAACAACGCCTTTTCGAGGCGCCTCAAAAACCGTCTTGTAAGAGCCCTTCACTTGCTACAACAACGCCTTTTCACACTTCAAGGGCGCTCTCTTCTACCGGAATAAGGCTGGGTGAGTGGAGGCAGAGAGCATTAGTGGTGGAGAACGGTGCATTTGTGAGTCGACTCAAGCCCACCTGTCCCTCCCGTCGTCCCTTCTTGACTTTCTGTTCTCTTCCCTCTTCGCCCTGTCCCCCCTCCACCCCCCCCCAAGCATCCTCTTAGTGAACACGGATCACATAGTGGTGGAGAACGGTGCATTTGAGTCGACTCAAGTCCCCTTCTCTTCCCTCCCCCCTTTTTTCCACCCCCCCCCAGCATCCTCTTTGTGAACACGGATCACATAGTGGTGGAGAACGGTGCATTTGTGAGTCGACTCAAGTCCCTTTCTCTTCCCTCCCCCCGTTTTTCCACCCCTTCCCAGCATCCTCTTTGTGAACACGGATCGCATAGTGGTGGAGAGCGGTGCTTTTGTGGAGAACGCATATGGGATGGACATCAGTCGAAACGGTGGGGTGACAGTCAAGGGATGCCGATTCGTAGGCACTCTCCCCTCCACCTGCACGTAAGGGAAGGGAAGCGAGGGGAAGGGTGTACCTTTGACCCACTTGAAAGTCTAAGGAAGGGAGTGAGTTCTATCTGCACCCAAGGGAAGCAGGTCACTCTGACCAGCATGTATGGGAAGGGAACGCGTACGGGATGGACATCAGTCGAAACGGCGGGGTGACGGTTCGTGGGCACTTGGCACCTCAAACCTGCACCTCAAACCTGCACCTCAAACCTGCACCTCAAACCTGCACCTCAAACCTGCACCTCAAACCTGCACCTCAAACCAGCATCCCAAATCAAATCTGCACATAAATCCTGCTCCTCAAACCTGCACCTCAAATCAAACCTGCTCTTGAAACCTGCACCTCAAACTTGCATCTCAAAGCGTAGGAGTGTGCGGTGCAGCGTATGAGCATGCGGTGCTGTGTATGAGCGGGATGTGCAGCGTATGTGCGTGCGGTGCAGCGTATGAGCGTGCGGTGCTGTGTATGAGCGGGATGTGCAGTGTATGTGCGTGCGGTGCAGCGTATGAGCGGGCGGTGCAGCGTATGAGCGGGCGGTGCAGCGTATGAGCGGGCGGTGCAGCGTATGAGCGGGCGGTGCAGCGTATGGGCATGTGGTGCAGCGTGTGTGCACAGTGCAGCGTGTGTGTGTGCGGTGCAGCGTGTGTGCGTGCGGTGCAGCATGTGTGCGTGCGGTGCAGCGTGTGTGCGTGCGGTGCAGCGTATGAGCGTGCGGTGTAGCTTATGAGCGGGCGGTGCAGCGTATGAGCGGGCGGTGCAGCGTATGAGCGGGCGGTGCAGCGTATGAGCGGGCGGTGCAGCGTATGAGCGGGCGGTGCAGCATTTGGGCATGTGGTGCAGTGCACGGTGCAGCGTGTGTGCATGCGGTGCAGTGTATGGGCGTGCGGTGCAGTGTGGGTGTGCGGTGTATTGTACGGGCGTGCGGTGCAGTGCATGGGTGATGGTCAAGGGATGCCGCTTCGTGAGCACCCTGCCTTCCACCCGCACCTAAGCCAAGGGCAGGGAGTGACCTTCGCTGAGAGTGACTTCGCTAAGATTGACTTCGCTGAGAGTGGCTTCGCTGAGAGTGGCTTGTGAGAGTGGCTTTCACTTATCTGTGAAGGTGTTTTTGGACGTCCCAAAACTCGGTTTCTATTGGCAATCGGACGGCCAGGGAATGCTGATTTTTGTTGCTTGTTTTGTCCTTCTGTTCCCTTGTCCCTTTGTCCCCCTGCCTCCCTCTCCCTCTGTCTCTTTCCATTGGTGCCTTTGTTCCCCTCTCACACCCTGCCCGCCTATCCCTCCTATCCCTCTGTCACCCTATCCCTCTTTCCCTCTGTCCCCGTGTTCCCAGTGCTAAGGCTATGGCTGCCACTCGCAGCAGCAGCAGCATCAGCAGCATCAGTAGCGGCAGAAGCAGCAGCGGCAGCAGCAGAAGCAGCAGCAGCAGCAGGAGCTCGCCGTAGCGGCAGAAGCAGCGGCAGCACCAAGAGCATGAGCCTCGCCAGCAGCAGTATCACCAACCAAAGCAACCAGCCTTGGGCCACAGCTCCTGCCCCTCTCTCTCTCTCTTTCCAGGGTCCCACCACAGAGTGGGAACCACCAGGCATGGCTGATGCCATCAAGCCATGGGCTGAGTTCCTTTATCCCTTCCCTAGTGACGATGGGGGTGACTATAGTGATGATGGGGGTGACTATGACGAATATGGGGATTATGGCGGGGGTGGTGGGGGGGGTGGGACTGGTAGTAACAACAGCACAGGCAGTGGCAGTGGTAGCAGCAGCAGCACAGGCAACGGCACAGGCAACAGCACAGGCAACAACACAGGCAGCAGCACAGGCAGCAGCACAGGCAGCAGCAGTGGAGAGGCGGAAACAACATACAACATAACAGCAGGGGAGGTGCCACCATGGGCTGAGAGCTTCTGGCTGGGCTACTGGTCCCAGGGTGGTACAGATACCATCGCTGCTGCTGCTGCTGCTGGTCCTTCTACAACGGGAGGTGCAGATCAGAAGGGACGATCGATGCAAGCAGCAGTGCGACCAGCAGCAGCAGTGGTGGTGCCACAGAAGGAGATAGGCGACGGGTCGTTTGACTCACCCATAGGAGTCACGCTGAGCCAGAGCAACCCCGCTGACATCCTGCGTCCGTCTTCTGTGGAAGATTCCTTGTAAGTTGCTGCTTTGAGAGAGAATGAAGTGCACGTAGCGCGCACAGTGCAGGTAGCAACAGTACAAGCAACAGCAGTGCAAGCAGCAGCGGTGCAGGCAGCAGCAGCAGTGCGATCAGCAGCAGCAGTGGTGGTGCCACAGAAGGAGATAGGCGACGGGTCGTTGGAGTCGCCCATTGGAGTCATGCTGAGCCAGAGCAACCCCGCTGACATCCTGCGCCCCTCCTCCGTGGAAGTTTCCTTGTAAGTTGATGCGTTGAGAGTCAGTATGCTGTTTCTTTAGAGTTGTTCTTCCTCTCGGTATCTCCCTGTTTCATTCTGGCCTGGTATCCCTCAGTGGACTAACCCAGCTCCTTCATATCTCTTGGTTCTTCAATCCCTCTTTTTTGAACTCCCTGTTTTGTGTGTTCCCTGCTCAGCTTCTCAGGCTACGGCACCTGCACCACTAATAGCTTCGGCATCGCTCTATGTGTCGTCAGGCTCTTCCCCTCCCCCATTTCAGCCCCCTCCTTCCGTGCCATGCCTCCCCCCTCTCAGCTTTCCCCGGCTACGGCACAGGCACCACAACCAGCTTCGGCACCGCTCTTGTAACCAGCAACTGACCCCTTTCCAACCAACCACAACCATCCCCCTCCGTCCCATGTCCCCCCTTTTCTTCAGCTTCTCAGGCTATGGCACGTGCACCACTGGCAGCTTCGGCATCGTTCTCGTGACCAACAAGCCGGGAGGCTACTGGAACACGGCCTTCTTTGTGCAGGTGTGTTGCGAGGCTTGATGTTGCCGGGTTTGGGTGGGTGGGTTTGTGTTGCTGCTGCTGCTTTCCTCTCGTGACCAACAAGCGGGGCGGATACTGGAACATAGCCTTCTTCGTGCAGGTGTGTTGTCAGCTCCCACCTCTTCAAGTGTTAAGAGTTCATACTTGTGCTGCTTTGCTTGATTTCGTAAGCTGGGTGGCTACTGGAACACGGCTTTCTTTGTGCAGGTGTGTTCCTAGTCGTGATGTATTTGGGTTTGGGTGGGTGTGTTGTTGCTGCTGCTGCTTTCCTCTCACAACCCGGGAGGCTACTGGAACACGGCCTTCTTTTTGCAGGTGTGTTGTGAGCTCCCACCTCTGCTATGCCACTGCCACTGCCACTGCCACTGCCACTGCCACAACCATCACATGCACCACTCTGGTAGCTTGGGCATTGCTCTCTGGAACACGGCCTTCTTCGTGCAGGTGTGTTGCGTCCTCTCTCTCACCACAGCCAGCTCACATTGCTGCCACAGCAACTTCTGAGACGTCTCCACAGCCAGCTCACACTGCTATCACTGCATCGTTACTCACTCAGACTCGATGCGTATCCATTCATAACCCACACCTTCTCCTTCCTCTACCTTCCACTCCCTTCCCTCTCCCTTCCACTCCCTTCCTCTCCCTTCCTCTCCCCTCCTCTCCTCTCCCCCCTGCCCTCCCCCTCTCGCTGTGGTCAATTCGTTCACTCGCAGAACAATTCATTCGCGTCAGGCAGCAAGAGGTTCTGGGCCACGCCGAACCCGGTAGGGACCCATGCGTCCGTCGTTTGGCATGCGGTGTGAAGGTTTTGTCTGTGGTGTAAAGCTTTTATCATTCAATGCTGAGGCCCCATCGCTCTCTTCGGCGATCTCGCCGCTCCGCTTCTCGGCACCTTGCCATAAGAATTTCTCCTCTCGATTTCTCATATGTGATATAAGCATTCTCGGCACAGCCTTGCCTAGCCTAGCCTTGCCTAGCCTAGCCTTGCCTAGCCTAGCCTTGCCTAGCCTAGCCTAGCCTTGATGGCTTTCTCCTCTTCTCGGCACACCAGGCGAGTTCACAGGGCTCTCTTCAATTTAATGCCACTCCTCTCTCTCCTCGCATCTTCCCCCTCCCCAGCCTTCAGCCATTCCGCCCAGGGGAGGGCTCATAGCACGGTTCTACGCTCTCAGGGATCTCGACGGTTCGCTGCTCGGCACGCCAGGCGCATTCGCAGTCGCCCCCTTCTCCCCCATCCTGCCGCCCTCCTCTGTGCGCCCCAGCCTGTGCCAGTATTGGGCTGAGAGCGCCGTGTGGCAGTGCCAGTCGGTATGCTACAGGGCAGTGGGCGTGTTCTACTATGAGCCGGGAGTGCGGCCCAATGGGATGACTGGGCTTCCCTCTAAAGTGCTCCGGCCGTACAGGTAAGCATCAAGAGCAAAGTTTCTTGTGGGGGAGAGTGTAGTGTGCCTTGTGGCAGTGCCAGTCGGTGTTTTTTGAGAATTCTCAAAAAACATACAGGGCAGTGGGTGTATTCTATTATGAGCCTGGCGTGCGGCCTAACGGGATGGCCGGCAAATGGGATGCCTGGCCTTCCTTCAAAGGTGCGCCGGCCATACAGGTAAGCATGAGGTGTGTGTGTGTGTGTGTGTGTGTGTGTGTGTGTGTGTGTGCGTGCGTGCGTGCGTGCGTGCGTGCGTGCGTGCGTGCGTGCGTGCGTGCGTGCGTGCGTGCGTGCGTGCGTGCGTGCGTGCGTGTGTGTGTGAAAGAGTGCTGTGTGGCAGTGAGTGATGATGCGAACAATCTTACCTCCCAGAATTAATTTATAGCCCAAGAACCAACTTATCACCCAGAAAGAATATCTTGCCCCTGCTGTCGTATCCCCAACTTCCCCCCCGTCCCCTTTCTCCTGCCAGCTACATCAACGTAACGAGGGAGGAGGACGGGGAGACCTTCACAGCACATGGCACGGAAAACGACAACCCTGACAGCCGTCCTGCTGACCCCAAGCGCACACCCTCTTTCACCCTTGGAATGAGTCAAGCTCATTTCTTTTCTCCTCATCCCTCCCCACACCACCAGCTATATCAACATAACGAGGGAGGGTGACAGAGAGACCTTCACAGCGTACGGCACAGACAACGACAACCCTGACAGCTGTCCTGCTGACCTCCCCCCTGCTGGAAACACCAACCCCATCCCCCCAGCTCCTCTTGTCTCTCCTCTCGCTCCCCCCCTACCAGCTACATCAACATCACAAGAGAAGAAGACGGGGAGACCTTCACAGCGTACGGCACGGACAACGACAACCCTGACAGCCCCCCTGCAGACCCCAAGCGCACGGCCTACCGTTACGTTACCGCGTCGCTGCTCGCTGGCTACACGTACCGGTTCACCATCATCCCTGCTCCCACTAACAGCCTCTTTTACCCCACATGGGCTCAGGTGCGTGAGTGGGAGTGAGTATGAGTATGCATAGATAGTTCTGTCTCCCTTTCTTACTGTGTCGCTGCTCGCTGGCTACACGTACCGGTTCACCATCATCCCTGCTCCCACCAACAGCCTCTTTTACCCCACATGGGCTCAGGTGCGTGAGTGGGAGTGAGTATGAGTATGCATAGATAGTTCTGTCTCCCTTTCTTACTGTGTCGCTGCTCGCTGGCTACACGTACCGGTTCACCATCATCCCTGCTCCCACCAACAGCCTCTTTTACCCCACATGGGCTCAGGTGCGTGAGTGGGAGTGAGTATGAGTATGCATAGATAGTTCTGTCTCCCTTTCTTACTGTGTCGCTGCTCGCTGGCTACACGTACCGGTTCACCATCATCCCTGCTCCCACCAACAGCCTCTTTTACCCCACATGGGCTCAGGTGCGTGAGTGGGAGTGAGTATGAGTATGCATAGATAGTTCTGTCTCCCTTTCTTACTGTGTCGCTGCTCGCTGGCTACACGTACCGGTTCACCATCATCCCTGCTCCCACCAACAGCCTCTTTTACCCCACATGGGCTCAGGTGCGTGAGTGGGAGTGAGTATGAGTATGCATAGATGGTTCTGTCTCCCTTTCTTACTGTGTCGCTGCTCGCCGGGTACACGTACCGGTTCACGACTATCCCTGCCCCCACCAACAGCCTCTTTTACCCGACGTGTGCTCAGGTGTGTGTTATTGAGAGGGTGGGTGGGAGTGTGTGAGTGGGTGTGCATTAGTGCGGGGCTGTGTGTGAGTGGGTGTAAGCACACGTGAGCCAATCTCGCTATGTTACCGCATCGCTGCTGGCTGGGTACACTCATCGGTTCACGATCGTCCCTGCCACCACCAACAGCCTCTCCTACCCCACCTAGGCGCAGGTGTGTGAGTGAGAGTGAGAGAGTGAGGGAGGGTTGAAGTTTCAAGATGGGCCCATTTTTTCAGACGCCTCAACAACAGCAATCTCTTTTTGCATCCTTTTCCCTCTTGCTGCTGACTGCAGTTGTGGTCGTACGACAAGGGTGGCGTAGTGCAATGCGCCTCAAGAACAACACTACCCTCTCCTATCCTCTTCTCTCTTACCGCTATACTGCAGTTGTGGTCGTACGACAAGGGTGGCTGTGAGGGGGGTTTGAAGGTCAAGATAGTTGCCAAAGACCAAACCACTCAGTGGTTTGCCACCGATGCTCCCAACCTGTAAGTCTCGTGGCTCTTCTGAACCTCCCCCAAGCTGTGGGTATTTGTTGGCACATACTGAACCTCGTTTCAACCTGTTCTTTTTTTTGCACATTCCGACCCTCTTCCCAGCCTTTTCCCAAGCTGTTCGTTCTGTTGCCCCTCTCTCCTAATCTGCTCTCCTCCTTTCCTTCTCTTGCCTGCCCTTTCACTTTCGTCCTCCCTTCCTTCCAGCCCTTGTTCAGGAGCCCTCAAGTATAAGACCTACAAGGAGTATCTCTGCCCCTCCTCCTCCTCCTCCTCCCCATCCCCTCCCCCTCTCCTGCAACTCACGGTCGGCGCCACCAGCTACGGCGCACTCGCCACCATGAAGCTCAACGCCTCCTCGCCCTCCTCTTGCTCACCGTGAGTCTCGTGCTGTTCTCCCTTGTTCGAGCTCCCTTCTGGTAGTTAGTGTTGCCTCTCCTGCAACTCACCCTCGGCCCTACCAGCTAAAGCGCACTCGCCACCATGAACCTCAACGCAACGTCCCCTCCCTCCTGCTCACCATATGCTCCACCCCACCCCTCCTCCATGTCCTCAAAAATCCGAGAATTCTGAAAATTCTGAGAACTCTGAGAATTCTGAAAATTCTGAGAACTCTGAGAATTCTCCATTCCCTAAACCCTCTTGCTGCCAGGCCCTCCTCGCCGCTGCTACCACACCCCTCCCCTATTGGAGTTGATTTTGAGAGCTCTCACATTCCTGCATGATCCCTCCGCTTCTCCTATTCTCATCTTCTCCTCTTCTCTTCTCTTCTCTTCTCCTCTTCTCTTCTCTTCTCCTCTTCTCCTCTTCTCCTCTTTCTTCTTCCCAAATTCTCTTCTCCTTTGGCTTTGCTCCAATGATGTTGTCTTGTGTGCACTTTCATACCCCAATGGCAGCGCATGTTCATAGCACAGACATTCTTCGCCGGCAGGCCGTATCCACAGTACATGTCTACGATGTACACTGTGTTAACCAAGGAACAACTACCTTTTATTTTTTGGTAAGTGCACAGCCTTCATTTGTGTTGGAGGTGGCAAAGGTTCCGTAGCTCGTGGAGTGTTACTTGTGTGCATTCTGAAAAGCTACTCTACTTACAACACACAGTGACACTGAGAAAGGAGATGTGAACAAGCATTCCGGATTGCCCATGTTGCAACTGGCCTGCATCGGATCGTCTGCTGTTTCCTGTGCGGTTGAGTAAGAGAGTACCGTATGCTCGAGTGGGAAGGAAAGAGAACAGAAGTAGTGACGAAGCGCATGTGTGATGTGATGTGTCAATATCAACTTGTTAAGGATGAGAACGATAATGTGCGAACATTAAAGAACCCTATGTGCCCGACGCTGAGACTTGGGTGTCACCGTTCATAAGGCTGGGTTGGGTTGCAGACTAAACAAAATTCTTCGCGTTTAGCCACGAGGCATACTAGATTTCAATATAGATAGGGTGGTAGATAGCTGACACGTGTATGTGGATGTTCTTGTCCCCCTTATCTTATGATGGAGGTTCATAAAACGAGTACCGATTCAAGGCTGTGGCGCTTTCCCCCCCGAATCCCTTGGAATACGAATCTAGTTTGGGTTTTCTTAGCCAGTTCCCTCTCCGTTCCAGCTGGGCACGAACTCCTTATGGCGTGTGTCTTTATACAGTGCATTGCAAAACTCGTATTTAAGACTGTATCCATTTGAACCTACCGTCAGCCCCCGGATAGAAGCGCCCCTGGGGGTATAAAAAAACACTGTTTTTTAGGGGGTGGGCTTATAATTGAGGATTTTTATAAGCGCCGGCGCTTATATAACGGCAAAAATGAAATTGAGCAGTTTTTACACCAATCTGTAGATCTCGTTCTGCACATTGTAATCGAGTCGAAAATATATGGGGTCGCGAATCTGATTCTCGCTCAGCTTGGCAGGGATTGATTTTTTGCCAACACATGCTGACAAAGCGACAGCACGTGCTGACTAGACGCGAAGCAAGTGAGATGTGAGTGGGAAACTGGAACTGTACTTCGCTTCCCTGGTAAGGTGAAATTCGTTTCTGTATTTCGACTGATTTTCAGATATAAAATTGGCATGCGCTTATAATAAATCATGAATTTTTAGGGGGTGCGCTTATAATCGAGGACCGGATATAAGCGCCCTCATCTTTTCATAAGCGCCGGCGCTTATCCGAGGCCTGCGCTTCTATCCGGGGGCTTACGGTAGGTCGACCTAGAGTCGACTAAATCGACTTTTGTGACCCGAGTCGCTGCTCCTCGCGTCACATGAATCACATGGCACACAAATGTCCGACTGTCGAAGTTGAACTTTTTACGGTTACCAACGAGTCTTGAATGTTACCATGTGTGTTTGCGACACCGGAAACCTGATTCGCAGCAACCCTAGTTCACACGATGTGTTCTGTGACTGTCGCCGCTTTCGCAGCTTCCTCGTGCATGGTCGAAAGGACAGACGAGAGACTTCTCGAGCAGGCATGGTTTGTGCCGAAAGCTCGACACACGGTTTAGGTTTAGTGTCCTAATACTTCAACAAAATATGAAGTCAGACACACGATTCCCTCGTGAATAGATGTCAAGAATCCCAGCCACTAACCACTTGGATAAAAGGGCTTGTTTGTGTAGCGGGTGAGTGCGCCCATAATCCCCCAGGCCGCCATGCCTGTAACCCTTCCCTATGATCAATCGGGGATCACCAGTGGACCTCTGACACCCCCCCGCACTGGGATGCCCGAGGTGCACACACCGGGATTCGAACCCGAGACCTTCGCTCTGATACCATGTCAAAATCCCAGCCACTAACCACTGGGATAAAAGGGCTTGTTTGTGTAGCGGGTGAGTGCGCCCATAACCCCCCCAGGCCGCCATGCCTGTAACCCTTCCCTATGATCAATCGGGGATCACCAGTGGACCTCTGACAATAGATTGGCGAGATTGACGAAGAGGGTTACCACCTAAGGTTCAACCAAATTTCCAAACGTTTACACCAGAAGACACATGCCATTATCTGAAACTTGGGGTGCAATTGCTGCTTTTTACAACTGTTGCAAGGTTCAAGCGCTTACAATATCTGCGAATTTGCAGTCAACCTGAGGTGGTGACTGAACAGTACACTGGACCCTGAATGAACAGAAATCACTAGGGACAGAACCAGCTGCAATTTGGCACAGGCAGAACAAGCGCCGCCGCCCGTAAATTTGATGTACCGAGGTTACGCATGTTACGTAGGGTCACAAAAGAATCACATTTGTGCCAGTGGCGAGAGCAGGCGAGTAAACGGTCGCTATTGAAGCTCTCAAAACCAGCGTTTTTGTCGACTCTTTTCAGTAACAGGTGTACATTGCACTGTACTGTACTGTACAGTTCACATGGAACAGAATCCTTGACCTTAGTGCGGATACGATGCCTCGCCAGCGTCACCTGGCACAAAAGTTGCTTTTCTGACTGCATCGGACGAACAGCATTTACCGACGAGATTTCTCCCAAACTTGTTCACGGTCACTTCGTTTCTGTTTGCCCTACAGGTGGTGCTGACGTGTAGTTTAGGACTCATTGCTGAAAATTTTGTCGAGCATGTGTGCTTCGTTTCTACACCCTGTATTTTGTCATAGTGAAACTCGCCATACTTTACTCCCTGTTACTAGAAACTTACCCCTTGCAGAAGCTTCCTTTCACCCGCGCTATAGTGAACTTTTGAACCAGGTTGATTGAGTGGTTTATCACGTTTTCGAAAGGTGCTAGGACATTTTGGAATGGCTAGCTATGGTATGTAGGAAAAGTTCAACTTGAGAAACTCCCCTCACACCTGCGTGCTAGGGACGGTTGACTGGTTTCGGTATTAGCAAAAATCCGAACATCGCCAAAAAACAGTTGCGTTCGTACGCGGTTCAGTGTAGAGAATAACAGGGTGTACTCGTTTTTCTGGCACCGTTGAGAGTTCGAGCCTCGTTCACAAGTGGAAGATTGAGAGGAGGTGGAGTTCCCTACGATCTTAGGGTGGTGAACGAAGCAAGTTCTGAAGGGATTGGGGCTGCGTTCTGCGGGCGCATCAGCTCTGATGCGCCCTAGGCTCGGCCTGATCCGCACATTGACAAATTGAGGTTCGGGAATGAGGAATTTGAAACTGAAAAATAGAGGTTCGGAAAATGGAGATTGAGGTTTGGGAAATTGGGCATTGGAGATTTCGAATTTCGGGCTGGTCAAATCTCAATCTCAAATTTCCGAGGAATTCCATGGTGCTGAAGCTTCTTCGAAGCAGGGAAGCACGCACCTGACGCCTTCCCCACGCTCAAGATGCGCTGTTCAATTGCCCAATTCGAGCTGATGCGCGCATCATGCGTCTTCTCGGCGTTGCATCATGCGCGCATCAAGGAAGCGTCAGATTCCTAGGACGATGAATTTCTCGGAAAGCGGCGACATTAAAATTTGTGGTTGCCAAAAAGACCGTTCTGCAGGCATTCGGGCTTGGTTTGCCTCGGCAGCCAAGCGCTTATTGTGAGCCTTGATAACCTTTCGGCTGGTTATCATGGAAAGCTCCTGGAAAATTGGAAACAAATTGCAATGTCCATTGATGCGGGCTAATGCGCCCGCTGAGCGCAGCCTGGGAAAGCGATGACTTTGAACTGTAAATTTTTGAATAATCTGCTGTGTGTCACATAAAAGCAGAGGTAGAAATGGAAGCGTGGCTTTTACGAAAAGAGGGCCCAGGGTGAACTGAACTGGCGGTCCTCCGCAAATATCTCGAAGCACGTGCAGTGGCAGTGCGGTGCTGCTTGCACGAATTTACAGCAACGAATGCGGAGCAGCACCACAATGGACCCATCCATCCATCCGTCCATTCAGGAGCCCGCTGCTCATCACCCACCCACCCACCCACCCACCCGCCTCCCCCCGCGCCACCGCATTCGCTCCATCTCTTCACCACCTCTCCACCAAAACCGCGCTCGCCACAGCACCCATAACATTTCTCTTCCCCCCCCTCCCCCGCTTGTCGCCCGCTTATTGGTCGATTTACACTAGAGATCCCCCCTCCCCTTCTCCCATCCTTCCCCCAAATCTTCCTGAATCATAACCCTCTCCTTCCATCCTCCCTCCTCACACCCCTTGTTTCGCAAACTGCAGTCACTGTGGTCTCTCGTTTTCCTGGCCTAGTTCAACGACTCAAACATGCGTCTTACTTCCCACACACGTCGAGAATCACATTTTACAGCGCCACTGCATTTCTCTTGTCCTCACTTGGGGCGGCTCGGAAGCTTCCGACTTCCCCGGGATTTTCACCCCCTCTGAAGCACGCTCTAAAATACCTCAGGCCCACCGCATTAATAAAAGACCCCCCAATCCGAGCTACAGGTTCAGTCCTCCTGTGCTTCCTTTGTCCGCTTCTCACCGCGACGGAAACGCCGCATGGGGTTCGTTCCCAGCGAAGAGAGTACTGCCGAATGCTGTAAAATTCCGGTCGCCTATCAGGCAAGACTCGGACGGCTGCTGCAGCCTTTAGAGTTCTTTTAGTGCGCGAACGAGACAAAGCGCGACAGAAAGGTTCCACGTGAGGCATTTGTCGCGTGCGCGTCATGATATGGTTCGTAAGCTCCTGGAATACAGCTGGTTACAGCGAGTCGTTCGCGCAACACCGTATTGACTACCAGCGTGACGTCTTCGAAAATGATTACGTTCGTGCGGGAAGTCGGGATTTCAAGGCAGGTTCCTCCCCCAACTAGACTTGCCGCCGCACTGCGCTGCCCTGCCTCCACGGTCGTTCCGTTGAAGCTTGCCGCGACGCGACGTGGCCCTCGCCGATTGAGCACCTTTGCCCCCGGGGATACTGCGATTCGTACTAAACACCTTGTTCGCAGGAGTCGGCATTGGTGAAAACTTGGTTCTTTGCTGCTCCTCTCGCTCCTCCCCATGCACTCTCTCAATTCGCTGCTCCTCTGATACGCTGCTCTCTCGCTGCATTTAAATACGAGTCGTCGGACGAGTCAAGGCAAGAGACAATCGAACACGGCGGGGCCTCGAGAACTACCACGAAAATGGAGGGAAGCCCAAGATATTTCGCGCAAATGCCGAAACAGCTTGAAGCAGGGAATCAAACGCTGCACTCGTGGCATGATTCACCGCTCCGAGTCTCCCGAGCGCGAATCGCGGAGTCGGAGCCATCGACGCCCATCCCTGCTCCCGCCGCTGCCTTATCCGGCTTGGAGCGCATCGTTACGCGGTTCCCGTCGCTGCCACGTGGCGACACCGCCGCAGCACCGCCGCCGCCGCCTCCGCCGTCGCATCACGGAGAGTTCCCAACGCCACCGCTGGAAGACGAGGCGCACCGCGTGATGATGATGCAAACGATGATGGCTTTCGAGACGTCTCAAAGGCAAACAATGATGACAATGGCGGCGTTTGACGACGCCGTAGCAGCAGCTTTCTCGAGGTCATCGTTCCAGCAAGATTTCTATGGCGGCGCCGCCGGCGCAGGCGGGGGTGCTTTGCGACTTGAGTCGCGATCTGCTGCGGCGGCTGCTGCTGCTCCTGGCGTGACCCCGCTGAGCGGCGAAAAAGAAGATCTTGGTGACATTTCGCAGTGGTTACAGGCGGTCATGATGGGAGAGTCGCACGGAGTCCCAGGGGGGGTCGCAGGGGGGTTCACTCCAGGGGGGGTTGCAGCTGGTGCTACAGCCGGTGCTACAGCCGGTGCTACAGCCGGTGCTACAGCCAGCGCTGCAGCAGGTGCGGCAGCGGGTGCTACAGCCGAGTGCGTTAGGGGCAGTTATGAAATGGAGAGAATTCAGATGATGGCTTCGTTCATGGCTGCTAACTCAGAGGAGGATGGGAGGAGGAGGAGGAGGAGGAGGAGAGAGAGGAGGGAAAGGGGGATGGGGGAAAGGGGGAGGGGGGAGAAAAAAGGGGGGATGGTGAGGAACACCATGTGAGGGAAGGGGAGGAGGGAGCAGACGACGTGATGGTGGGGAGGGAGGGAGGGGGTGGGGAGGGAGGGGGGGTTTTGAAGGAGGGGAGAAATGATGGACGAGCGGCGGCGTGGATGGCGGTTGATGGTCCGGATGCTGCTGGCAGTAATGCTGCTGGCAGTAATGCTGCTGCTGCTGCTGCTGCTGTTGCTGCTCTTTCTGTTTCTGCTGATGGCGCTGCTGCTGCTGCTGCTGCTGCTGCTGCTTTCGTTGCAGGGGGGTTTGTGTTCGGAGAGAGACGGGGCATGCAAGCAGGCGATGGTGGTGCTGGCAGTGATTATGCAGGCAGTGATGGTGGCGGTGCCGCTGGTGCTGCTGGTGCTGCTGGTGCTGCTGGTGCTGGTGGTGGTGGTGGTGGTGGTGGTGGTGGCGGTGCCGCTGGTGCTGCTGGCGCTGTTGGTGCTGGCAGTGGTGGTGGTGGTGGTGGTGGTGGTGATGGTGGTGGTGGTGGTGGGGGTGCCACTAACAGTGCTGGTGCCGGCAGTGGAGGGCGGCACAGGCAAGGGCAGCAGGCAAACATCAAGCCTAGGTCGATGCGAGAGCGGCGCAGGAGAGAAAGAATAAGGTAAAAGCCAATAAGCTGCCCTTCCCGTTTTAGCCAATAAGCTGCCCCGTTTTAGCCAATAAGCTGCCCCGTTAGCCAATAAGCTGCCCCGTTTTAGCTGAGCCAAACCCTCCCCTTGGTTTCCCCACGTACAAATGGCTCTGGTACATGATTCCTTACCGACGCTTTTTGCACCTGTTCTTCCCTTGTTTCCATGTTTCCTGCGAGAGCAGTGAGTCGCTGAAGCGGTTAAGGATGACTGTGCCTCTTGACCTGCTGGGCCCGCACCGAGACCTGGGATCCATGATCGAAGGAGCCGTCAACTACATTCAATTCATGCAGGTGCGTTACCTGATAGCTGCTTAGCTTGCTTGTCATGCAATTGAACACGAGAAACTGGTTCTGGGTGTGGATAGTGGTGTTACAGCCACTGCCAACAGGCGAACGGACATGCTCTGATGGCTCTTGTTTGCTACTTGGTTCTTTGTTATGCTCTGATGTTTTGAGTCGACTTAAAAAAGTCATGCTCTGATGCCATGGTCAGTCCAGATGCCTGGCGCAACGACGACGGGACTGGCGTCATTGCTAAGTAAACAATCGCTTGGTTTGTTTTTGCGCACCTGTGGTGTTCTTCTCACTCACACTCTCTGCCATGTTCTTCTCACTCAGACTCTCTGCCATGTTCTTCTCACTCACACTCTCTGCCATGTTCGTCTCACTCACACTCTCTGCCGTGTTCTTCTCACTCACACTCTCTGCCGTGTTCTTCTCACTCACACTCTCTGTCTGTGCACCCTTCCTTACTGCCCACCCAGATGCGACTGTCGGAGCTGCAGCGGAGAGTGCCCGAGGGAGAAATCAGAGCATGCCTCAACAGGTAGATCAGCGGTGACCCATATGTGTGCGTTCGAACATTTCTGACATTTCTTTTATTCGCTCTCTGTGTGCGCCCCTGTCATTGTCAACCCAGTTGCGACTGTCGGAGCTGCAGCGGAGAGTGCTGGAGGGGGAAATCAGAGCACGGCTTAACAGGTAGATCGGCGGCGGCTCGTATGATATGACCAGCACGTGACAGTGCCTGGTTGTACTTAGGAGCTATGTATTACTACCGTAATCCCCCGTATATAGGACCCCCCCCAGTTGTAGACCCCCGGGTCTATAATACGGCACCGGGTACTCTATTCGTGTACATCTGAGTTATACCCCCCCAAATGGCCCCTAACATTATAAGACCCCCCCCACATCCTAGAGAAGTGCGGATTTTACAACAAAGATGCAATTGAAAATGGTCAAATTCAGTGTTGATTAACAAAAATCGCACCCATGAACACACATGCACACCCACATTACCACCCAAATCCTGTCGAGGCGAAATGGAACAAGCAGCCATCTTCTACGCGGCAGCCAGCCGAGCACAGTACGGGGAATGAAACAGGAGGGGGAAGTGAAGTCATCCCAATGAACAAGTACGTGCCTGAATACAGTGGGGGTGTTTGGAAGATCCCGCCAGGTACATTCTTATAAATGTCAATATGAACAGACCCGGGTCTTCTAAAAAATACACCATGTAATTATACCCCCCAGCCTATTTAGGGGTGATTATCATAAGACCCTAGGGTCTTATATACGGGGGATTACGGTATGTAAAACTACCGTATGAAAAGTGTGGCATAGTAAAGTGGAAGCATAGAAGCTCTTTGTTGGCCAAAGTGGTGTATCCCACCTGCTGACTTTGGTTCTGTAGAGGGCTTTCTTTGTGGTTCGTTTAGATAGAGTGAATCAGCTCAGTGGTAGGCATGGGAACAGGCAGAAGTTAACACTGCAAAGGAAGGAGGCAAGGAGGCTAGATGAAGAAGCGAGGCTCAAATGGAATGGGGGCTGTCCTGTCCAGTGTCCACATGATGCTACCGTACCGGTAGTAATTCTGCCACCCATTTTTGAGTCGACTCAAAAAAGTAGCGGGGCACAAATGGAATGGGGGCTGTCCAGTGTCCACACCACATGATGCTACCGGTAGTAATTCTGCCACCCAGTGTCAGTGAGTGCGACCCTCACAAGTCCTTGCTTACCGTATGTCCGCTTGACCCATGTACGGTATATGAGGCGTCCGCTGCACCGCAGTTGACCAGTGGGAGTGATAATTCCAGACTGGATCAGCTCAGCATATTTCTTGGATGGTACATTTGTGAGATGATGAGGATTAATCTAGTACTTGGCCAAATGCATTGCATTGCGTGTCATTAGCACAGTGTAAGACTGCTGATAGCTACACTAAGCACAACGAGGGAGGGTGGGGGTGGGGGAGGGGGTCATGATGCATGACTCGATCCCTTGTAGGGTCGGAACTAGAATAACACTACACAACGGCTAACAGACATTCTACACCGTTTGGAGTTGGACACTGACACTGACAGGTATATGAGGCTGTGGGAGGGTCTGTGGCATGACAGACGAGTGCCGCATGTGACGATCATTTAGGCATGATCAGAGGACAAATGCTTGCACACTTGTATGTGGGAGAATGAGGAGAGAGGCCGCGCGTGTGGGAGGGAAATATTTGGGAGCAGCAGCAGCAGCAGCAGCAGCATCAATGCGACGTGAAGCACAGGCAGCGAAGCTGGGATCAGCAAGCACAGTGGTGCCACCTGTTACTGCCGTGAACCGCATGTCACCAGTCCCAACCTCATCCAACTTAACTGCACGCATTAAAGCTGGGCTCCGCATATTGATACCACACCCCCAGCTGATTATTCGCAACGATCTTCCCCACCCCGCAATCGTCAGGGTCATGGAACATAACACACTTGCCGCCGCAGTCCCCGTTCTTGGCGCTGTTGGCAATGTAGGCCCAGAGGTTGCAGTAGTCTGCTTGCTGGACTTGCGTGGCCAGGCACTGCTGCTGGCACTGCTTGTATGATGGCAGCCGCACCATGCCTGTTATGTGCTGCAGGTTGTCACGTAGTCCAGGCACCTGGCAGTGGGGGAGAGGGCAGGGGCCAGGAACGGGTAGAGGGAGTTGCTTTTGCGCGCCTCATAACCGAGCTTTGAGACGTCTCAGAACCCAAGGGGGCTGGCTTCAAGAGCAAGCAATGCCATGGATATGGATTTATGTCAACTTTCTGGTTTGACTGACCTTGTCAAGGGCCGTGCACGGAGCACACTGGTTCTTCCTTCCTGTTGCGAAGAACCCCGGCGAACACGCCCTGCAGCTACTCAACCGCGTGTAACCCGTAACGCATGTCGCACACGCCGTTTCGTTGTCCCACCGCCGCACACACTGGCAGCTGGGGGTAAAATCCGCGTTATAGACACAAGTCCCGTGCCCGTTACAGTCATTAGCGCACCCCGTGCAGCCCTTGCAGTTGGCTCGGATCTTCAGCCCTGGAGCCCGATCCACATTCGCAGGCGCGGGCATGCTGCAGAAGCTCACCGAGCCTGTTCCCGAGCCTGCCGCGAGCTGCCGAACCGCAATGTCGCCGGCTTGCGCTCGCATGTTGTTGCGGTTACCAGCAAAAGACGTGGAGCAGAGAGAGAGGGTAGAGTCTCGAGAAGAGACCAGGATTGCCCCTCCGCCACTGTCGGCGCCGTTGTTACGGCCAGTGGGCGGCTGGACGGCCACGTTCTTAAAGAAAGTGGATTTGACTATAGTGAGGCTCTTGGCCGTTGTTGCTATGGCCCCTCCGCCCACCACTGCAGGAAGGGTCAGAATGGGAAAAATAGAGGAAGGACTAAGGAGGAGTATTTAGTTCGGCGAGGCTCGACAAGACAAGCAATTAACTCATGACTCATGTGCAACGTGCGCTGCTCGAGTGGATGAGTCGTCGACTTGTGTGCGCATGTCTACATACTAGCGGACTGATAATTGCCTGTCCAACTATACTCACGCGCGTAGTTCTTGAGAAGTCTCAAAAACTATACTCACACGCATAGTTCTTCTCGAACTTGACGGAGTTCATGTACAGCACGTTATCCTCGCTATAGATCGCCCCGCCCTTGCCCTTCTCCGCGCGGTTCCCGCGGAACGTGCACCCCGCGAGCTGCACGCGCGGGCCGCCCACGGGCTCCTGCCCCACGTTGAGCGCACCGCCGTTGCCGCTCTCGGCGGTGTTGTTGACGAACTCGCAGAAGGTAAACAGCAGCGCGCCGGACGTGGGGGAGGCGGCGCGGGAACTGCAGAGAGCGGCGGGAAGGCAAGCGCAACGGGGGAAGGGAGGGGTGAGACAGGGGTAAAAGCTGAGACTTGCTGGGTGCAAAGCGGTTCCCTGCGGCGACGATGTTGTTGACGAGCTCGCAGAAGGTAAACAGCAGCCCCCAGCCTCCTGCCGGCCCACTGCTACTAGTTCCCTTCTCGCCACTAGTTGTGTACTCACTTGACCACGGCGCCACCACCGGTGGTCCGCGCGACGTTGTTGATGAACGTGACTCGGCGCGCCGTGACGGCGCACCCGCCGGTGTGCACGCCGTTGACGGCGTTGCGCACGGTGACTTGCTCCATCGAGATGAAGCAGTTGAAGCCGCCGGAAAACACGGCGTACTTGTGGCGCCCGTCGATCACGCACTTCGCGGAGCCTGGACAGCCGCCTTTGACCGCCACTCCCGCGTTGAATCCCAGAGACGGGAGCGGCCTGCGCGGAAAGGGCAAGAGACGAATGGGTAGAGGATGGATAGGAAGAAAGAACGCAATTGAGACGAAGTACTAGTGCCCCCGCCCGTCGATCACGCCCTTGGCGGACCCCGCGCAGCTGTCCTTGATCGCCACTCCCGCGTTGAATCCGAGAGACGGGAGCGGCTTGCGCGGATGGGGCAAGGGCGAGATCGGGATAGAAATGAGAAACGGCACGGCTAGTCTCGGCAGTGTGTGGTGATTCGGTGGAATCCAGGCAAGCGGCGACGTACTTGGCGGGTAAGACGTCGGACATGAGGTGGACGGTGACAGTCTTGCGCTGCGAGTTGATTGTTAGTCGACTCAAAAAGAATCCAGGCAAGCGGCGACGTTTGGGGCGACTGTATAATCACTGAAATGGTGAGCCGAAACGTACTTGGTTAGTAAGACGTCGGACGTGAGGTGGACGGTGATCGTCTTGCGCTGCGAGTTGGCCGTGTTGATCGCGTCGCGAAGCATGTCCTCCGCGTTCCGCCCGCTCGCCGCCATCGTTCCCGCCGACAGCTCCTCAAAGCTTCGCAGAAGCTGCCTGTCACTTTCCTCGCGGCGCCTGGACACGTCGCGATGCGGACCGCGGACTAGAGAAGCGACGGGAACGGCGCCGGAATCGGCGGCGGTGGTTGCGGGGAGGAGAGCGACGCAAATCAAGAGGACTAGGACGTGAAGAGGAATGCGATTAGAGCGGAGTGGCTTAACGCGCTTCGCCGAAGGGCAGGAGGAGGAGGCGGAGGAGGAGGAGGAGGAGGAGGAGGAGGAAGGGGTCGGTTCGGCGTGGTTTACCGAGCAAGAGAAGGAGTTTGAGGAGGAAGTGGAGGATTGGAAGGCACGTACGCGAGAGAGTGAGGAAATTAAGACATCAACTCTGAGTAGCGACGCCATGGCCTGTATCTACACGCGCAACGTGCTGTAACGTGACGGGTATGAGAATCGGGGAGAGGAGGCTCTTTGTGGAGTGCGGATATTAGGTTTTACTGCAGTGGCGACTGGTGAGGAGTTATTGCTCAAAGAGTTATGTGCCACTGAGAAGTTTTACTTGCGAGCTACTCGAAATGAGCGACAGTATTTATAACGTAGTCTCCCTGGAACTAGTTACAGAAGGGGCTGAAGGATTAAAGGCACCAGGTGGGTGGGTGGGAATCTCAGGCGTGCTAAACGACGGTGGGTTGGACGGAGAGCTTTGAACAATAGGAGAGAACAAGGTCCGTTCTGGGTTCGAGGATAGATTCTATCCCAAATGCTGCGCGGCTGACGAAACGGTGCGTCGCCAATCTGATCCGGGGAGGCTTCGACGAAGCAACGATTCTATTCGACCAACAACGGATACACAACGGGTGGAGAATAAGTATAAGGGAAGAAGAGACCAAGTCGAGTAGACCTGACTCCACGAACTAAACACGGCAAAGCAAAAGCAACACGCATGAGACTGGGGGAGGAGACAGGAAGGGGTCTGTTGTGTGTGCGTCTCCGCATTCCGTTTTGAAAAAGGGGCGCAATGTCGGTTTGGTTTTCAGCTCGCGCCTTGGCTGGCGGAATTTGAATCTCGCACAGAAATTTGAGAAATTTGTACGACCTCCGCGTCGCATTTCTGAAATTCGTTGGGAAAATGGAATAAAATTGCGCGGTGGGCACGAAAAAAATATCGTTATCTGTGGAATGACTACACTGCTCCTTCCTCATCCTCAGAGTTTCTAGGATCTTCCTGCAATGACTCTGACAAGCATGTTAGAAACTGCAGATAATCAATGGATTATATCAAGGAATGAAAACGTATCATACCATGTCCTCCTCACTATGTATGGGCTACAAATCTCTCACGAAGAACACGAGAGCATGCAAACCCCAGGCTTAAGTGCCCACTCGGGAGGAGGCTGGGCAAATTCCTCAGCCCCTGCTTGCTCCTCATAAGGATTCTGCAACACTTCCTGTAACCGCCGTGTAACGCTGAAATCTCCTCGCTCCGCTGCCTCGATCGCCAGCTGGCATTGGTAGTTGCGGAGAATGTAGGCAGGGTTGACTGCATCCATAGCTGCCCGGCGGGCAACATCTGAAACCTTTCCAGCCCGTAGCTACAAGCAGGGACGACAAGAAAGAGGACAACGAAAACAGCATTTTACAAGACGCACATGAAAAACGGAGCAGAGACCGTATCAACATGCAGAACCAGCGACAACCAAGACATAAGCGGGGCGTGTGTGAGAGAAAGAGTCAAGGAAAGATACCGCAGAGGAATACAGAGACAAATGTATGGAGAGCAGTGCAGCACACAGTGTGACTATGCCACAATGTCACAATGTCACCCGCCTCTCCATCCCACCCGTCTTGGCAGTATAAAGCCGAAGCCACTCCACCCATTCCTTCTCTTTCTCCCCTTCCTTCCCTGCCAGATCAATTCAAAGCACACCCATTCCCTCTTCCTGTTGCCAAATCCCTCCCCCTGACGACTCACATCACACCCATCCCACCCACCTTGGCAGTATAAAGCCTGAGCCACTCCACCCATTCCTTCTCTTTCTCCCCTTCCTTCCCTGCCCCCTCTTGCAACCCCAGCGCCCCCCTCATTGGCGCTACCAGGTCAGCGTTTGACACTTCTGCAGAGGGGAGAGGGGAGGGAAGGGGAAGGAGAACGGAAGCGTAACGACAGGGACACGGGCGAAGGCCCCAAAGGTGTTGATAAGATTAGTGCTGGCAATAGCCATGGTGAGGGTAGATTTTGTTAATCAACTCAAAACTCCGTTGATGAGATATTGGTGCTGGCAATAGCCATGGTAAGGGTAGAGCAGGCACTGCAGGTGTCTGCACAGCATGACTGCACAGCATGTCTGCACAGCATGACTGCACAGCATGACTGTTCACAGCATCGAGTCAACGCCATGATGTGCAGACACCTGCACTGTCCGCTCTACCCCCACTGCATTTACTAACCCCACTACCAGTACTCCCAACAGCAATTCCGGTAGAGGACTCACCTCTTTCATCGGGCACACGAGCAAGGACACACGAGCAAGGGCACACGAGCAAGGGCGCCGAAGGCGGAAGGTGTTGGTGACATCAGCCCCCCCATGGTAGGTCGTGAGCTGCAGTCAAGTCACCCACACTACCGTTATTGCCCAAACCAGTTCCCCTGTAGGCTGTAGCAGCACCTACCTCGTTCAGCGGGCACGCGGGCGAGAGCACGGAAGGTGTTGGTGAAGTCAGCCCCATGCTAGGTCATGAGCTGCAGCAATGACTGAGTCAAGTCCTTGTCGTATGACGGCAGGCCCAGCTTTGCTTCAACACGAGTACACACCTCTTTCAGCAGGCACATGGGCAAGGGCACGGAAGGTGTTGGTGAAGTCAGCCTCATGTTTGGCCATGAGCTGCAGCAATGACTGAGTCAAGTCCTTGTCGTATGACGGCAGGCCCAGCTTTGCCGCCATGCGCTGCTGGTAGGCTGAGAGGAAGGCCTCGGCATACCTGGGTTGGGAGGAAATGGGAAAAGGGGGAGGGGAAGGGATAGAGCTATAAGAAGTGGTGCAAGAACTGGTATGAGGGTGGGGTCCTCGTGGAATGAGGGTGGGGTCCTCGTGGTATGAGGGTGGGGTCCTCGTGGAATGAGGGTGGGGTCCTCGTGGAATGAGGGTGGGGTCCTCGTGGAATGAGGGTGGGGTCCTCGTGGAATGAGGGTGGGGTCCTCGTGGAATGAGGGTGGGGTCCTCGTGGTATGCGGGGCAGACCCAGCTTGGCCGCCATGCACTGCTGGCAGGCTGAGAGGAAGGCCTCCACGTACCTGTGATGGGAAGGAGGGGTAAGAGGAGGAACGGGCGGAAGAGGAGTAAGAGCAGCGAGTGAGAGAAGTCCTGAATTCCAGTGTAGAGACAACAAGGCGCGGGCACCCATCCACCAAGCCCCTCCCACTCACCTCGACACCCCGTGCTGTGCCTCGGCCACTCCAATAATGCCACCTGTCACGAGCGTATTGGCCAGCTGCACCACGTTCCACAGCCCGATGTCCGGCTGCTGCCGGAAACAATACCGCCTCCCGGGCATGTCGGACGTGTTGGGGGTGAAATCCGGGTCAAAGGAGTCGAGGAACCCGAAGGGCCCGTAGTCGATGGTGAGGCCGAGGATGCTCATGTTGTCTGTGTTGAGGACGCCGTGCGTGAACCCCACTGCTTGCCACGCTGCCACTAAGTGTCCTGTTCTCTCAGCCACCTCAGCGAACCACGCTGGTGCCAGAGGGAGGGGGAAGGGGGAATGGGGAGGACAGGGAAAAGCTGAGAGGAAAGGCGAGTCGTCGGGGTTGAAATCCGGGTCGACAGTATCGGGGAACCCGAAGGGCCTGTAGTCAATGGTGAGGCCGAGAACGCTCATGTTGTCTGTGTTGAGCACGCCGTGCGTGAACCCCACTGCTTGCCACGCTGCCACCAGCTCTCCTGTCCTCCGTGCGACTTCAGCAAACCAAGCTGTGGCCAGGGGAGCGGGGAGACAGGGGGAAGTGGTCGATGGTGAGGCCGAGAATGCTCATGTTGTCCGTGTTGAGCACTCCGTGCGTGAATCCCACCCCCTCCCATGCCTCAACGAGCTCGCCTGTGCTTATTGCTATCTCAGCGAACCATGCTGGTGCCAGGGGGGACGAGACACAAGCAGGACGGGAAAGGCAAGGGGGAATGCAATGGGAAGTGTGGCAACACAGGGGAAGGCAAGAATGGGAGAGGAGGAGGGAAAAAATGGGAAGGCAACACAAGGAAGGCAATAATGGGCGAGGCAAGAATGGGAGAGGAGGTGGGAAGGAGGTCTAAATGATTCCTCCTGGCTTCACCTACCTGCGTACTTGTTTGTCGTCACATCCACAGCATCGGGATCCCCAACCTCCTCCTCCTCCTCCGGACCTGGCTCCCGAACCTGCACCGGAGGCTCGGGGAGGTCGGCCAGGTGTGGGAAGTGGTGCAGAATGGTGTAGTCCGCCAGCACCCGAACCATCTCCTTGTCCAAGCCTCCCCGGGAGGCATGGAGCTGGAATGAGCCGAACCTGTTGGGAACAGAAAGGGAATCAGGTAAGCGTGGGAAGGTAAAAAATGCTTCAAAAAATGAGAAATTTAAACCAACCACTCTAAATCAGATAACAGCCCTGAGGATCTAGCAAAACCATCTAACTAAACATCTAGTACAAGCGCGTCTGCAGGGAGGACTGACCTGATAAGAAGGGCGCCACGCCTTTTGAGACATCTCAAAAGTCGTGTACAGGGAGGACTGACCTGATAAAGGAGGGCGCCACGCGGCACACAGCAGCTCCTGGCTCAAACTTGGCATTGCCGCTGACACGGAATGGTGGGGATTGGGAAGGGGACGGGGAAGGGAATATGAGGACAGCGTGACACGACAGTTGAATCGACAAAGGACACTCACACCATACTTGTAGAACATACGTGGCTAATGAATCGGCACAAACAATCTCTCACTCACTTGTAGAACATATCTCGCAACACCTTCTCCCCAGTCGTGACAACAGAGAGCGCCCTCGTTGTAGGAACACCTAGGGCAGCCATGGCCTCGCTACAGAGGTACTCTCTAATGGAACTGCGCAGCACAGCGCGCCCATCCGCGTGCCTGCTGTACGGTGTCTTCCCCACCCCCTTCAGCTGCAACTCCCATCTCTCCTTCCACCCCTTCCCCTGCGCGCCCTCCCCCTGCGCGCCTTCCGCCTTCCCCCCCTCCCCCTGCGTGGCTTCCCCCAATACCACCTCCCCCAGAGTGATGGCGCGCCCATCCCCCAGCTGCCCCGCCCACGATCCGAACTGGTGCCCCCCGTAGCACTGCGCATAGGGCTTGCTGCGGGGTGTTTGGGCAGGTGGAGGGGTGGGGAAGGGTGGAGAAGGGTGGGGAAGGGGGGAGATGAACGGGAAGAATTCGCGACCAGATGTTGGCCCCCGTGGCACTGCGCGCAGGGTTTGCTGCGGAGTGTTGGGGAAGGAGGGGAGGAAGGGGAGGGGGTGAAGGAGAGCGGGGGAAGAGGAGGAAGGGGGGGGAAGAAGAGGGAGGGATAGGAAGGGGAGGGGTGAGGGATGAACTTGTGCGCAACTGGTAGCCCCCGTAGCAATGCGTCACTGAGGAGAGTCAAGGGTAACTCTTGAAGAGGCCGCAGGCGATGGTGAGGGCGAGGGTAAAGAAAAAAGCAATCACCTACATATTCACACTCAGCCGCCCTAAAGCACAGATATGAGGCATGGACTCAGCACTCACCACCCCTGAAGCACAATGCCGCCAGTGAAGACCGCCGCGAACTCAGGACGCGTGAACCTGCGAAAGGGAAAACAAAATCCAGCGCGGTTAACAGGGTTACCAATTGTTTAGGGTAGGAATTTACAGCGCTGTAGATTCCCAAGACGGCTAGAAAACTCCAGGAAGTTTCACAGATGAGCTCACTCGTTGGGGTCGAGGCCAATGAGGTGCGCCACCGACTCCGAAGCGGCGACAACCTGCGGGTCCTTGAGCTTTAGCGACGGTCGCACGCGGGAGTAACACGCGTTGCGAACCTGTGGTGCGCGAAGGAGGGACAGAGCAACGCCAGGCACGTGGTTACAGACGTGCAGCGTAAGACCGTAATGACGGTTTTTTAGGTGTCAATTTAACAAATTTGAGTCGCTAAATTTACCCAATAACTAACGAAACAAGCCGCCAAGAAGAAAGAAAGAAGAAAAAAAGGACGAAGAAGTCGGAAAGAAGTGCCTAAGTACTATTAGCACAAAGAATCTCCCTGCCTTTAATACGTACAATTCGGACGTGATTCTCTTCCACCGGATCCCCAGGAAGCTTGTCAACAAACGTGCTCTCCCACTCAAGCTCCTCCAATCGCCGCACTCCCGCGTTTCCTCTCCCCGCCGCGGCTGCTAACCCGGCTTTCGCGCCGGCATTTGCGGCGTCAGCTGGAGCCTCCTTCACTTGCGAGGACGCAACGGCCCCGCCATCCCCTGCAGCCGCCGCCGCCGCAACAGTAATTGGCCTCGCGGGTTGTTGCTGATCGGCGGAGTGGCCGCCACTTCCGCCGCCGATCCCGGCGACCATTGCGGCCTGATGAGAAAATCGGTTGGATCTGTAAAGACGGTTCCTGGTAACGCGCGTGGAGATCAAGCCGGAGCGAATCAGGCGATCGCTAAGCGAAACAAGCGACTGCTTGGGCGAAAGCGCAGGCGACACACGTGCGACGGCGGAGAGCTTGGATAGGGAGGAGGCCCCAGTGAAAAGGGCTCCCATGCCGGCTATCTACTCGACGTCTGACGCTCTGCAAAGCGCGCTACGCACTGACGAGACGAGCACGGACGAGGCGAATTCTACGCTTAGAAAGAGGGAATTCTCGGCCCAAATCAACACAGCACGCTTGCGTGCGTCCCCGCACGCTTCGATCCCCGTAGGCAAATAGGTGGAAGAACCGGGTTGAAGACAACAAACAAATTTGCTTCTTGTGGAAGTGTTGGAGGGGAGGCGAGGTGGAAGTGGAGTGGAGCACGGCTGCATAGGAAAGGGGAGGGAGTACTGACGGAGAGTTGACAATGGGTTGATGATGGATCGAGTCGCCATGGTGTCCCTTGGGAGCTTCGCCTTCGCTGGGAGGTTCTTGGGTAGTCACCTTGCGCAAAACTGGAATCCTTTGTGGTCGAGATGTTTCAAAATAGCAGATGTTTCTCACTCGTCTGAATTCTCTAGCTGTTTTCTCTCAAATTACTAAGTTTATTGGTGTTCAAGGCGTTTTAAAGTGTATAGAAACAAGGATGTTGTTTGTCGAGAAGCAGACCGTGGTTCAGAAGCATTGTGGGACTGCAGGTCAGGAAATGGAATGGTTGAGAGACACGTGGCCCAGAATTAGAGTTCAGGAATCTGTACACCCGCTTTTTCCGGTGCGCATGGAGCAGGACCTGTTAATTATTTGCAGAACTTCAGGCTAGCACAATATCTTACAAAACGTGTCCTTCTCAAAACGAGTTTTACATAGCGGGTACAAAGCAAGGCTCATCTCATCCTGCCTGCATTGAGTTCCCAAGCAGTCTCAAATTTTCTTCATTTTTTGCACGCATTTCCATCCCAGCAGCAGCCGTAGTTCACGGCTTTAGACTATAGCCAAATAGAGCCCCTGCCGCCACCATGGGTCCTTGCACAGGTATTCCCTTCTACTTATCCCGCCCGATGTTTTCGGCTTCCCGAGCTAATAAATGTCATCAAGCTTCCATCTGAAAATTGCTTGCAAACCTAGGGACTGGACCTTCTCAATCCGTACCTGCCTCTGATCCGCTTTTCTCATCAACCCACTGCCACCTGTTGTCTCACCTCTTCGCTGCATTCTATTTCTTTCTCCCTCCTCCGCCTGCTCTCTTCGTTTCGTGTACTCTCGTTGTGCTTTTCCAATCCCCACCCACTTGCAAGCAGCAGCAATGACGTCAATTTCACCCGCTTCAGCCGCATTAACAGCGTCGATGACGTCGAATGCATCTTCAGCAACCACTAGATCATGCATGTTCGTCCGTAGCCGGTCAGAAACAGTGCACCGGAGAGCATTATTGTCACCATTACCATCATTCTCTGCAAAGTTGCCTGTAACAGCGTATGTTCCACGGATAGTCATCGCTTCCGCTGGAGTTTCAAGGTCTCGGGCTACTCGGGTACGGTCACCCCTCTGCTCTGCCATTCTACTTCTTCCTCCATCTCCACCCCCCTGGTTTCTCTCTTCTCCCACATTCTCTGTCCCGCTGCTTATGCCTCCTCATATCTCGCTTCCTCTTCCTCCCTTACCCTCAGTTTTTCATTAAAAACCCTCCAGCCCCGTCTCCCCCTCTCTTGATTTCTCTCTCTGTTCCATGGTCTCCTAAGTTGTCAAACTTAATGTAGTCCCCCAAGTTGACCTCATTTTAGAGTTTCCAGGCAGTTCCCTGCATTTGTACCAGATTCTGGTGTTTAGATCCATATTCTCCTTCGCACCTTCTCCCAGTTGATTGTTTGATACCAACTTCCATTTACCCATGCCCTTCCCTCCCCCTGGTCCCTCCCCCTGGTCCCAATGGTCCTTCTGGTCCCCCTGGTCACTCCCCCTGGTCCCTCTGGTCCCGCTGGCCCCCCCGGTCCGTCTCCCTGGTCTCCCTGGTCCCTCTTCCTGGTCACCCTGGTCCCTCTGGTCCTTCCCCCTGACCCCCTTGGTTCCCCCTGGTCCCACTGGTCCTTCCCCCTGGTCCCGCTGGTCCCCCTGGTCCCTCCCCCTGGTCCCTCCCCATTGTCCCTCCCCCTGGTCCCTCCCCCTGTTCCCCCCTGGTCCCCCTGGTCCCTCCCCCTGGTCCCTCCCCGTGGTCCCTCCCCGTGGTCCCTCCCCTTGGTCCCTTGGTCCCCCTGGCCCCTATCTTCCAGCTAAATGCAGGCCGCTCAGTACACTACGAAACAGCCAACACTTACGTTTTTATAGCGCCAGGCGAAGAGGAAGTGTTCCTATCCCGCGAGAAAGTGCTACAGTGCCTTCTGAACGAGCTGCAAAGCTGGGAAAAGGACGGGAAACGCTTGTCGGACGACTTGGCAGTTTTTGAGACTCTGGCGGAAGCAGCAGAGTTTTTGCTCGACTCGGCTTGTGAATTGGAGTTGGGTGGTGGGAAAGGTGCTTTGCAGTGGTTCGAAGTAAGGCTGGAGACCAATTGGTCTGATGAATGAACGTTTGACTGGACCCTTTTTAATACGTCATGGCACGAGTTTTAGGTTGCAAGGGGTTCAAATCAAATCCATCTGTTGTGTCAAGATAAAAACATTTCATCAAGCTTTCGTCCTTATATCTCTATGTATTAGGGCCTCTAGTCCACTAGCAGCAGGCTTACGCTAGCTTTCATACTGGTAAGGTGTGCCTTTTACGTGGATGACGTTATTTTCACTCCTGGACTCCCCCTTGGCATGCCTAGAAGTCGCTATAATTACAGCAGCATTGGTTTGTACCGAGGATGGCATTCTCCTTCTGGACTTGCAGTCTCATTTTCGGCACTCGCCTTCGAGTTGTCAAGCACTAGTACGTTTCTGCATGGGGGATTCCAGAGGTCATAAGCTATTGTAGGATACGATTGTAGAAGCAGACTTATTCATTTATGAAATAACATCCTCCCGTGGGAGCATCGTGATGGCTCTTCGCGATAACAGGAGAGGTGGTGACAGGGACGCGATTGCGTCGCTGCTGAGTCGTCTCTCATGCGACGCCCGCGAATTCTCCTTCGGTGCGACGGGCGACAGCGACAGCGATGACGATGCTGGCGACATTGTCGCCTCCACCCGCGAGATTCGCGCGACCGCCGTTCCCAGAATCGCTATTTCGCCAGCAGCTGCGCGATCGTATGCTAAAACCGAAGCGAGAGCTAACGTGTACAGAGCAAGCACAACTCCTAGCTGTGGCTCTAGCGATCCTCCCGTAGTTCTCTCCCCTCTCGAATTCTACCGCGACTATGTAGCGGCTAACCGGCCGTGCGTGATTACCGGCGCCGTCAATCATTGGCCGGCATTATCCCTCTGGCAGACCGACCAATACTTAGTCGACGCGCTAGGGGAGAAAAAAATCACTGTGGATTTCACTCCGGACGGTCACGGCGACGCGATTGTTTGGCGCGACGGCGTCGGACGGTCAGAAGCAGGATCGGCAGAACGGGGAGACGAGAATCTGGGTTCAGGGCGTAACAGGAGGCAAGACGAGGGAGCTAGTACCGGATATGGCTGTAGGAGCGGTGACGATAGCGAGGCACGGGGTGGTGAGATAAGGGAGGAGATGGGTGTTCGAAGGTGGGTGTTTTTTCCTGGGGATGAGGGGTGGGAGAACAAGGACGGGCGGGATAATAGGGAAGGCTGCAGGAGTAGTAATGGAAGTGGAAGCGATGACGAGGCAGAGGGGGCGGTAGAGAAAACAGAAGGAGAAACTGAATGGGTGGGGGAGGAGGAGGGGGAGGAAGCAAGGAGCTGTCCTGAGAGGAGTAATGGCAGCTGTGGCAGTGGGTGTAGTGGTGCTTGTGGCAGCACGTGCAGTGGTGGTGGTGACGGCAGCAGTTGTGACAGCATTCCTCGGGCTTGCCGCTGTGACTCGCCCTGTGCGTGGTTTGTCACCCCACACGAAGCTTCCCTCACCCTCCCTACCTTCCTCCGCCTCCTCTACTCGTCGCGTTCTTCCCCCTCACACTCCTCCTCACACTCTCCCTCACTCGCCGCATCACACCCTTCACACTCTCCCTTCATCGGTATTCCCTATGTTCAGCATCAGAACGGCAGCTTCAGGACAGAATTCGCCGCCCTGGCTGCAGATGCAGATGAGCATATCGGATTCGCCACAGCTGCACTGGGCGGCAACCTGCCCGAAGCTGTAAATTTATGGATCGGGGACGAGCGGGCAGTGACAAGCTGGCACAAGGACCACTACGAAAACTTCTACGTGGTTGTCACGGGCAGGAAAACTTTTCGGCTGCTGCCCCCGCTCGACGTGTTCCGGATGAGAGTGCGGGAATACCCTGCTGCGAAATACTGGCGAGCAGAGGTACATCAGCCCTCCTCTGGCCCCTCTGCTATTCTTCTGTGTCTTGGCTTGCTAGGCTTCTCATTCCACTCGCCCCCACTTTGGCGCATGGCGAACCTCTATTTTCTCCCCTCATGTTGCCCTCCTCATCATACCTGCCCTCCTCTGGCCCCCACTTCAGCCCATGTTGCCCCTCTCGTTTCCCTTCTCTTCTCTCTGATGCCCCACACTCGCCATAGATCTGCCTGGGGTTCCCCAGTCTCCCCTTGCATGTGATCTATCCCCCTGTTTTCCCTGTTTCCCCTGCCCCCCCCGTCCCCCCCCGGTTCCCCTCGTCTCCCCTGCCAGGACGAGCAGGGTGCGTTCCGCATTGTCCCCTCTGATCCCCCATGCATGGTGCCATGGGCCTCTGTGGATGCCGCACTGAACCCCTTCATACCGTGCCCACACGCCCTGATTGCTGCTTCTGCTGGAAGAGGCTTGGGGGATGACCCCAAGGGGCCCCCTCCGCTGGTTTGCACCATTGGTCCTGGAGAGATGCTGTACCTGTACGTGATGGGAGTGAGGAGGGTGTGTAGGGAGGTTCTGATGTGAGAAGGGTGATGCCTTATGGGGACCTGGGGAGTTGCAAAGGAGGGTTGAGTGAAGACGCCAAGGGCCCTCCTTCCGCTGGTCTGGACCATTGGTCCTGGAGAGATGCTGTACCTGTAGGTGATGGGAGTGAGGCGGGTGTGTTGAGAAGTTATGATGTGAGGAGGATGGGGGCCTTATAAGGACTTGGAAAGTTGTGAAGGAGGCTTGGGGGCAGAACCCAAGGGGCCCCCTCCCCTGGGCTGCATGCACCATTGGTCCTGGTGAGATGCTGTGCCTGTGCATAATGATTGTGAGGGGGGGGGTGTGAGGAGCTGTATGTGTGGGGCGTGTGTGCGATGAGAGTGAGTGAGGAGAGGCTTGTATGGGGAGTGAGTGAGGGAGGAGGGGAGGCAGAGAGAGACGTGTTGTGAGAAACACGTTTGGGATATGGGAAGATGTGCAAAGGATGGAGATCCAGAAACACAGATGCAACTGGGATGGGAAATATTGTGTATTTTAATGTGTTCTGCTGCTTATCATGCCGTGGTATTCGTTTACAGAATGCACTATCGCCATTGGTATATTGTTGTGGTTGCAGGCCAAGCATGTGGTATCACCATGTCTCGCAGAGCCGTGGGGAAACCGGTCGAACAATAGCTCTCAATTACTGTACGTCCTCTGCGTGTCACTTCATGTACCTATCCAACCCCATCTTTGTTTGCAATTTTATTTCTCCCCATGTCACCTGGTCGAGGTTTTGCTGATGTGTGTTTCCTTGTTTTTTTTCATCATCACAGGGTATGACATGCAATTTGATGTGAAGTATGCATACTTCAACCTCGTCCAGTCACTCACTCGTGCGTACAGATTGTAAGATAATGGTTGCTCAACCGGCAATCCTAAGCTGAACCATTATTTTGTTTTGTTTGTACTAGTTTGTTCAACGTTTCTTATTGACCTTTTAGCGGGAACTGGCTTCACTGCAACAAAATCACTAGCAGGCTGAAAACGAATTTTGGATTGCCCACCACATAAGCCATGCCGGTGCTCGTCTCTGATTTGCGCGCAGAGATTTCGCTTGCTGTGGCTTGTAACAGCTGTACACACGATGTCCGTTTGACTAACCCAAGGTTGCCTTGTGAAGGGGGCGCTTAAGTGATTCATGCATTTCGTGGAGGTTTCGTCAATTCGCGTCGGGCAAAAAGGGCTTATAGCAAAATTTTGTAACTCACCGTTGACTGTTTGACTTCGGTCTCTTCTGTTTCTGTGGTTCGTATTGGTTGACGTGCTTGTAACGTGGGTGCAACTGCCCGGGAAAAAACCTTCGTGTGCAAGGTTTCTGGAACGTGCGAGGCAATTTCGCGTGCAGGGGTTGGGCATCTTGTGTAATTTGATTGGAGTTGAAACATCGATTCCATCACCGAGTTGAAACATGGAGTTGACGCATCTTGCCATGCCACGTCAGTATACACCATTCTGAAACAGATTCTCGTGGGGCTGCCTTCCCTTCATTTCAAGGGAGGAAAAGGAAGATTTTCTCTCCTATCCAATAGAAACTGTTCATTGATGGCACGGAAAGGATTGGTCTAAGAGATTCGGCAGAAAGGACAAGCAATTTGAACCAGCATTTTCTCCTGAAAGCTTTCTTGGAAGCTGTTCCATGGGCAATGGATGCCCACATTCCGTTCATTGGCGATTTCTTTCGCCAGGTTGTTTGTGATGGCAAGCCTGACTATCGGTTGGTGGTTTGCCGAATGCCACAGGCTCGACAATCCGGCACCCACAAGTCATCCCAGATGACATGCAACAGATGAGGGCGGGGTGCATCATGCTGAATTTGCACGATCGCCCCCTGATCGCGATGCTAGCACCGCAACCCTGTGGAATCCGGTGGAGTTGGGCGTGCTCGAGGTCCCATGCAACCCAACGGCACCCTCCCATGATACACCACCCGCAGTTTTGTAGTCACGATCCCCAACCACCAATCAGACGCGGTCGAGGCGTCGCATCTACAGTTTGGTTTCAGGGATGATTTCGTGATGTTTTCGTTCTTACCTCGCTTACGTTTCGTCTGGTCGTCAGGCGACAAAATATTTCTCGCGAACAAGGATCGGTGTGCACGTGGTGCACCTTCAACCCTTGATCGCGTGGGATCGCAGGCTCTCAGATCCAGCGTGATCGAGGGTGGTTGAGTGGCAGTTTTTGCGATCCCCCAGGGTCGTGGTGCAGCAACGCTACAGTAAGTACTGTACGCAAAAGACAAAACACTGTAACAAGGATCGCTTGGGATCGCGATCCTGAAAAACTGCATGATGCACCCCGCCCTGAGGGTTCTACGTCAAGGGATTCACAAAAGTTCGATGGCACTGTACGTACGCAACGCACAGAATTTATGTATACGCCCTCATTCTCGATAGACTGGCATATGTTATACTGACCGAGACTCTTTGTGTAGCCGCAACGGACCAAAGAAGGTCCTATCACATGCGTTATAGTGACAATTTCACCCAAGGCGGTCAGTCAATGTTTCAAGCTTTATATAATGGTACTGTTGCTTTCAAAACGGTTGGGACGGCTATTCAGCGTTAACTGTTTTTTACTGTCCAGGGCTTGCCTCGTCACCTCGTGCGACTTTGCCCGCAACCGAGTTATCGCACCAGCCCGCTACGTCCAAACACTGTAGCCAGTGCTTCCGCCGGTGAGAGTGCTGAGAACAAGGGTGTATCATCCAGCAGGCTTTTGCATGTCAAACAGCAGGTGACACGTCACGTGGCGAATGGGCCCGGAAATCTGGTCACCATTGACTCGTCCCTCACTGAAGCACGCCTGCGATTCCCGCTTCAATTCGGTTCGAACAGTTGCAACGCTCGCCGAACAGTGTCCAGCGGGAGGGAGCTGCCTCGCCAACAATTGCGAAATTTCGTTCTTCCGCATTCGCCGCGTCCGTTTGTTTCACGTCCCGTGCAGAGAACTCGGTAAAATTGTCACGTGTGATGCGACCCGAGACTCCGAAGCGAACGCCTGCCATACCAGAAACTGAAACCCCGAAATCCGAACCGTGCCACAGTGCTCTGCACCACATCTTCGATGGTGCGCCGAGCCATGGCAAAAGCTCCACCACCTGGAAGCATGGCCATGCAAAGTCACAAGAACGTCAGGCTTCCCCCACCTCTTTCCGTTCGGGAATTGGACGGAGTCGGGACAGCTTGGGCAGGGCCGATGACGAGGGTTTGATTGACAGTCTGCTCTCCGCAGCGCCACACCGTTCTGCTCCTTTCCGCAGTCAGCAGCACCACATGCATCTCCGCCATCCCCGCACGGACCATCCTCTCCGCTCCGCTCCCGTCGATACCACCGTGAGCATCCCACCGTCTCCGCATCTTCTCGGGTTTTCCAGTCTCCTTGAAGTGCAAGCTTCCCCCGACATCTGCTCCGCGCAGCTTCGTCTCCGCCTGCCTTTCCGCGTTGAAACCCCAACACAATTCCCAGCAGGTCAGCCCAACAGCATCCGAGGATTCAGTTTCCTCTTCCCTCATCCTTGCCTCTTGCTTGTGACCTGAGCAACCAGGCATAAAGCAGGAACTTGCTGTCTTTCCTAACATCATCCAGAAAATCTGTTTTTTTCTAAAGCAGTTTTAGTTAGGGAGTTGAGCAGTATCAACACCGAAGTCTTTGTTGGTCTCAAGTAGTAAGCCGGCGTGTTTGTAGAGGCGGTTCTTGTAAAGTTTTCTTTTCTTAACCACCGTAAGATAGTTGACATGGCTCCATCAACGAAGACTGCGATTTTCTGCTCTGACGAGGACATCATGGTTGATATGGTGATTGCTGCGAGCCAAAAGAAGGGGACAGTCGCTCTTCCGTCTTACGGACGTGAACTTGTGCCATACTTCGTTCCAGGCCTCACTAACTTTACTGAGGATGCTGTTAACATCAATACGGACGTGGATGCTATTAGGAGGTGAGGATTGTCCCGTGTTTCACGGGTATCGATCCAGTCTGTTTAATAGTCAGTAGAGCGGTCACTAAGTTGTTGTTTTCTCTTTGGGTAACAGGAATGGAGCAAGTGTTCTTGAGATTCCACAGCCAGCTACGGTAGCTGGTGGCATGCGGAAAGGTCGTGGCAACACACGGAGATCCCCCAAGAAGAATAGGTCGCGACATGGATCTCCTAACAACGATACTACATCTCGTTACACGAATAATGGGGCTTCAGCATCCGGCGTGGCGGTTAATTCCTCGACAACCAGCTACACCGCTCCCGCAGCTGCAGCACCCCTTCCCTCCCGCGATGTAATTACTCCGCCACCTTCCTCGGAAGCGTGGGCTGGTCCTGCTTACGTGAACTCACCTCCTCCTAGCTCTCTTCCTCTTCCCAGTTTCCTTAAGGCTCAGCTTAAGCCGAGCCCTACCAATGTTCGCGTCTCATCGTCGGAACCCTCTTCTCCTCTCAAGCAGTCAGCACCTGTTCCCACTGATTTCGCTCAAGACTACGGCCGCGTTCCCGTACCGTGTGGTACTGAGCACATGATGGCTCACCCGATGAATACGTTGGTGATTGAAGGCAACCTGAAGAGGCTTCTTCAGGTCGCTTAGAAGCGGTGTTCAAGATTGCATGGCGACGTGGTGAAAGGATGTGTGGATGAAGGATTCCTGACCTCCGTATTTAAATTGGAGTCAGGAACGGCAAGAGCATCTGCGGAAGTCTTTTCCTGCTAGCCTTTTTCTTTCCCCTTAAGCTCTGGTGTCTTCACAATCTTTACCTTCACTTGCACTCACGTCATAGCTCTCCTGTCGGTCTGTTGTTGAGCACCCTTGTTCGTGCTCATGTCCCTCTCTCAGTGCATGTCGTTCCCCGTCTCGCCTGCACATACACCTTCCCGCCGTCACCTCTTACAAGTCTCTTTCACATGTCCTTTCGCACCTGGGGTTATTAAGCCATGCAATGGTCGAAGCAGCCTTTCCCTGTCAAGGCTGGAGATGTGGCAATGGTTCGGAGCAGCATATTCCTCATTAGTTGGGCGAAGGATCTTCGAAGCTGCTGGTTTCTGCTCGGACTTGCAATACCTCTGGTCTGCTCGCGCCTGAAGATTGCAGTGCGCCCCCCTGTAGTGCCTTCGCTTGTCCAGCAAGCGTTGCGCACCTATGCTCTTTCTGCACGTCATCATTCTTCCTGCTCGTGGTACAGAGCAGCATCTTGGTCTGCATGTGTCGCAGACTGTGGCCATAGAGTGAGCATGGATTCGTGTACCTCAGCCTGTGAAGTTGTGCAGTTGTTTTCATGAAGTCTTACGGTAAGTATCCATGGCTTGTTCTGTTTGGCTAGATGTGATGAGCTGTACGGAGCTTTCATATTTGACGATATTACTTGGTGATCTGGTGTTAATGCTTTGAAGCGTCATGGATAGGTTGGATTGGAGAGAATTGTGGTTAGTACTGTATGCTCAGCTCCATTAACATATGATTAGCCGCCTGCGGACTAATGAAAATATTGTTGCTTGTGGTTGGATTCTTAGTTCTTGTCAAGACTGTTCTAACTGCAGGTTGTATAATACACATTTCACTGTAGATTGTCAAGCATTTTCCACTGGCCTCTGAATCCACTGAAGTGAAGTTACGGTAACACTGCATGCTGCAATCTGTACATGCAACGGTATCTGTGCATCTCAAACCCTCTGAATGTGCAGAGTGAAGATGCAGTATACCTATTGTACATGCTTGATGAATGTTGAAGACAAAAAGATGGTACCATCCCGTAGCTTGTATTTACAGAGAACCACCGCATAAATAGACTGTCACTTCACCATGCTGCATTACCCACCCTCTCTACTTGTCCACCCACAGGGTGTGAATCACAGTGCCAGCAATATCATGGAA